GTTCGAGTATTTTAAAGTATTACTTAACCTATAGGATACTCGCGGAGAAATCATTACGATAATACTTAAAGAGTCGCCGTAAGTACTAACGGTACGTAAATTCTTCCCTTAATTAATTAATATATAGGTATAAAGTATTATTACTATATAGAAATAGCTCCCCTTATTATTAAATACCGAATTCGTATTACTCTTAGATCTTAATATATAAAGGTTATTTTAAGACGAAAAACTTAGCTATAAGAATCGTAAATAAGGCCGGATTAACGGGATATACGAGTATTAATAAACTCGTTCTAATATTTAATAATCTCTTCGTATAAGTAATTAATTTATCGGTATAATATTTCGTATAGGTATTATTCGAATAAAACGGACGGATAGTTACGAACGACCTTAGATATTACTTCCTTAGAAAATTATTCTTCGTCCTCGGAAGATTCCTTTTCCTTCTCCTTTCCTCTAACGTCTTTTATTTCTATATCTAACTCTTATTCGGGAGCGATAACGGGCGAGGCTACGTTAGGTATTACGGTTAATAAGCCGGCGGAAACGTTACTTACGCCGGCTAAAGTAATAAAGGGGCTAGTAGGTATAAAACTAAGAGCGGGTATAGCGAATACGATCGAAGGCCCGGTAGCGGAAGGGCTTACGCTTAGTTAGGTAAATTAACCAGAGTTAATTACGCTTCGTCGTAACTTTACGGTTTCCGGGACCGCGGGTATTTATTTTCCGTTTTAATAAAGGATTAAAAACTCCTTTATTATCGTAACGAATTTAAGGGCTTATAAGTAACGTTAGTAAATATTAAATAACGCGGAATAAAGCTTATATATCGGCCGAAGCCTCGATACGAGCGATAATAAAATAAGTAACCGGTAGAATTAAAACGTCGGCCCTATATAAAGTTAGCTTTAAACCTCGACGTACGGGGATAAGAATACCTATAAAGGTACGTAGGCGTAACCGGATAAGTAATAATAATAACGGCCGATATTTTAAAAAGAATCGAAATACTTTTTAATCGATTTATTTTAAGCCGTATTACGTATATAACTTAAATAAGGAACTATACGGCGAGCTCCGTACTTTCGACTACGGATAACCGAGGTAATTCTTATAACGGAAGTAATAGGAGTTAAAATAACCGGCGTTACGGAAGTATTAAACGGGACCGCCGGAGCGGCCGGGCTAGAAGGAGTAACGGAAGCGGTAATAATTCCGGAAGCCGAGGAAGCGTTACGGCTTCGTTCTTATCCTCGTCCTCGTTTTACGATATTATTATAAGTCGGAGTAATAATAATAACGGCCGTATAGGTTACGCGAGTAATAACGATATTATTAGAAGACGTAATTTAACGTACGCGAATCTAAGCCCGGGTTTTACGCGTAAGAACTTTACGAGTAATTAATATAGCCGGGCGGTCGCTTTTCTCGACTACTTCCTCGTATAAGAAAGGGAAGTCTTCCTCGGAGGATTATTCGTCGAAGGATTCGTCGGTAAAGAGCTTTATAACTCGGGATACGATATCCTAAGGGACGCGAGTAACGAAGGCCTAGGTACGTTACGCTAAAGAGCTAGGTATAATTATATCGACGTCGCTTTTATCGATAAAAAGATCCTTAAGAGGCTAAGCGATAATTAAAGCCCCGGACCCGGGAGTAAAGGATACCTTTCCGCGGCGAGCGGGGCTACCGGCCGAAGCTTTAGCGCTACCTCTTATACGAATACGGGAGGTAGGCTAAGAACTTACGGCGGAAAGGCCGAATACCTTTTACTTTAACGAGGCTACGGTACCTTAAAACGTTAATATAATCTTTCGAAGCTTTTAAGTATCGGATATATTAAGAGATCGTTAATTACGGTACTATATTATTACTAATAAATAACGAGTAAATAATAAACGGATTATTTTAAATAACCTCTTACTTATTAATATAAAATAATTAACGATCGCTTTATTATCCTAAGATATTCTAATATTAAGAATAATATATTAATTATAAATAATAACCCTTACCGCGATAGGTTAAGCTTTTATTATACGGTTATTTAATAGAAGTATATTACGATTCGTATAATACGCGAGTTACGCTTTACGTAAATTATAAAGGAAGTAAACTTATCTTACGATAATAAATTAATAAAGCTTTATTAATTATATTAGCTTACGATCGCGTAATTAATAGAATTACTTAATTATAGTTAGGTATATATACCTACGACGGATAACCTAGGGAAGAAAGGAAGAAAGAAAGGCATGCTTAATTCGAGAGCGAGAAATCCTAGATATATTTATACTTAACCGCTTTCGTAAGAGAAACGATAGAATCGGTTAATAAGGATAACGCGCGTAAGCGCGAGCGATAATAATAAAGGAAATTAAATCCTAGTATTAATACTAAAGCGATTATTATTATATTATATATATAACTAACTACCGCTTAATTAAAAGCGAGTAATTATACGAGTAATTATAGAAGTAATGATTTTCATTTATAATAAACTATAGAGTATTAAGTAAGGGATACGAAGAGCATATAACTTAGGAGAAAATACTATTAGTAATAAACCGGAATATATACGGATAAAGGGATATAAGGGAGCCCGAAATAGGGTACCTAGTAATCGATTAACCTTAACGAGGCATAGCGAGACTAAAGAATAACCCCCTTAGGCTATTATCGCGAGTAAAGGACTATAGTTAACCTTACTATCGTAAGATTAACTAAGGGATATATTACGTAAGTATATACCCCTCGTAGGAACTACCTAGCTTACCTAAGTTAGTTAAGTATTACTATATATACCTATAGATTACTCCATACTCTTTAATAGCTCTCCTTCTTTTCTAGTTAGTTAATATATACCTTCTTATTCGCATTCCATTACTCCCTTTACGCGCAACCTATTAACCCAAACGTAGCTCTCGCTAGCTACGTAACACTTTAATATAGTTAGAAACGGCGCCTTCGATTAAGCGGCGTACGCGCTCGGTTAATTACGACAAGCCTAGGAAGACGGTAGCCTCGAGCTCGATATAACCCCTTAGTTTATTTACTACGTCGCGTTAATAAATTAATAAGATAGTTATAGTTACAGTTTTTAGAGCGGTATTTTATTATATTTTATCTTTAAACAACCTATCGAAGTTGTTCGCTAAGCCTAAGAAAATAAGAAGCTTAATTCCTTTAATATAATAAGGACGTACGTCGAAGTAGTAAAGTAATTTTATAGCGTTTAGGTTCTAAAGGAAAGGGTTAGTATCGTTAAGCGTTTCCGGTAAGCCGTAAATTATTAAAAGTAAATCGACCTTATTAACGCTATAATATTAGCTTAGAATACGCCGATCGACGAGCTCTTTAGCTATAAATCCTTCGTTTAGTTTATTACATACGTTAAGGTTCGGCGTTGCTTTATAATCTCGGTACTTAATTCCTCTTATACTTTCGTACTAGTAAATATAAACCTCCGCTACGATAACCTCGTTAAGGTTACGACCTGCTTCCTTCCTTTCCCCGGCCTAATAAGGATTAGAGCTTTCTAATCCGGGAAGACCTTTACGCCGTATAGGTAGAGGGGAAATATCTAATTAATCCTCGGGACGCGCCCGTTTCCCTATTATTTCCCTAATTAGGAGGGATAAGCCGAAATTAAGAAGAAGGTAGCCGAAATAAAGAAAGAATACGCCGATCAGGTTAGATTAGTAAAAATAAACTGGACTAAGTTAGCCGTAAAGTAATAAAGAGGTCCTCTTATTATATTAAACGATAAGTTAAAGGTTCGGCCTTAATAATTAGATAATAATTAATAAAATAAAGTTTTACGATAGTTTTTAAAGAAAGATATTAATCGGAATATACTATACTATCCTTTTTAGTTTAATCATTTCTTACGATATAATTAAACTAAATAGGCTATAGTAATACGGTAAGACATATCCTCTTAATATATTACGTAATACGTTACGATAGGCCTTATGCTTATATAGAGTAACTATAACTCTCGTAAGTACGGGCTATGCCATATCATATTTATTATCGAATTTACTACCTAGCTAAATTATTATCTTTATTATTTTTACCTTAATTAAAGATTCGTTTTTATTATTAGATTCGTCGTTCTCTGATTAATATATTTATTTTAGTTATAAGCGCTTAAGTTACTTCGTTATACCGCTATAATCGAATAGGTAACTTTTACGTTTTACCTCTTTTCTTTCCTTATCTCTTATACCTTCGGGCTAGTAACTATTATATCTCTACGACCAAGGGATACGGCTAAGATATAATAACTACATTAGATTCCTCGTTTCTCGATTAATATAGTAATACTAGTTTCATCCGTCTTAGACTATCGTACGAGCTATAGTCTTCGATAGAGTATACTTTCAAGTAAACCTATCCGAGACTCTAGCATCGCGTACGCTCTGTAACTCCTTATTATAAGTATAGCTTATAAGGTATACTTTTCTTTCTTTTGTCTTCGTTTAGCTTTAAATCGTTAATATACAGCTTTTACTTAGAGAATAGATCTTAAAACCGTAACACTAAAAATTTATTTCTTTAATTATTAAAATACTTACTATATCTAAAGGATTAATAAGTAAGGATTGTAAAGCCTACTCAAAATCTACTTCAAGAAGACATTATTATATACTAAGCTTTAGAAGGCAACTTGCGTGTACAAAACAAAGCGGGGATCGTAGTAAGAGGGTAGGACATCGACCCTATCTCTACGGGCCGTTAGCCATAGCGCTTATCAAAGTATGCCGGTTAGAAGTAAATCTGAAAACTGGCTGACGTAACGGAACGGCACCCATGTATCTAAGGCGGCCAGACAGCAGAGTTTTTACCAACATCCCCAGGCAGCGCTGATACGGATGCCACTACCATACTGGTACACAAAACATATAAGACGTGCTAACCGTCCCCCACCTTTTACCATATTTTGCATCGCGCTTCCCAGTCGACCTGTTTCTTCTACTGTCTCTTCTTCCATGCCTCTTGCCTGCTATTCACTCTTCGGTCGGCTTGCCTACCGTACAAGCATCAGAATGGCATCCACCATAGTGGGCAAATCTGGTCGCGTGTATGTTCAAGGCGAGGTGCTCCAGCGTAATCGCGGCGAAAAGTTCAGCATCTTCAAAGCCGAGTACGTCTCAAACTCCATCCCTTCATCTCACAGGTCCGCCATGTCTCTGACCGATCTTTCTCAGGTCCGGGAATGAGTCTTTTGTCTTGAAGCGCGTACAGAGGCCATTCTACGATATGTCCCTACGACTCGCAGCCGAATTTGCAGGCACCCGTCGGCTTCGAATGCACATCGACTGCAACGAAGAAGAAGGCATTCTAGTCTATCCATATTTCAGATGCACCCTACTTGCCTTGATTAAGGAAGATCCGGACTTTCCTCCGCCGGAACGACAGAAAATCCTGCGATGTGTAGGAGAAGCAATACAAGAACTTCATAGCAAAGACTGGATCCACATCGGTACACTCTCCGCAATCGAGAAATTGTCATGCAATCCCTCTAGGTAACTAATCAATCTATCTTGGCAGATGTGAAACCTGATAACATTTTGGTCAATTGGACTTGCGATCGAGAGGGTAACAAAACAGTCACCGACGCGGCCCTAGGCGATTTTGATATCGCTTTCAAGCTGGAACCTGGACTGCTACTTCGGACCCGTTATGCAGTAGGGAATGTCATGTGGCGAAGCCCAGAAGGACAGACCGGAAGGGGTGTGACAAAGGCGTCAGACATATTCTCGTTTGGACTAGTGGTAAGTGAGCCATGTTCAAGCTCAAGAATTCACGCTAAGCTCTGTTTACAGTGCATATATGCTCTTGGGGGTGGGGAGTTGCTGCTCTTGAACGATTACCAGGAGCTAGCAAAGACTGGTATACCGCCGGAACAAGAGATTCTGACTCGACACTTTTGCTATTTTGGGCTAGTTCCCGAAGGGCTCCTCAAGCAAGTCGACAGTGAGGATTGGTGTGACGCTCTGAAGGGAGCGTCAACAATAGCTGAGGAGGAACTGAAGGAACGGCCTGAACTAAGATTCGAGTGGTGGGGGAAGGGCCTTGGTCCTGAGGCAGTGAACATGATATCTGGAATGACAAATCCAGATCCGGCGGCTAGAATAACGATAGAGCAAGTCTTGGCGCATCGATGGTGGCAGGAGACTAGTTAAATAGCTATTGGAGGTGGATGTAAGGGCGGAAGTGATGAGAAGCCGAGAACCCATGCCCCCAAGTCGGTATGCTATCCGTCGTCGTCGCTGTTGTGTCCGAGGTTGAAACTGGTTTCGTGAGCCATCCACCATTCGTTGTAGACTTCTGACGAGTCGTAGTCGCCTTCCAAAGGTGGAACAACCGACCAATTAGTATCAAAAGTCGAAAGGATGTCGTGGATATCTTCAAGTGCCGGTGCAGTCGAAGCGATGGCTGAATCGCTGCTAGGCAGGAGATTTGCAGCGAGATTTGTGTGCGCCGCTTGCCCCGCATTGCTATTTGAAGTTCTTGAGATCTGGGAGATTGTATATGTCGGGTTAGAGACTGTCAAAAGTTAGTTAGACCAAAAATAAGCTTCCTAGAACCGACAGACCAGCACCGTTCGTAACTTCGTCACCGCTGGAGTCCGGTATTGGCCTCGCGGATGGCATCAACGTTTCCTTGCCCAAGTTGACCTGGCAAGGCTCTGCGGGAAACGAGATGTCGACTTCATCGCCACTACTCGAGCTTTCTGAAGTTTCCGGCTGACTTCGACGAGCTTGTTTGCGCGGTGCGTCCAACGCTTCATTTAAAGCCATTGTCAAACGCATGCCCATCTCTGCTTTCTTATTCTCAAAGAATTCGAGTCGACGCCTTTCGTCTTCCTTAATCAGACGGTTTTTACCGAACTTGCTCAGCCCAGGCCGTTCTTCGTTGGCCACACGGGTTGTACCAAACTTCCTTTTGCACGATTTTTCCCAATGTGCAGAAAGCGCTCCCAAGTTCTCTTGCGGTTTGAGACAGCGTGGGCATCGAAGGCACTCGTCCTCAGAGTCCGGATAGTCTAAATTCGACAGCCATTAGTCATGTCAAATCGTCCGGGAGCTATCACTTACGGATAAAGAAATGCCGTAGTAGGTTGAACTTGGACGGGTATTTCTTCTTGTGTTCACATCGTGGAAATGGGCAGACGTAATCAACCTCATTCCCTGACTGTCGATTAACCTCTTCGTCCTCTGTCGTTGATGGTTTTCGTTTCCTCTTCTTCGAAAAGCTCGAGGGCGCCGGCGTTTTTTCGGTCAAATAAGAAGAGACGAGATGCTCTACAAGCTTTTTCGCGTCGCTGCAGGGCGCAAAGCAGTTAGGACAATCCCAGGTTGACATTTGTGTGTGTGTGTGTGTCCTATAGGGTCGGCATCTTGTGAGAGAAAATGATCAAGAAGTATAGAGAGAAGGAGAGGTCTTTCAGTCGGACCCTCGACATCACCCATCATTTAACCCTGAACGGCGACCTGGTCAGCGACATGTCATGTGCGCTCTCATCGAGAACCATCCCGGCTTTCCATTGCATCGCCTGGACTGTTGGTTTCAGGGTCAACCTGCTGGCGCTATTGCGGCCAGACAGCCAACGGCCATGGTCTTCTCCTATCGCGATAGCCTCGTCTAGTTACGTCTCGTCTCCAAAGTAACCGTACATATCTTTCGTTCGTACCGCCCGCCTTGTCGGCCACCGCCCGGTTAGCCCGCGGGGCGTTGGTGGAACGGCCGCCCATGGCGCAGCGGGTACTTGGATGGCAGGACGTGCTGAGCTGTGAGCAAGCTTATGGGAATACTTCAGATTCTTTACCTAACTTGATTAGCCCCATGAGAAGACTAGTCATGATCACCCAAAATTGTCCCGGCCATTGTTTCATGCAGAGCCCGCGTCGGGGGTCCGTCTGCTGGCGATAACTTCCTCATTGCCTCATCCTGTTGGCTAAGGTGCGAGGCATTTGCGCACCGCCTCTTCGTCACGCTATTCCTGCCTCCATGGGCTAAGTCTCGGAGCCTCATGGGTGGGCCCTGCTAAGTGCCTTGCTTACCTTGTCACCTGAGCTTCTTTAGGCAGACATCGGCCCGGGGTTGACTGCTTAGAACGTAGGGTAGTTCAACATCACCGCGTGAAGAGTAGTTGTGCTAGGTGAGAGACCAACGAGCCAACGAGTATCATTTCTCCCAATCCGAAAACTCTTCTTTCGTCTTTTCTTCGGGTTGGAGTTTCACTAAGCACCCCACCACAGTCACGCCAAGTCACCGTATATCAACCTCTAGCGTCTACTCCCCATCCTCCCGAACTTCAGGTGTCATGTACCATTTCGTTCTAGTAATTAGGGTTATTAGGGTTCTCCGCCTTTACGGCAACGATTTTACAAGCGTAATGCACGCCAGTATGGGCACATATCAACAACTTTATACACTTCACCTTAACCCCCTCTTCCAGGCAGTCTAAGCTTTGTAATTTAGATCACCTTATCTTTTTTAGGCTCAAGTAAGGTTAGCAACCGAGCATTATAGGGGCTCAAGGTGATCGTTACCTAATGCCGACTTGTAGGTGGTTGTCAACCCCTCCTACATAGTCCCTTCAATCATCCAATCATACCTAGTTAAGCTGGCCCACAGACGCCGGCCTCTCCTCGGTAAGTGCCGCTTCACTCACTTCAGCCATGCGTTCTTCCTGGTGTCAGGCGAACCTCGGCGTCACGTATCTTAAAGAGCCCCTGGCGTTAGACACGGCGGTTACAATCGCGGTACAGGGCGGGACTGAGCACCACGACGCATTACCAACGGGTCTTCGATATCCAAGGACGCCCTAACTCCTCCTCTTCCCCTTCTTCGGTAGTAAAATGGACGATCTCATAAAACTACGCGTCACAATTTCCCGGTATATCGTGAAGAAAAAGCTCTCCAGTTTCTTTATTAAAATCGAATAGTATTAATCGTTTCTCTAAAAGTAATTATTAAGGATCGCATCGTTATAGTTACGCCTACCGAAACCAGCGAGATACGGTAGGCTCCTAGGCTGTTGTTGGTCTACTCCGATTCTCAGGAATGGCTTTGCTGGGTTGTTAGGGCTCACGCATCCTCGGTCGCGATTAGCGGGATCTTGAAGGATCTTCGTAGCGTACCTATATTTGTTCTCGGGGATGAGACGGAAAACCGCCCTAGGAGGGTCCACCTCTGGGATGCGTATTTAACGAGTAAAAGAAGCTCGAACTAGCTGATCAAGAGGCGCTCTAGTGTATCTACACATATGCGGGTTGGAGAGGGAGAAGGGAATGGGGGGGATCTGATTGGGGAAGCCTCAGCGCTAAGAAAGGATTGGGCGAGACGAGGTCGGTGGACAAAAGTCGGGTCCGCGCACCAGGTTCTGACTGGCGGAGTGGGTGGCCCAGTCAGAAACCGGAAGCTCGATAGCAACACATGTCTTATGAGCAGAGGCAGAACCAACAAGATGCAGGGTTGTAACCAATGAGATAGACTTCACGAACCAACAGGACAAGCAGGGCGTCGAAGGATACTGAGTGATCCAAGAGGCGCTCTGTATTTTGTTGGCTCCTATTTTTGCTAGATTTTGCGAGCTAGATATAGTAGGTACTTGGAAAAAAATTTTTTTGCGGCGGGAGCCAGGGAGGCTATAGGCTGCTGGAACCTGTCGCAGTGATGTTGGCCAGTTTGCGGCTAGGAAACTGACGCTCTTGCGGCACGTGCGAAGTATGCACCACGTCGGCAAGGTCCGCGACAGTACGGGTTCGTATCATATCGCTAGGGCTGGGAGCGGGAGGAGAGGTGCTTTTTGCCCAAGCCAAGTTGTTACCTACGATGTCCCGCCAGCCGACCTGGCAGCATTGGGAAAGGGTTCTCTCCGAGCCTTTGAGATAACTCACAGACGCAGATGGCAAGATCCGCCAGGAATTCGTTAGCGCCACAAGTACACTCTGCTCTCCCCGGGTGAACTCTGCTCCTGATATCTAAATACCACAGGCTAGCGCCGAGAACCAGACACAGGCTACCGTAGGTACCACTCTCGGTTATCAGTGCATTAGGTAGAGCAGATGGCCTTACGTACCCACGTATACATACCTCGGTATGTACCTATATTCGGCAACATGTTCCCCGTCAGGCCCACAGTAGCTTACTAAACGCACCCAGGTACTAAGGACGTAGGTAGGTACCTAGGTACCATAAGTATACCATCGTGGCTGCACTGACCCGAGAAGAGGAGCCGGCCGTCGTCGGAACGCGCCCGAGCTTATGGCGCGTTTGTGGGAAGGACCACTCTGAATCGGGCAGATCAATGACGTCGGAATGATCGAAGACGGTAGTAACGCCCGCCCCAACCCGATCACCTACCTGTACGTAGGTACCTGTCGAGGCAGATCAATGTACTGGCCTACCTCTTACCTCCTACCAGGAACCCCGAGGATGTACCAGGCACCTGATAGACAGGTACATGCCGCTACCTGATATCGGCTTATAAGAGTGGTAAAGGTCCATCCAGCGTCGGCCACCCGCAACCTCGAATCCTTCCCTGTCTCCGTCCTCGAAGCCTTCCAGCATTCCCTCCCAGAGGTGGCGACATGTTCGCTATGACTACAACGAGATCTGGTGCCACGAGCGAGCCCGGCTCAACGAAGGGCGAGCGCGCAGGCTCTAAGCGCCAGCTGCACACGAAATCGCCGCCGGCGCCCAAGCGCGTCAAGAAGGACGACGACGACGAACAGCAGGTCGTCGAGGATACCCTTCCAAGGTGTGTCTTGTTGCTACCCTATATTGAAGAGGGTAGACTGGACGCTGATGTACCTCTCTCCAGTCCTACCGAAGCCTACGGCGATGGCAAGGCCCACATTCTAGCGAATGACCGCAAGGGAAAGACGCCTATCAAGAGTGAGGATGATAAGGACGAAGTGAAGTCCGGCGCCCAAAGCGACGAGAAAATGCGCGTCGAAAAAGCAGGGGCGGGAGACGGCGCTACTTCGTCGAACGTACTAGAGAAGGGCATCATCTACTTCTTCATTCGTGGTCGCGTAGGCATTGACGAACCCAGCGGCGTGGAGGACATTGCTCGCAGTTACATCGTCCTCCGACCATTGGCACAGGACGCCAAACTAGGCGAAGGTGCAATCGCCGACGCTGGCAACAACCGTCTCATCGCCGTTCCCAAGAAGGTGTTTCCCCGCAGTGGCCGGGAAAGATGGATCGCATTCGTTGCAAAGGCAAATATCTCTCTCGAAACACTGAAGGACGAGTTCATGGCTGGCTCGGAGTATTCCACCAAGACGGTCGGTCTTCGACACAGACCCGCTGCTACCCCAGTAGCGGAGGGTATCTATGCGATCACGACTACCGGCCGCGAAAGCCATCTTGCCTACGTCATCACGTTGCCATCCGATCTTGGCGAGGTTCAGACAGACCTAGGCCTTCGGGAGAAGGGGTCCTTCATCATCAGCACTAGAAATCCAGCGTACGACCCCCCGCAGGGGCTCGCATTACCGCGAGGTCCTGACTATCCGAAGGAGTAAGTATTACCTACCTAAGCCCTCCCACCTATTGTGGGGATGAGGTTCGCGGTCTGGTGCGCCATATGGGATCGTGAGTGATGTATGCCAGGTTGAGACATTGCCGCTAACAGGGTTACCGCTGAAGAGTCCAGGATGAATTCAGGGCCCTCCGGTGGATATCTACCCAGCCCAAACATCTTGATTTCCCCAACACCCAGTTTCTGCTAATTGGCCAATTAGGTGGCATCCGCAAAGCAGCGGAGCCCCAGAAGGAGGAGGAGGGACATGAACAACTCCTGGAGGTGTTAGTAGAGTTAGAAGACGAGGATATGCATAGGATGGAAGCTCTCCAGGGGGACAATTCGACAGCGATCTTCGAAGATCTCCAAGCACAAGCCGAAGACTACCCCAGACTTCGGACAACATTCCACAAAGGTGAAATCGAATCAGAAGACCACGGCGAAAGGGCGTAAAATCGACAGGGATGGTAAGAAAAGTTTTTGACGAGCAGCAACTCAAGTTTTGCTTCGATGAGGCAATTGGGCGTAGACTCTTTCGGCAAGGCAAAACTCCTGGATCAAGAAATCGACCACAAGTCTCGAGAAACCCAAATTTTAGTGTTTTTATCAGATCTTGCCTGTCATCAGGGAGCAGGAGCAGAAAAAGAGGAAGTGCATGGGTCATGGGTTGACGACTCAGCCTTATGAATGGGAATGCAAGGTTGAATTAAATAGCTTGAGCTTGGCAAATGTGCCTGTATCCAAGAAGATGCCCGAGGGCTACAAATCTTTGGCAATTGATTTACATCTTCGACCCTGGAAGACATATGGGGGCCAGCAGCATCCGACGGACTGGCGACGTGGGTAGGCGCTTGCCAATGCATATGCAGCCGTCTTTATTTTGGTAGGACCGTGATCTCGGGCGTCTCCCAGATGTCCCAGTCGTATGAGACCTGACGATCGCCGAAGGGCCGAAGGGCGGCGATCCGGAACCTATCCAGATGGCGCAGTCAGTGAGGGTCCTACTTTTCTCCGGCGCAGGATTTGTGAAGCTGTCGGGAAGAAGAGAAGGCATACCTGTACGATCCGGGCTGAATGCTTGAGCCGTTGGCGAAGCGACCCAGCCAAAAGTATAGGCCCCGTTTGCTGCGCGGCTGGCCGTAGATTGGGAACGGGAAGATGTCGTCCTCACTATCCTGGCCAGGCTCGAACCAGGCTGTTCTATCCGTGTGGGACCAGCTGGTAGCCGACCCAAGGTACTTGTCTTGGCCGACCACGGGTGGGTACGTCCAATCTGCTTCGGCGTAGTCGCTCTCGAATATCTGGACCAAGAGAAGCAGTCAGGAAAACGCTCACGATAGAGATAGAGCCAGTGGGCAGGTAGTTGGTAGAAGAGGGCTGCACCTACGTCCCAACGGAGTTCTTCCGTGCCCCAGGCGAACCGCGTGTTGAGTTTGGCGAAATCCTGTGCCTCTCGAGACAGGTCAAAGGTGAAACTGGTTGAATGGTTAGACGCGTATTGGCATTTTTGCGTGCTAATAGATCTAGATATCGAGGGGCTGACATACTTCGACTTCTGTTCGATTCTATCGTTAAAGACGCCGGAGGTTAGGAATGGGAAGCTCCACCCGTAGTCCCAAACGTTGGTGATGGTCTGGTTAAGATCGCAGGCGACACCTAGTCGTTGCAGTTAGTGGGATCCGCGGGATGCCACGCTATCCCTAGAGAAAGACCAGGGGCATACCGAAGTAGGGGACGCCTAGCTCTTCGCCGTTGTCCCCGCTTATCAAGACCTTACCGCTATATACAGGTAGGCTGCTTGTGTTCAACCCTGCTGGTATCCGAAAAGTGAACCTGCGGTCGCACCGTCAGCTGCATGCGTCACTACTTCATTTCGCCCCTAGACGTATTCTTACTCGGCCGTCTTGGTCTCGCCAGGCCCCACGACGAACTCCCCTTCAGGAAACGCTACCTTGGGTGTCATTTTCGCGGGATCGATGTACGGGTAGAGTTTGACCGAGGGTACGAATGACTGCGGATGGTCGGGCACGACGGGCTCCCAAGCATTGTAACCGCCGGCGTCCTGGAGCGCGAAGGTATATGCGACAGGGTCCCTGCCGCTGTTCGTGATATCTACGACTTGCGTCTCCACGAAGTGGGCGGTGTCGTTGAGCTCGAACTTCCGCCCCGCAAATCCGAGCTCCGTGGTATAACCCAACACACGCTCCGCGTCTACCAACCCAGCTCCTACCTGCGTCGACGGCGCCCAGAACCCGTACTCATTCGCCGTCGTCGCCCAGTCCGCCCACGGCACCGCCCGCGCTGTGCCCATGATGCGTGCCGTCAGCCGCTTTGCCCACGCTGGGTCGTTAGCGTGCGCTGCTCGTCCTCCAAATTGGCCGACCCACAGCGCAGCTACGCCAGCGACGTAGGGCGTCGCCATGCTCGAACCGCTCAGCACGCGGTACTCGTCCGTCGGGAAGGTGGATAGGATCTTAGTGCCGGGTGCGACGATGTCAGGCTTAAGCGCAAGGTCGTATGTCGATCCCCACGACGTGTACCGAGCCGGGCGACCACCACCGGCGTTGCGCAAGCCGACGTAGTGCGCGGTATCGATGTCAAAGGAGGCGGTGACGGCGCCGCCAGCCAGGATCTCTCCGACGATGGCCTCGCCCGCGCCGGATTCGATTGCGCCGATGCGACCAGTCTTGTTGTTAGTGTAGGGCGCCTTGTAAGGGCCATCGTCGTTGTAGAATAAGATGTACTCGGCACCGAACGCGGCGATGTTAGTATGCTTGACGGTGATGTCGCAGCCGCCCCATCTCGCAAGAGCAACGGTTCCCCTGAAGCTGGGTGTATCCGCCGGCAGCGGCTCACAGGCGTCATTTTGGACAGAAGAATTGAGCGTTACGGGCCTGACGGGCCAGCCTATGATGGTGTCAGGAAAGAAGCCGGAATCTGGGATGTAAGCGATCCGAGTCTTAGTCGTCTCGCCGTCTAGGCTAAAATCCGCCGAGAAAGCTTGCGCAGGGAATGCTCCGGGTTCGGCAGCGCCGACGGTGATGACATTCTTGCCCGACGCGCCGTTGCTGGCAAGAAAAGGGCCATCCTCGCCTGCGTTTCCGGCGGCGATGGTGACGACTACGCCTTGCTCGACCATCCTCGAAGCCAGCACGGCCCAGGCGTTAGAGGTGAACCCATCGCTCTCTCCGACGCTGGCAGTTATGATGTCGGCCTAAATGTAAAGCGTGGAAAGTCAGAGATCCCGATCCTGGTGCGCTGCTTTCATTCACGGAGCTTGAGCGACTCACGCCTGACTCAAAGGCCTTCAGAAACCCCTCTATAACGGTTTCCTCGTTCGAATACCCACCACTTCCGAAGACTTTGAAAGAGAGGATCTTGGCGCTAGGGGCGACCCCGACGAATCTATCTCGCATGAGGAATTAGAAGAGAACAAGAACGAGGCACGGTACTCAAGGGCGGGGAGAGGGCATGCGCACTGGTCACTTTTGCCAGCGATGATTCCGGCAACGTGTGTCCCATGACCATATTTGTCCATGGGGTCGTCGTCCGGCGTCGCCGGTTGATTGGGCCATCCTGAGATGAAATATGTGTAAGATAAGTGCTTTCCTAGAATTACAGATGAAATTGGGCGAGAGTGCTACGACGAACCATCACCAACAAGGTCATAGCCGCCTATGACAGTGTAGCCCGGGCCAATGCCTTCACCTAGCTGTGATCACAAACCCTGTTAGCCAACATGAGGGCGTCCCGTCCAACTTCACCGACAGCCGTAGAGGAGGGGGTTTTACCGCTGGATGGGTGTACTGGACGCCGCTATCGACAATCGCGATCGTTGCCCCCTCTCCAACGATGCCGGCTTCGTGGAGTTTCTCGACTCCCGTTGAGTGGTGCACGGAGTAGTTCAGCGCAGCAGCATCGTCGGCGAAAGACTCGCCCTCAAGGAGAGGCGGCAGGAGGCGTACGATGGTCGACTTGTACACCGAAGCAACAATGGGGTCACCGTTTTGCTCGTCCAGGGCGTCTTTCAGCGAGCCAGCGTCGTAATTGCTGTCGCATTCGATGCTTACGCCCGGGAAGAGGTCAGAGTCGAATTCCTTGACGATGCGGAGCCCCGATAGCCCCGCGACCTTCTCTACAACGCGGGCTTTCAGGGCCCGCGACGTCAGCTCGACGATGTATCTCGGCGGCGCGTTGACCTCGATCTTCGCCGCGTCGTCCACGTCACGGCGCCAGGGAAAAAACCGAGCACCCCACACGCCGCGCGAGGTGCCGAGCAGCACTAGCGCTAAAGAGCCCGCAATATGCATCTCCTCGTCGATCGGAGCTGTGCGTAGGACACGGAGATGTGCTACGTACTTAGCCCAAGATCTACCATCGTGAAAAGCAGCATCGCGGCCTTATATGCCCCAAGATCCACACGCCTATCGCGTTGTGCCAAGGTAGGAAGATCTCGTATTTCGAGGTTGCATTTGCGCGATACCCCGGAGGTTACCAGGCTGTTCTCAGGCATGGCGCAAGCGGGCCTGCGAAACTGGGTCGTTATATTCGTGGAAGAACGGTGAATGGGCGGCCCTCACGATGAGCGCGCCTCTTGTTCAGAATCCGCGGCTTACCTACTACTTTGGGCGGATACCCCGGAAGGGCGGGGCGTATATCAGTGTTGCCGTCGTTTTCCCTTGTAAAGAGCACCGAGGCCACGGTCTTCCATCGACGCCGAAGGCCCTCATTTAGAATAGACGATCGACCGCCGTATTCGGTCAGGTTGAGCACGAGCGACGACCACGGAAATCAATGAGCCGCGCCTACGCGTTCCGGCAGGTACCTATTCCATACAATGAGGGCTTGGCGTGACATAGTCCGACCACTGACGCCGAGCGTCAGTCTTATAGCAATCCGATATCATTGACTACCGAGTTATTCGCGTACAGACAGCTTTTACATCGTCGGCAGCAGACTTGGGGTGCTGCCTCAGATCTCTCCGAGCTACCCGGCCCTTTAGCGACCGATGGAAAATGCCGATGATTTGTTTACTCGGCCGGATATAAAGAGAGTTGTTGACTCCATTCGACATCATACGATGTCATCCATCATACGACACGCCAGGCACCCGACATCAACGCCAGCCTTAGCTATCCCGCCTCATAAAAATAGCCGGCCGGGCATTAATCCGCTTCCTTAACATCAATTTCACACCATTATGTCCATGAGACGAAGCCGCTGTTGTCTTCTTATTGTCTACTTCGTCGTCGGCCTCGTGACCGCGATCCTGTGCATGGTCTTGTTTCGGCCGAACTCGGCCATCACGCTCAACCGCTTCTCTTCCTCCCTTTTCGCAACGCTATCGTCGCATTCCATGGCGGCGGCAAAGCAGCCCGTCATCGTCGTCGGCTCCGGCCTGGCCGGCCTATCCGCGACACACCAAGCCCTGAGAGCAGGTGCCGCCGTGCACTTGCTCGACCGCGCGCCGAAACCCGGTGGGAACAGTATCAAAGCCTCGTCGGGGATTAACGGCGCCGGCACGCGATTCCAGCGGGCCCTTGGCATCGCCTCCGACGAGAGTTTCCTGGCTGACACGGTGCGCTCGGCCGGGCACAAGTTCCAAGAGGGCCCCGCCGGCATTGACCGCAAGGCTCTCGTTGAGCTCTTGACCTCACGATCAGAAGGCGCCGTCAACTGGCTCGCCGACGACCTGGGCGTCGATCTGAGCGTCGTCGCGCAGCTCGGCGGGCACTCGGTCGCGCGCACGCATCGCGGCGGCGGCAACCTTCCCCCCGGCGCTGCTATCGTTTCGACGCTGTTAGAAAAGCTCAAGGCGAGTTCGGACTTCACCCTAGAGAGCTCGGCCGAGGTGACTGAGTTGCTAGTCAGCGGCAGCGGCAGCGACGGGGCTGTTAAGGGAGTGCGCTACCGCACCGCCGACGAGCAGTTCCACGACCTTGAGGGCCCAGTAGTCTTCGCAGCGGGTGGATTCGGCGGGGACCCGCACGGCTTGCTATCGAAGCACCGACCGGACCTGACGGGTATACCCTCTACCAACGAAGAGCGGCCTGCTCCACACGGCCTGCTCTCGGCAATCGGCGCCGAATTCGTCGACATGGACAGCGTGCAAGTGCACCCGACCGGGTTCGTCGATCCGAAGGATCCATTTGCGCCGTACAAGTTCCTCGCGGCGGAGGCGCTGCGGGGCGAGGGCGGAATCCTGCTCTCGGGCCAGACGGGCGAGCGGTTCATCGACGAGCTGAAGACGCGTGATGTCGTCAGCGGCGCCATCACGGCGCTGCCGCGCGCCACGGCGCCCGAGTCGTCGCCAGCGGCGCAGCAGTGGGACGTCACGCTGCTACTCGACCCGGGCGCGTGCGAAGCGGCCGCGTCGCACATCGGGTTCTACCTATGGAAGGGTCTGGTGGAGAAGAAGAAGGTCAGAGATCTACCGCCGGCGGTCATCGCGTCAGTCGACCAGTACGCGTCGATCGTGGCATCTGGCGGGGGCGACCCGCTAGGCCGGACAGCCTTCGGGCACTGGAGACTTCCGTCCGGCGAGGCGAACCGCGAGGAGGAGGTATGCGTGGGCACGGTGACGCCCGTGGTGCACTTTACAATGGGCGGGGTGGCATTCGACACGCAGGCGAGGGTCCTGCGGCCGGCGGAAGGAAACGCGCTCGCGCCGGTGCCCGGCCTGTGGGCAGCGGGCGAGATCACGGGAGGCATACACGGCGCGAATAGGCTGGGTGGTTCATCGCTGCTCGAGTGCGCGGTGTTCGGGAGGATCGCGGGGGCCGAAGCGGCGGAGAGCTTAACGAAGAGTGTATAACGAGGAGCGATGAGGGCAGCGGCAAGTTAGGTGTAATACGGGACACATAAATTCGGCGAATTCGGTAAGAGAGAAATAACGAATCCCCTGATCGCTCGTGTAGTCATGAACGGTGCGCGGAGAGGTTGGGAGGTGTGTGTAAGTTACCATCGACCTGGCTATACTCAGGAGTAAGACATGGCATCCGAGCCGGTCATCGCATCTATGCGCGTACGTAGGAGGAGTAGGACTAGATCTGGGTTAGATAGTCGTTGGCGAACGTAGGCTAGAGACTTTGTCAACGCTGCCGCATGCGTCCGAGGAATGGTCTGTTGGTAAACTTCACTCAAACCCCCTAATGATGTCTGGCCTGGCCGAGGGGCAAGTATCGGCTGGGAGTTCTCCCCTTTGAAAGTCGGCAACTTGCATTTTCTAGACGGATGGTGGATAAATAGTATGGTACGCCCTGCCTCGAGGCTATCTATGCGTAGTTGGCCGATGCCTGTTGTCTCCCATCCTACCGATTGTTGTTTTTTTTTATTCCAAGCTTAGTTTGAGTGAATAGGAGACATGGGCATTCAATATCAACACACGGGGTAAATGGATGAACCCAATGCACTCTAGCCTCCATATCCGAGACGTTCATACCATTTGGCCGTGTACGGCTAGGGTCGGATCTAGGCTTCACTGATCGCAATGATAGGAGGCCTATTCAGGAGGCCTGAATACATACGTACCTATGTAAGACATCCGAAACTCCCGTCAGCCAACAAAACACCGTGCTCGCTGTCGCGAACCAGACCCGGATCTGGAAGCGGGGTTCCCGAGGCAGAAATGGTCACACTCAGCTATCTCGAAAGATAGAGTCTGCCAACATACCTACATACCGGGACGAACGAATACAGAAACTAATACTTACCATCAGTCACCTTTATACCTTGTCAGAAGCCCGACTACGTAACACTCTCACTATCAGAAAACGGCTTGACTATATCCTAGCCATCTCCTCCATTCATTCGATGGGGGCCCGGAGTACGCGGCCCGAAAACGAGAAATTCAGACCCAGCAGCCCGACATCACGGTCCTCAAGCAGCGGCGTTGATACTCCGACAGACACCACTATGGGGGACGACTCGAAAAGCAGCTTTGATCCTTTCGCACCCGGGGGATCCCCCGAGATGCACGTTGTGCCATGGCCCGGCAAGACCTTTGCCATCCGAGAGCACGCTGGCCATCGGTACCTCACGCTCGTCGACGGCGAACTTCGGGCGGTGGATAATGTGGGCATGCAGGGCGGGTGGTACTGGACGTGCAAAGAGCAGGGCGGCTGGCTCGGTTTCCTCAATCCGGTGTCTGGCACGTACATGGGCCATAACGGCAAGGGGGAGTTCTGGGCCAAGTACAACTACCACAAGGTCCAGGAGTCGTTCTGCGCCACCCAGCACCCGCAGGGCGGTTACCTCTTGCTGACTAGGCGCGACAGTTCACTGGTAAAGATGACTATCGCAGAGAACGGAAGCGGCCTCGTCCAGACGGAGAGCGCAGGGACGCAATGGGACTTCTTGGAAGTGTAGAGCCCGTTACCCGGACACCATTCTCTCCCTCTCGCAGCGGCGGGCCAGATGAAAGGGCCGGAAGTGTGTTGTCGTGAGGTACGTTGGACAGTGAGGTAGGATAATGTTCTGACGAAGGCTTCGCGGAAAACGGATGCCAAATTGACAAGGGAATCGAGTGTACGGGTCGTGAAACGACAAGTATGAAGGACAGTTTGATAACAAGTTCTACTTGGCGCCTTTACCCAAAGACTGAACGTGCAACTGGCTGCAAGCCAGCCTAACATGCTACCAAGATAGGCTTGTAGCTTTGAAGAGCGGAGGGAGCAGACACATCAGAAAGACTCACAGAGTTCGAGCATTCGTGATACCAGTCCTACGAGGCTAATACGGTGGTCTGTTCGTCTAGCACGATATGCAAGACGGCCGAAGCTGCGGCTGTTCGGGCTAGCACGAAACTCGATATATTCGAGTGAGATTTACTTGCCGTAGTCGAATAGGAGAAGCACAAGACGAATACATGACCAGGTGCTTCCGGTCCAGACACTATTACACCCTCCGGCATCCGCGGAGAAAGACGATCGCCGTCGAAGTTGCCGGTTTCCAACCGAATTCCGTCCTTTACCTCGTAGCTCTTCACCTCCCGCAAAACGGGACCATGATCGTCGGTTCCTAACCAGCTGCGTAGGCCGCACCAGGCCACCCACAACCCGTCTGATGCGTGTTGGTGGCTAGCCTGAGGAGGAATGCGGCCAATACGCATGTGTAGACATGGACTAATCCACCCGGAGGAGCGCCCGTTCGCTATGGGGTCAGACCACGCCAACAGTTAGCGTACACGTCTTCTCCGCCGGACATCAGGACACTGGGACGACGCTGGGGCACTAGGCTGCATCGCTCCGGGATCATGTGAGCCCGGCGGCAAGAGCTGACAACCATATAGTTAGACGTCGCGGCACAACTGTGCCGTGTGGGTTACCTACGTTGGGAAGAAATGCCTAGACCTAGTCAGCTCCGCTTCGGCGACCAGCTATGCGGCCTCACGGCGTTGACAAGAAGCCGCGGCAACACCTCTCCCACGGTAGGCAGAACAGAGGAAAGGTATGGGCCCTCTGCGTAGGCAAGACGCAAGAACCAGCCACATCCGCTTCTCCCCTCCTTCTCTCCTAAGACCGGGAGGGACGCCGTCTTCGGCAGACCGTGGGCCCGCCCGCAGCCAGCGTTGCATCTATGTGCCCGTGTCAACTGCATGAAGTCTTGGTATTGGCTCTGCTCTCTCCACCGGTATGAGTAAAGCGCACCTCGCCGCGCACGACGGGGCGACCCCGCGGACGTATTGAATGGGGTACAGACGCAACGTCCGAGAGGCAAGTGGGAGAAGGAGAGAGAGTTGCAATTTGCCCATACGAGCACTGCGGTCCTCCCACACCGGATTGTGGCGGGCGCGTCTCCGTGTGAATGGCCTCTCGTCCGTGGCAGCAGCCATGACTTCTTGACGATCCTATCGCTCGTTAGGTAGCATGGCGAGACTTATAATGCTCGGCGCGTCACTCACGTATCAGAAGGACGTGCCGCGATCCGATCACTGCCGTTTAGGGGTGGGGAGGGGAAGGGACGAAGGCCCAGAAACGATCGGAAGCACCACATGTAGGACTCGGGGGAAGGACGTTGCCCAAGCTTGGGGTCGCCGTCGAGAGGGATGGAGCAATGGAAGATGAATACGACGAAATCTCCGCATTACTAGCCTCGAACTACTGGAGATGACAAAGAGTCGTGGCTCCGTCACGACTCTCCGCAATGCCGCCGGTATCGCGAAAAAGAGGAATCAGATCCAAAGTGGGGATACTGGGGCAGGCGATCACGGTGCTCGCCCCCCTCGCCTTTTGTCCGAGCTCTAGACCAGGTAGTATCCAAGAGTGAGGCTCGAGGACCATATCAACTGTTGGTGATATTCTATAGGATACCCCGCCGATATTCAGCGACGACAGTCGGAACTACACACATGCGTATCGACGAACTCGGAGATGTTGGGTCGAAAGACTGGAACACTACACTTGAGAACCCGCCGAGCTACCATCCGGGGTCCCTTCGCGAATAAGAAGGCTGCCTTAGATCTAGCACTTAACTAAATATTCTGAGCGTTGGGTCCCGGGAAGTTTTTTCTTCATCGCGGAGTTCCCGCGCAATATTAGCTATTACCACGGAGCAACAAGGTTGGACCCTTTGTTCATGCCTCGACTCGGCCAGTGTTGATATCACATCGTTGACTCGACGAGTTTCCGCTATGATATTCAAGACGCGAAGAAAAGGGAATGACGAGGGGGTAGCCGCAAAGTATGTGCGCAACTCTTTAAGGAACTATGGAATTATGGAACTTAGGTGACCGTATTCATACACCTGCACCTACATATGTAGAGAGTCGCAGTAAAGGGAGGAATAGGAGTTCGTCTGCGCCTCGACCCGCTGAAACGATCAAACACGCTGTCGGGCTGGGCAGAAACGAAGAATCTAGACGCATTTACGTAGGGCTGGGTTTGCGGAGTGTTCAAGTCTAATACCGCACGCACTTACATATCGGCCGATATGGAGGAGAGCCCGTTGTCCCACACTGATGGGTCAGTTTAGTGCGTTGCGGATGGATGTGTGTATACGGCGTAGCCCTGTCTCCCTCCCTGCGTGTAGACAGCCTTGAAGAAGTCGAGTTAGTTAGGGTCCCCGCCATGCCCACGAAGCCCTCGCAAACGTGAAGGGTCTGCCAGGACCTAGGAAGTTTCTGCGCCAACTACCTAGCATAGAGGGTAAGCACTAAAGCCGACGTCTTCGGACTGAAAGCTAGGCTAATCCTTGAACAGGGGGTCTCATATTATATTAGGTTGCAACGATTCGGACGTCGTGTTGGTGTCCGCGTCGTAATGATGGCTCATTTGGGGCATCTGCTGCTTTATGCCAGCTATCACCCAGGTGGAGATCGATTAGCCCAGATATTGATAACATCGAATCGTAAATCGCCAAGTCGTCGGGAATCGACCAAGACACCGATGCTCTCGGGCTCTGCGCATAATAGTCGAATCATGTCGACTGCGGCCATGTTGGTAGACAGGCGCCTAGAGACGTCCGTTGGACGTTTCCCCCGGGACCACACTCCGCCCGACCCTGGGTTATCCGTCCTAGAACGGACAAGTCCGTCGACAGGAAGGATTGGTGCGGTGTAAGATGGTCCCAACTGGCTGGGAACCACGTGCTTCGACCCAAGGCCATTCGTCCCATATCGTAGGATTGCTGCTACTTAGGCTGTTGGTTCCTTGGCTCCGTTCCCCCCCCGGCGTAAATTCTAGTTCGGCATCGTGCGTGGGCGTCTAGATCCAGGAATGCTCACGAAGGAGACCGGCACAAGCATCCCGACAATGCAGCTTCAATTTCGGCAGATGTTGGAAGAGATCTGTTTCTCTGCGCGCTAACATCCATCCATACATACACGACCTGCGCGTCGCCCCCGAGAGCGATGAGGCCGTTTCGTCATGACAGCTTTGCTCTCTGGCTCCACACGGGTGTGGGCATTTACGACGAGGAGCAGGCTTTTGGAAGGAGGTTCGTGACATTGCTCATCGAGAACCCCTATTCTTGGAAAGTTTCATCGTCTATGCAGCCCATGTCACAGGCAATGAATTGCCCGTCGTCAGTAATCAAAGTCGACAGCACGAATGCACCTCTATGCAATCTCGAGCGTGAACTTCACGCATACATATGCATACTGGAAATAACTAGACTGGCATCACGCCATTTGCGGACGATATCGACGGGTCGTCGTGGTGTGGACGGTCGACGGCGAAGTTGAGTACTACCCACGGGCACGCGCAACACCACGATCTCAAGAGTGACCGGGCAACAGCTCTAGCTCGATGGTACCGTCGTAGGCTAGCTTCTAGGGGAGTTCGAACATGGCCACATTCGCCGAGACGCTGGCGTATATCAAAATGGTGAGAGACAGGAGTACAGGACACTGATCGACTGTGAACGGGACGTACTTATGCGTTACCTACGTATGTAGGTATGTGTGGAGGTCGCGGAGGCTGTGTAAGACGGCGGGTTTGGTGCGGCACGAGACGTATCGTGGTCGCTCAAGAGTCGCTTGTGCACCCCCAGTGAGGATCATGAGGAGTAGTGTGTACGCTCTTTAGAACGGATAGGCAACACAGGTTTCTCTTCCATCTCGGGGGTTGGTGGCCATTTAGAATCTGGTTATTGATACGTAGAAAACGACACGCGTACCATTTCCAGCCTCGGACTTCTAGGCTTCCACTTCCCAGCCCCTTCTCACGAGGATCTCTAAGGAGGCCCGTCAGTGTGTATGTGTATGAGTACCTACATATTTCTCAGCAAAGTTTAGGTAGGTATATTCCGAATGTCGTGTTCTTAGAGCAAGGATTCCCCGACGTTACGTAGCGAGCACACATCTTGCTAGAGATCTGGGAGTCGTCGAAAGGATACCCGACGACTCTTCAAAAACCCTGTGCTCTTTTTTTCGTCTCTCTCTAACACTAGTCCCCCCCTCCCCCCGTGCCGGCCAAGCCCCAAGGCCTGTAGCTTGTCGTGAGTTCGATGGATCAGGGTTGCTTCGAGAGTGGAGGGTAAACAGCAGGAGGTCGCCTATCCGGCCAGTCAGCGCTCGCGTCGAAATGAAATCCCAACCCCCTGCGGCTCGAGGATCCAAATGCGACGGAAACAGAGCAGCACCGTGACTGGTCAGCAAGTTTACAGCGGTCGAAGACGATGTCGTCCATCCTGTTCTGCGGCGAATCACAGCCGCAGCGGCTGATGGGGAGAGGAACCCTTTTTCGCAGCCGCGCTGGCGCTCAATTAATTTGACGGTAACCAACATGGGCGAGACACGCGCCCTTTGTTCTCTCATGCTTTCTGTATCGCCTTCGCCCCCCTCCTCGCCGGCCCGTCTCGGCGTCGGTCTGAGAGCAAGCAAGCAGCAGTGTGGCGATGCTGTTCTTTATCTCTTTTCCCCCCGTGAAGTAGCCCTTATGTCGGCATAGGTACATCTCTATGCAGGGTTGTTTCTGCGTATTGGCACTCTCGTCATCTCTCCCTGTCGCGGATGGAGCCTCCCAGTCGACTCCGCCCGTCGGCTAGATGCCAAAGTCCGATTTGTCGTGGGCTCGGACCTTCTAGCAGTCCTGGCTATAATTACCATCAAAGACAACCCGGGGCTAAGACCAGGGGGACTCGACTATCCGGAATTTTTTATGGCGTCTATTAACCCCTCCTGCCCCTCCATCTATCGCGGCTCGGGCCTGGACGAGAGAGGGGGGGAGAGAGCGGATGTAGGGAGGCAGGTAGGTACTCTTTGAAGTGGAGGGACTGTGTGGTTTACGACGACCTAGCCAACAGCTTCACCCTGTTCGCCAGCGATAGGTATACAGGATTGTGCATATCCGTACACTCTAGGCGACGCAGGGCCGGCCATATGTCAGCGAGACACAAGAGCAAGGACCTACATCAAAACATGCAGCGATCTGTATCACCTTACGAAAGCGGGTGGTCACCCGGCGGCAGGAGAGCGGTTCAGCTCTCACTGTCGTTTGTTGTGTTGCGGCAGGCTGGAGGCCGGAGGTGAGAGAAAGAAAGAGAGAGATGGGAATGAAAAGCAACACGTCTCTTTTCATCCACACATAGGTATGCAAAGCCCAGAGGGCTTCCAGCTCTACATACTGACCTTAGGTATTTACTTACCCGCGTACGTACACACACTTTACACGCAAGTATAAACACGCACAGGAAGGACCCTTGCCCGATGATCCCAGATGCTGGGCGACATTGCGCACGGAGGCCACCAGGAAGATCGTCTTCCCTTACATACGTACATATGTATGCAGTGTTGCGGGAATCCCTTTGTCCCATCCACTCCACCCTGCCCCAGGATGCCCCGACAGACGCCGAAGGCTCGTCCCTGTCCGCCGCCAAGGAGTAGGCGAGATTCTGCGCTTAGAGCCTGTCGTCCGCTTTCCTGCCTGGTGTAAATCGCTGGGAACACCCGTCGCCCGCCCGTCGGCGCCGCTGCGCCACGCCGTTTCTGGCGTGGATAGCGTAGACGGCTCTGTGTGTGTGGTCCCTCCTACCCGTGTACGCATGTGCAGTGCGATATGGGGATCTGTACGTAGTAATACGCGAGACCGACGCATTCCTACAAGCCTCATCTTTTCCCTCTTCGGCTCCACATACCCTGGTTTGCGTCGACATACCTACCTACATACCTACCCTACCCTGCCGTGCCATACCCGCGCACATGTATGTACGGTTCTGTGTATCTGCAACCCGGCCAGAGCCCGGATAGGAGGCTCCTCTTAGTCAAGCTATCGACGGTCCCTCCCTCCTCCCCCTTCCCACCTTGACCAGGGCACTCGAGAGATGCTTGTCCTACATGGCACCTGGGCATATGGCTTGCCGGGATGAGAGGCACCGCCCACTAAGTGAGCTCGCATTTCCAAGTTATTAGCCAGTGCGACTTGAATATAAACTCTAGGCAAGCCCCCTTCCGCAGAGGTCGAGGTAGGTTCACAAGCCTGGCCATCGTCTCCGTAGCGTCTCTTCTCTATATTTCGCCGTGTCTCCCTGCCTCTGTCTCCTAAGTCGTGTTTCCTTCGTGTACCACACCCGCTGTTCGCATCTCGGCATCGTCTTGCCTTTTTTCTTCTCTCCTCCTCGCTGGCCCTTCGCTCAGCTTTCGATTCCGCTCGATCACATCGAGTTTCGGCTCGGGAAGCCCTCTCTGATCTTGCATACGCGTACACATACGTTCGCACGCGTACACTCGTATTCTTCTTGCTGTTTCTATTCTAAGCGCCGGCCAGCTACCCGCTCTGGGCCGCGGCCACCCAAGAAACGTTGCGCCATCCTCAGCTGCCGCCTGTATTACGCCCGTCCGGGTGTACTTCGTACAGCGGAGAGCTGGCTGTTCTCGCCTGGCCTTGTTCTCGCTGTCATTATATCTCTCTGGAGCCCTTCCTTCTCCTCGCCTTAGCCTCTTCCTCACATCACCGAAATCTCCTCGACCAAGATGCAGCCTCGAAATCTGCTCACATTCTTCTCCGCCGTGGCCCTCGCCTCGGCCTCTCCCCTACGACGACGATGCGACGGCCACAACGAAACCATCACGCCCCCCACGACTCCTGCTCCGCCGCCTGCAGCCGTCCCAACTCTGCCTAGCACAGGCTGTAAGTGACTCTGGACCATCAGAACCGCTACGCTCCCAAGCCCGCAGCGTTTTGCTTCCGTCCCTTACTTTACTCCCTTACACGGTCTCACTCTACCCTACTACGAGACACACCCCTATGCCCAACCCGAACGTGAGCATCGAAGAGAACCAGCTGACCACCCTCCCGCAGCCGGTACCCAACTTGAAAGCCCCGGCGCCGCCACGCTGAAGCACATCCTCGTGGGCCACGGCATCCAGAACTACACGTGCGCCGCGGATGGCACGACGGCGGCCTCCTTCGGCGCGCTCGCCGTCGTCTGGGACATCACGGCGCTGTATCCGGGGACGGGGGCGGCGGACGCGCTCTCGCCGGAGGAGTGGGACGGGCTGACGTCGAAGGTGCTGCGGACGACGCCGCTGCCGCTGAACCTGGCGGCGGGGGCGGGCAACGGGGGCGCGGACGCGGCGGCGCCGTTCCCGGCACCGGCGAACCTAACAGTCGAAGGGGTAGCAGCGCCGCTGCCCTTCCTCGGCCACCACTTCTTCGACGCGGCCAACACGCCGACCTTCGCGCTGGCGGGCGGCGCCGAGCTGTTTAAGGGCAAGAGGGACGCGGGGATCCCGGCGCCGGCGGACGCGGACGCGGGCGCGGACCCGGCGACCGGCGCCGTCGACTGGCTCCGCCTCAGCGACAAGGCCGGCGCCAGCGTCGGCGTCAGCCTCGTCTACCGCGTGCTCACCGCCGGCGGCAACCCCGAGCCGTGCGCGGCCGCCGGCCAGCCCCAGAGCGTGCCCTACACCGCCCAGTACTGGATCTACGGGAACTAGCCACGCGCGCCAACCCCGGACAGGAGACAGAGAGAGCTAGGCTGGCTAGAAAGGAAATATATAAAATAAAATAAAAAATTTAAAGAGACTGAGAGGAGACGAAAAGGGGACACGCGGACCTGTCTCCGGAGGGGAGAACTGGCCGGTGATCAAGCTGAGCGAGCTACCACCAGCGGAGTAGCAGCGGGAAAGGGGGGAGGGACACAGGCACAGGGGAAAATATCCTAATCGCACACAAAGCGACGGGAGGGTAAACAACGGACGGGATCGAGCCCAGGCGTTTCGGTTTTCTGCTTCTACATTATACTTCTTCGTGGCACGCACGACAACTGTTAAGGGGAGGGAGGGTAAAGGGCCCGGTAGGCACCGGCTGGACGGACGGACGGATGGACGAAATGATTTGACGGATTCGGTTTTGATGCCTTAATTCCCTGTAGTTTACACACCCCTTGCCTCGCTCTGCCGGCGCACGGTCTTACTTACATTCTCGGGCCGGGCCGGATCGCGGGAGATCTAACCTCGCTTTCTATCTTCTTTGCACCTATCTACCCATCTACCCGGCTTTCACCTTCGCTTCCTCTTCCTCTTCTACTCTGTAACTCGCATTCGTCGGTTTACCTGCTCCGTAGCCGTAATCGAAAGGGATGACAATATAGACATAGGAGGGCAATATACAAATCCTGCCTTGATGGTTCTTGGTGATTGGCGTTCAACCCTTCGTCGTCGTACTCCCGCTCGACTCTTTCTTGTCCTGTTTCTCCGTACTCTCCCACCTCCTCTACACCTACTTTGCCTAGCCACCACCCGGCCTTACCTACCTACCTATTCTAGTAACTAACAGATATGCCAACCCCGACAGGTGTGTCAGGACCCTGCCGCTTAAGCTAACAGCCAAGCCTTGCAAAGGGTGTTGGCGCGAGAGCGGCGGCTAGACCGCAAGTGCGAGAGAGGCGGTTGGTTCACTAACCTACGGGACCGGGACGAGGGCGTACTACGAATGGAATAGGGCCTGTATGTTTTTTGTCATGTATTGGGAGTTCATATTCTACGCTGTCTCTCTATCCTGTAACGCCACAGCAGAAAGGCAACGGGCGACATTGGCGATGGAGATGCAACTTCTTTTTCATATACCTATGCAAACCAAATGGTATCTTCAAATCCCTTCATAGTGGCATGTTGCCTCTGCCCTTTCATGCCTCCCCATCTACAGCACTCTGGCGGATATCTCACTTACCGCTAAGGCTAAGCGAACCTAGGTTGGGCATAGGGGACAGCCCCAGTGAATACACACCAAGCCACTCAACCGATATTGTAAGAAGCTTCTACTTTTATTTCGAGACTCGCTGTGACCCATGATCCGATAATTAATGGTCTCAAACCCCGCCTGCGCTGGAAAAGAAAAAGAATAAATGCCTCTGCTCCCTCCCTTTTCTGTTATACGGCTGATGTTATTCACTCAATTCATATCACAGAGCGTGTCGCCCAACCCCCCTTCTCCTTTAGACCAGTTCCAAAAATAGATGATCCATGGGGTCCTCGATACGCGGCCGCCCTTTAGCGGCGCATGCTACTGACCTGTTTCTGTTTCGGCATCTGTCTACACAATACCGACTTATACCGCTTTGCCATACCCAATGTTGCGTTGTGTTGTTTTCTCCGGGTCCTCTCCTCTTCTTTCGCGAACAAGCTGGGGATGATCGATATTACCTCCTGCTCGCGTCGAGGCCGCCTTGCAATTCCCCTTCGAGCCCGCCAACCTGGTTCATATATTCCTGTGGTCGAGGGTCGTCGGCCCTCCACTGGGAGTTGGCACCATTTGGCATGGGAACCTGACCAGCAGCCGGCTGGGGGCCGCCGGGTTGGCCTACGCTCCCGGGTGCCGTCCGGACTAGCTGCCGAAATCGGCGCACTTCCTCCTTGATCATCTCGCGCATCTGCCCGACATCGTCGACGACCTCAAAGTCGAAGTTGAAGGTGGTTGGGCAGTCAGGCTCATCGGATGCGTCGTGCCAGATTTGCAAGTAGGAGTGCTCAAGCGCCTGCTCGACGCTGATGCGCGACGAGGGGTCGAAGGCAAGCATGCGGTCGAGGAGGTCTAGCGCATCTGGGTTCGCATTGGGGAACAGGGCGGGGAATAGCTTCTTGGCCATATAGGGCAAGTTGCGGACGTATTCCTGGGCGCGGGAGGAACCGATACGCAACAGAGTATCCTCATTAGGGGTTCCGAGAATGTGGAGAATTTGGTTGAGCTGGTCAACATAGTCGCGGCCCTTGAAGAAAGGTCGTCCGCCGAGCAGTTCGGCGAGAATGCATCCCACAGACCAGACGTCAACTGTCATAGGTTAAACCACCGGAACTCGTGAGCGAGGAGAGGGCCTGTTACGTACTCGCTTTGGTATAGCTCTGGAAACTCAACATGATCTCGGGCGCACGGTACCAACGTGTGGCAACGTACTCGGTCATGTAGCCGGCGTTCTCTTCCGGGTCAACAGAAAAGCCGCGTGCTAATCCGAAGTCGCAAATCTTTAGTTCGCAATCGGCGTTGACCAGTAAGTTACCCGGCTTCAGGTCGCGGTGCAAGACGTTCGCGGAATGGATGTATTTCAGGCCGCAAAGGATTTGGTAGATAAAAGATTGGAAGTGGGCGTCCGTAAGCGGTTGACCCGAGCGTATGATGGCCGCCAGATCGCACTCCATCAATTCTGAAAAGGACGCCTGTTAGTATGGCGGCTGGTGGAAGCGGAATGACAAGAAATCGGCCCCGCCATACCTTCGTACAGATACGTCTCGTTGAAGTTTTCTGGTCGGGGGATGTCCATATCGTAGAGACACGTGATCTGAACGTAACAGATCGAAGAGGTTAGCACACGTTGTCTTCCATTTGCTACCTGTCTCTCGGGTTCGAGAACTCTCGTAGAAGAATGGGAGTCTGTATAGATATAGATGTATGTGTGTGGGGAGGGGACGGGTGCGAGTGTGCGTCTTACGTTTCGGTGGCCTCGAAAGTGCTGCAGGAGCTTGATCTCGCGCAGAGCGCGCTTGGCCAGAATCTTCTTACTGAAAACGTTGGTGACTTTCTTGATGGCGACACCCTCACTCGTATGGTTGTTTACGGCAGCACTATTTCGGGTAAAACCCAATCCGTTAGCGAGACAAGCCTCTCTCTTGTCGACTCGACACTACGAGATCGCCAGACGCACCAAACAATGCCGTAAGCACCCTGCCCCAGCTCTTTAGTGACGGTATACCGCTCGTCGACGATAAAGTCTTGGTTGAAAACCTTGAAGACTTTCCGTCCCTGTAGATCAGCCATGCTGGGCATTGCGCGCGCTGTGACAGCTAAGCTCTCTCTATCCACGCTACACGGATAAGAAGGGTAGGATTTGAGCGGCGGGTCGGACACGGTCGGCCTCTCTAGGGTGCGACTCGAATCTCGGTGAGCTTCTGCGTACTTCGCGCCTGATTTCAGAGCCAGGCGACACAAAGAGAGCGTGGGGTTGAGAAGCTCTTTGAGGAGGCGAGGACGAGGTTTCGAAAGGAGGAAAGCCAAACGTAAAGACCAAAGAACGAGTCCGGCTCTTAGAAGTGATGTTACGAAGAGGATGAATCCAGGGATATAGTGAGGCTGACAGGTGGGAATCCGAGCCAAAGGGAGGTGGGAAATTCGGGGCGGTTGGCGGATTGTTCTTTGAACGGCTCGAGGTAGCTTGACAGCTTATATATATAGGTATATATATGGGTATATATCAGTGAGATTAACGGATGATGCGTAGCCAACACCGAAAACGAGTTGATACGAAGAGGGCAAAGCAACCCCGAAAGACGGATTGGCGATAGAGATACGACCCTGACTAGGGCAGATGTTTTTTTCTCTTTCGGCCCTGTAGACTACCAAAAGGGACAGTTGAGATGTAGTCAGCCTGGAGGTATGCGCCGTGCGACCCAAGCAGTTAACGATGTAGCAGCACCAGCAGTAGCACGAAGGAATATCGGCTCGAGGCAGTCGATCGGGTCAGGTCCAAGTCGGGTCAGGTCAGACGTGGTGGGGAGTATTGGATGAGATGGGGTTGGTGGTCGTAGTAGTGGTGGTGGTGGTGGCGGCGGCGGTGGGAGGAGGAGGAGGGGAGGGGAGTGAAAGAATGATGGAAGACCCTCCATCCCTCCATCCACATCTGGCTGGGAGGCCGGGGCGAGAAGGAGAGAGGAGGGGGGGTTTGCAGGAATCGGATTGTACATAGGCGACTAGAGAGAGGTAGATTGGGTACCTAAGGTAAGTGCTGAATTGCCCACCTGGAGGTACCTACCTTAGTATATTAGGTACTTGAACATCCCGACTCCAGCCTTCTGGCGTCCTTACAGGTACCTGCCATTTGGGCGATACCTCCACTGTGCGCCGTAGATACGTGGGCGCAGAAGTACCGTCTGCACGAACATATACCTGCCGGCCTTCTGTACGCACTGGTCACAATGTATCACCTTCTAGGCATTTGTATAGAGAGGATGAGAAGGGGAGGGCCAGGGTAGGCGGGGTGGGAAGGAGTGGGATGCGAGGCACGCAACCCCGCAGCGGGCGACGAGGGAACCGCATTGGCTAGGTACCTAGGCTGGGCTCGCGGCCTGATTCCACTCCCTCCCTTCGCGTGCACCCAAGTACAGGTAACACTCCGGGGTAGGCCGACACCCTGCCTGTCCAAGGTACCTTATACCTGCCTACGGCCTCTGCTTATAGGGAATCTGAGACCCGTTATGCCTACGGTGGGGGCCGCCCCGACCGTATACACACATTAAAACTGACCCAAGGTACCTACCTTAAATAAGCACTACAAGTACCTTGGAATTGCTACTACTTACATTGAGCAGGGCCAGGAAATCTTACGGAGCAGTTCGGTACAGGTAGGTACCTTAAGGCACGCAATACCTATGCCTATACCAGGTACCTGAGCAGTCGAAGGAGGCACTGGGCCTGTCAACCTGCCTACCCAAGGTACCTAAGGTACCTACCCTACTTAGGTACCCGGGCCGGTACCTGGTTCTGGCTTAGCACCGTGGATATCGACCCCTCCGCAGCGCCTACTGAAGCCCTGTAAGCGCCGACTGTTGGCCCTGATTGGCCTGGGCAACCTCCAAGCCAATGTCAGATTGCAAATCTCGACCTTCCACCCATACCGAGATGGATTAGGTTAACCTATAACAGACACTGGCCTCTATGAAGCCTACGAGCTTATACGCCTGTCTACCTTACCTGTCTCTTTACGTTGATGAGAGCAATAAAAATCTCACGAGTTCCAATTACTAGGCAGGTAGGTAGCTAAGTACTTACCCATCTGCCCCACGTCATATGTTGGTGCTTTATTTAGGTGTGTGCTTGAGGGTGGTTACAAGTTTAGGCAGTTGGGTCCCTACATAGTGTGGTGACGGCGCCTACGTAAATGTCTACGCGAATTGGAAGAGTATCGTATTGTCAATTCTTCGACCACGAAGGCGCCGGCGATGCAGGAATGAATTGGACTTCGGAGGCCCCCAAAATCGGACCCCACGCGCCAACATGCGGTACCGAACGTACCGTGCTGCTAACATACCTACCTACCCTACTACCCATGTCCAGGGGCTGGCGGGGGGCAGAGCTAAGGCTGATGCGAGAGTCCCTGCTTATCGTCGTCGTCGAAGGCTTGCCCTCTTTCTCTTCCACCCAATTCGCCCTCGTTGGCTCTGCCTGTCCTAAAAATACCCTCCTATCGATGCTCACGGCCCCTGGCATAGCTGGTGCACCTTGAGTTACGCATCCGTCCCGCAGCTTGTTTTCTCTCATTGGCCTGTCCCGCATGATGGACAATGTCGGCTGGATGTGCGTGAGATGAGATGGACGACACGCCATCGTCCGCGTCGTGTCTAGGACTCTTCGTAACATTGTTTACTTGTCCGCCACTGGCCGAGTCTTATAGCCTACACGGCGGCGCTTCATCTCGGCATGCCGACTAACAGACGCCATCCGACCAATATTGTGATCTTCTAGATGCTTGACGAGGGACCGTCAATAATCTCCTACCCGAGCAAGCCTCTAAGTCGGTTCCCTCTCTTAGACCCCACTTTGTCTCTATAACCCTCTATAATCGCTCTATTGTCTAGATGAGGGAAATTTCCGGGTATGATCGAATGTTTAAAACTCAACGTGCTGTCTTTCCGACGTTGGGAAACGCGTGCTCTAGGAAATTGGTCGAGAACCGTTTGCACTGCTCGAAAGCTTTCTCGAAGGCGTCGCGGCCGACGTAATATGGATCTTGCACCACCTCTTTGCGGCCTGTGCCGGAGAACTCGCCAAAGAGCATGATGCGCGCGTGTGAGGACGATGCCTTCCTACTCCGATCCCTCCACCGCTGGGCATCGGCGAGGTTGCTGTTGTCCATCGCGAATATGTAGTCAAAGTCTCGGAAGTCGCTGTCTCGGAGCTGTCGGTAACTCATCTATCAGTAACTGGGTGCTTCGCCTGCCCACCGACCCCGAAGCGGCAGTCCTATCGTCGAACTAACCTTGCGTGCCGCATGGACGTAATCCGTGATGCCGTGGTCCTCGAGGGTTGACAGCGTCCGAGAATCAGGTTCATCACCGACATGGTATCCGCCTGTTGTAGCAAGCTAACATCAGCAAATTTTCTCCTGCAAAAAAGACACGGAGGCTCTGGGGGCAAGTTGGGTCTTTCTCGTACCCGTCCCGCAGGAATCCACCTTGTCGATGAGGTGGTAGTACGGCGAGGTCTCGTCTCTGACGATAGACCGGAAGACGCCTTCTGCCATGGTAGAGCGGCAGATGTTCCCCAAGCAGACGAAGAGGACCGAGATCGCCTTTTGCGAATGCGCCGCAGCGCCCGCAGCGGTATTTGTGCCAGACATGGATGGTGGAGTCAAATGGCTGAAAGCGAGAGTGAGTGACCTGACGTTATAGGTGCGAAGCTGGTAGCTTTTTAAGCGCCGTCACGGTCGGACCCATGGAAATTCTGGGATTCGGTGGAAACACCCCAGCATTTCCATCCCGGTGGGGCGCGTCAGGCACAAAGTACCTAATCGAGGTACATACGACGGGTGCCTACGTGCAAACCTTCATTTATATGCATATATCTGGTACCTGCATGTTTTGAAAAAGAAGCAACCACTAGGCAATTGAATAAATCGCCCAACTCTCCGTTATCCTATTTCTACAATTTCAGCTGCTCTACTATCGCTTCGTCGAGCCATCAGATCCCTCATTCGCGATAGCATTGCCGCAATACCGTAGCTCGCGTCGACGTATATCTAGATGGCTAAGAACACGGGCGAAGCCGGTCGATGCGCATACCTGCAGGCAGATATGCACATCGGGATTTGCCGAAGACAGCAGCGGCATTCCCTCTCTTTCTGACCAGCCTTCCACCCCTTTCTTCGTCACCTAAAGACAAGAGAAGAAGAACAACCAACGACCCGCTGTCCCTGCTCCCCTCCCGTCCCCTCCCCCGTCCCTCACCGTCCACGCGCCCTAGACCCCGTCTCCGGCGCACGCGGCGTCGCCGTTGACGACGACGTGGTAGCTAGCGGAGTCGAAGGCCTGGCCGCGGACGGGGCCGTCGGTGCCGTTGGCGGCGTCGCAGCGGCGGTCGCCGAGGATGGCGCCGACCGCGTTCGCGATCGCCAGGCTGCTCGCCTGCGCCCCGCCGAGGTTGTCGTTGCACAGCCAGACCGCCGCGCCCCCCGCGCACGACACCTGCGCGCACTGCTGCCCCGGCGCCGACAGCGGCGTCGCGATCGACACCAGCCACGACTGCGCCGCCGCTACCGCCGCCCGCGGCGCTGGCGACAGGCTCGGGTCCGGGCATTGCACGCGGTTCTGCGGTGGAGGAAAGGAGAGGCAGATGGTTAGCCGGCACGTCGTGGAGCTGTGCTTGTCCTGATACTGTGCACCCTTTCTCGCTATGGCTTCGGAAAGGGGGGAGGGGGTATGGGTGAGGTGGCAGTGTCAGGTCTAACTTACTATGTTCCGCCGCCCGCGCGGCCGGACGGTCCTCCCCTCCGCCGGGCTGGGCTGGAAGTCGGCCCGCGAGAAGTCGGGCTTTATGCTATGAATTTGCGCGTCGATCTCCTGAGGACAGGTTGCCGTCGTGGTGAGAATTGGCATCCCGCGATTGGTGGGAAAGAAGGTAGGCTGGCTAGAAGGGCTGACTCACTTGAATGGTGCCAGTGAAAGTTCTCTCTCCTCCGTTCGGCTCGATGGCGCCTCTCAAGACCATCATGGCCGGAGGACGGCTTTCGACGGCCCTGGTACGAAGCGGCTCGGCGTGGTCGTGGTTGATGTGGTCCTGGGAGGCGTTAGCGACTTTATGTCTCTTGCGAGATAGCAGCACCTCGTCGTTCGAAGTTGGTCCACTTGCATTCGACGCGCCGAAGACGCTGGCGATCGCCAAGGCGAACAACGCGATATGATGCGTATACCTCATGATTCCGATTTTCTTGTTTTCTTGCTTTGTTGTCAGCGATAACTGCGGCGTTGATGAGTTGGTACGCGGCGAGGCGAGCGGCTTTCGTGTTATCGGTTTCGGCTGTCGACTGTGAGTCTGCGGGTATTTATATGGTAGTTATACTTGGTGTCTTGCCATGGAGATTACAAGGTGACTCGGGATACTGTGTGACAAGATTCGAGGTGAGGCATGACGATTTATCAGTGATTCATGGTATTGAACACACATACGACACTTACGAACGCGTTTTGGCTCCTTAAGGCCACGACCATTCACCCGCCATGCCACGCCTCCCGTCTGCCTGAGTTAATATTACATTATCTCTCGCCATGCAAGGGGTCGTCTTGTCTGCTAAGACTGCCCAACTCGAGAGTCACAACGCCCCCATTGTATGGGCAGGGCCTAATTATCGCCCCAAGCACCCTAGGTTTGCCTCTCGATCCCTTACCATAACGTCGTATCGGTTGTTTGCCATGTCTTTGGGGGTTTCGTATCTCCGAGAAGAGTTGCCATTCGGTCTGTTGTTGGCCGGCGTTGTTCTTCGGCCAACTCAGTCCCGTCCTCTGCCCGAGCTTAACCTCGCGCGCCAGCTATTTCGGGGGTAAGTATATGTATTCAGGGGCGTATTTGGGGGCGGTTACAGCGCGGGTGGCGCCTTTTGGTCCTTTTGGTGAGCAGTTTGATTACAAGCAACCAAGTAGGTATCACATTCAGCGCTTTCATGACGGGAACCGGCCGGGAAGACTTCCCTCCTTACTGACATCAGTTGGCTATGTAGATGTCAGTAACGGAGAAATGGGAGGACAACATCGGTGAAGGCCTAAAATGTGGCGGCAACAAGAGCCGGCTCGCATTCAAAACTCAAATGAATGGAGGGGATCTGATCTGCCCCTTGGTCTCCCTCCCACAACAAAATCTCTCTACGCACATACATACTTAGGTACTCTCGAGTTGGCCAATCGATTGCATAGGCTGCCGCATTCCCACCAATCCCTCTAACCCCTATTCGAGACAGATAGATTGCGTAGAATGCTTTTCAACTTGGTGTTGGGTGGATGAGACTAGAATGACATGTCACCGTGTCGTGCCGCCAACGCCGTACCGATTGCCCGACATGATGAATGCGAGCCTGTGTGTTCGCCAAGGGTCCCGCCGATGGATATTCTACCTACATAGTCTTGCCCCCTGGCGCGTTGAGCCTGCGAGCCGAGTACAGCCAACATCTTCCGCCATGCGCTTCTACGATTCCATCCGCCAATACTCAGATGCACCGCCTATTTCGGCGTTGACGACATTCAAAAACAGTGGGTGGTGCGTATGAAGACGTGCCCCATTGTAGTAGGTAACCACGTCGGGTCTAAACTTGGTGCTAAAGGCCCTATCCGATCACGTGTAGCATCCCGACTTCGACTACTAAGCACCAGTATCTCGACCTAATTACCTAGGTACCCCTTGGCGATCCAACTACTTCCTACGTAAATATCCTGAAAAGTCTCGACATACGTGCCTACATCTAACTCAGCACTCCGAACTATGCGATAGATCAGTGCACTCAGCAAATGACTTGAAGCCATGTGGCTGCCGCGGGAGTTGATGGATACAGCAAGCCTCACCATCCCGTGACCCTCCCCGTAGGGAAACTAGGCCAGCTAACCATTCCGAAGGTCACTTCCAACTTCGTTAGTTATCGTTCAACTGTGCGCAACGACCATATCGAGCATCCTTTCAGAGGGTGGGACTTCTACGTCAAGTGCCCGAATCGTCCAGTCGATGTGACAGACCCCGCGTGCGAGACGACATTCGCGGTCCCCGAAATCGACTGGCAGTCGGTACTATCTCTGAGGCTGGTGTCACGGGCGTGGTGTGTGAGCGCTACAGATATACTGGCGCGGTATCATACATGGGTTCTTCGCTTCAACTCCTTCCGCCAGCGGAGAAACACGCTCGCATTCGTCGATATACAAAGCATCATATCGCGAGACGGAAGGGACAAGTCTGAGGCCCAGAGCACCGTTGCGTCTGCAGTTAGGAACCTAGCTGTCGAGTTGGGTCCGGATAAGCTGACGTTCAAGAGGAGATACCGCATCGAGGACGGAAGGTATGTGTTTGAGATATCTCTTTCAGATGTTTCCCCTTGTTTGTAATGTTTCAGTGTGTGTTGGGCGTCGTGTATGTGCTAAATGTCGCTCCCATTAGCCAGTTTCAGGCCGGCGAGTTTGAAGAGAAGTTCGAAGAGTTGGCCGAACGCTTCCGGGTACGAGAAAACGAGAACTCCTTGAGGAATACAACAGCTGTCCAACAACAGCACGAGAGCGCTAGAAGTCCCATTATTCGGAGCCTCCTTGGTAGCTTACGTTGCGTTAAACAGTTTGCCGTGTCATTCCCCTCTGTCTCTAGCATCTACTTGGACGCTCCTTTCTACGAAGTTATCTGGTGAGCGAACTCCGAATGCCCCCAGGGTTCCTCTGGGGTAACGTATGAAGTAATCGTAGGGTACCGTAGACTGACTCTGCAAGCTGATCAGTTACGACGAAGAAGCGGTAGCTGAGCTGCTGAATACCTTCTACCACGCGCTACTCCTCCCCGCATTCCGTCATGTAGTAGACCTACGTCTCGAGCTTCCCACGACGCGAGATATCGGCTTACTCGCCGGGGCTCTTAGTCAAGAGGCAAGAAGCATGCTTCAACACTTACTGCTCCGGGTAGTCGACGAGACAGGCCCCGGCGGGAGCCAATCGTATAGGAACGAGAGCCAAAACGACGACGGGACAGAAAACGGATACCTTGAGTCGGGGTACTTCCCAAGCAATTGGCAACACAAGTTCCCGAACCAGGCGCACCAGGATGAGCTATTCGCCCTGGTCTCTTCCTGTCGAAACTTAAGATGTTTGGCGATTGATGCGACCCATTATCTCGACCTCGATCGCCTCCACTGGCTGCCCTCTAGGGGCTTGGAGATGTTGTCCCTACAGCGTTTGTGGGCAAGCGAGGAGTCGCTGATCAGACTACTTTCACCTTCCCCGGAATCGACTCACAAGCCGGTCATTAGGCGAGCCAATCTGGAACATGTTCAGTTCAAACCGGGCGGTGGTACCTGGCTGACAGTCTTTCGGTTTCTTGAAAAAGAATGTCCAGACCTGGAGTATTACAGTCTCAACCGATGCTCTCACTTTGAGGATGCCTACGGATACATTTATATGACCTTTGGGCGGATAAAAATGGAAGAATGGGAGCGGACGGATTGATGGACAAACTTATTGGTAAGACGAATGATGTTTACCCTTATGATTAGTTTTCAGCTCCGAGAGTCACGGTCGTGATAAGGGAAAGCGTGAGCACATAATACCTATGTGATGGAAATGGCAACATTACTAATTTAAGAAATTATAAAATACAGAAAGAGGCGGTCTTTACTTCCTTAGAATATGAAGTACCGGGTTTGTAGCATCAGTAGCGTCCCTCGAAATATGATTCAAATATTAATAAAACAATTAAACCTGGTATTGTCGTTGCCATTCATAATTTAGGATCATCCATCGCGACGGCGTGGGTACACGCAGAGTCCGCCACTCTCTGCTGGGAGGATTTACGTCCTTCGGGCGTCCCCAACGCTAGAATCATGACCTATCGGTATGATTCTGGGTGGAGGTCGGATTCGTAAAATATCTACTAAACTTCAGAAAGGAACTTCTCATGGTCCTCGGGCACGAGAGAGACACAGATAAAGCAAAGTCAATACTCTAATACAAGCAGCTTATATTGTAGAATACTATTATTATTAATGGGACCTCCCATAGGCAAGAGACCGTCCGTTACCTTTCCTCGGTCATATCTTCGGTGGGCTGTTGATCGAAAGCGTTGGGAGCATCCAATGTATTCCAACCCTTATTCCTATTATCAATCTCTACTAACCGCTTCGGCAAAGGCATTGTCATTACGAAACGACCAACTCCGAACTACCTCGCTTGACGACGGTACGGAAGTATCGCAGACAACGTTACTGAGATTATCCTTCTCGGTACACCTCACAGAGGGCCCAGATCCACGTCTTGGATAAGGTTATGCTGCTTCTTTTGTCAGTGGCAAGGTGCTAGCTCTCTCCTGTTGCGGCGTATGGGTCGAGACTCTCCTACCGCTCTAAACCAGGAAGACGAGTTCATGAGGGGGTACAAGCACCGTTCCGATCCGGCCAGGAGTCGCAACTACCATACACCAACCACTTCGGACTCAACAAGTTCGGTAGCGGTGATGACACAAGTTATACTGCCATTAAATACGAGATTGGAATGGCCAAGGGAAGAGTACGTACGCGCCCATGGTATTAAACTCACTTCGTTTGTACAAGCCGAATTAACAGCCTGACTCAGGAGACGTTGAGGGAAGCGATCGTCATAATCCCCGTTCGTATCTTGGGTCCATATAGCCCCGTGGGCGTTGTTTCTAACGGGCCAAGATGCAAGGAATTGTGACTTTCTCAGCCAGCAAGGGGTAGTTACCTCCAGCACCTATAAGGTGATTAAGGGCGAAGGGGCCATTCAGATATCGTACTCGAATAACCACGTACCTTGGATACAGGGAAATCAAGGCTCCAGCCAAGGCTATATTGCCCACGTCGATAGTCTCCTACTTTCCTCTACTCTCTACTAACGCATAGCCAACACACCATAAAGCATCTGCAGTCACACAATCGTAACGCCATCTACGTCTTGTCGGGTGCTGGGGGCGGGGCTATGGCGGAAAGCCGATCGCTTGAGAACTTATATCAGACGGCTCTACACCGACTACTCGGCCGAATGATACAGAAGCGCCCTAAATTGAGGTGTGCCTCTATATGATGAAACAGCCCCTTTCAATGAAGGCCGGAGCGATAAGATCATCGTCAGGGTGTCGCAAAATACTCCTCCACCAACGCAGCTGAGCTTCTTGGTATGAGCTGACGCTCTCGTCAAAAATGCTCCTAATATTTGTCTCCGTCTAGGCACTACCATCGGGAAGCTGAACCCCGATCCGAGCCCTGATATCAGGTTGCCCACCTAAAGCTGTCTTTAAAGGTTGAAGGCGGCGCCCAAGCAGACAACCCAAATCAATCGATAAATTGAAGCAAATGTTAAATGTGTGTCGAATCAATCAGCTGTTGCTTCTAAGCTCTTCTTTTACTGATGCTTGTTATTCGGGAGTGGTTCTCTACGCAAGACTGATGCGCGATGCCATCGAGGAAATGGGTAACGGACAGAGTGAGTCTCTCCAGGGGAGGGAGACGTAGCTCTCCAGGCCCGACGGGCGGCGGCCGCCGCCCCAACAGGTCCCGTTATCGAAATGATATGGCTCAACAGTTGCGATGAACTGGACCGGATATATTAACGCCAATCAGAATGTGAGATGTTCGACTTTATCTTTTGGCGTCAAGCCTCGAGGTTCGTATTCCCGGTCATCATGCGGCTCTCCGTCAGGCTTGATCACTTGGACTCGAGATCAGCACGACTTGCCACATTTCATTCTCTTCGCGGACCTCCTGACGATGCCGCGAGGCTTGGAGGTGGGTCTAGGAGGAAGCGATTACGCCTTGGAGCCTGCCTCGAGGCGGATTACAACGAACCAGTCCCAGCAGGCTCGCGGTAGCTCGAACCCCCGGGGCCTCTGAATGCAGAAGACGCCATCCAGAATGACCCCGGCCCGAAAGCCGTCAACGTAGCTGCATATGTGGCTGGACGCCGAACGCTGTGCACGATAAGCTGAGGGTCGCTCACAGGATAGGTTTCGCAAAGCGGTGTATAGCAAGGGAGCCTACCTACAGAGCAGACCCCATGCTCTCGTCATTTCTAATACAAATAGCTGGGGAAATCTGCGACGGCTATGTGTTCATTTCTTGTCCTATTGCTCTCCACCACTCCACCGCAAAACCTCCCTACACCACAGCCCTTATCATATTATTACTCAGAACGCCTTCATCTGGCTTCGCAGTCCAACCACCCAAATAACGACCAACCATAGGAAAATTGAGAATATGAATACCGAAACTCTAGAGACCGGCTATGACCTCCAACGAAGGGAGATTTTCATCAAATTTAAGAGTCCAGCGGACGCTCAAATGTATCAAGCCAGAAACCGCGAGGCACGAATACACGTTACGGAGCCAACCACTGCGTGGCTGCCAGTTCCCCCGAACGCGATATTCATTCGCGGCAGCAGTGAGGGACTTGTGTTTCGCTTCAGAACCTCCACCGCCGCGGATGAATGGTGCGGGCGATCCGTTATTGGACGTCGTCTTACGGGTATTTATTTTGAAGCGTGCGTCCTGAGGAGGTGGGTAGTCGTTCACGAAATACTCTACCCTAAGGAAGAGGCTGGCCATAAGAAAAACAAAGCTGGCAATGGTGCGTGATCAAATCGAAGAGCCGACGACGACGACAAGGTTTGGGGCATCAAATGGAGGAATGAGCATTCACAAGGGTCGGTGCGTGTAACGGAATGGTAGGGGTATATACTTCGGCGTATCTGGGGGGACAAGACAAGTTCGTAGTAATGTTATTGTCGAGCCTGGAAAGGGGTATGTCGTGGAAGGGGAGCGGGAGCACATTGGCGCCTCAATATGGTACACCTTAGGTACTTATCATGTCGATACAAATGAAGTTCTCGTCACAGTCTTGCTAGAATATGCACGCTGTCGTAGTCGTAGTGCCCCCAGACTCCATAGCAAGTGTCATCTTACTCAACAACCACCCGCCTCCCCACCGCCTTCGACACTCCGATCTACGCATCGAAGAGTTGCTCCGCGATGGAGGAAGCCAGCTTGCTCCCTGGTCTCTCTCTCCAAGCTAGTGTCCGCTTCTCTCCGGCGTGGCGGGATAGGGAGGGTTCGGACGGAGTGGCTAGTGGTCGCTAAGCTAGGGGAACGCCTCTACGTGCCCGCTTCCGCTCCGGGCGGTCGCTAGGGAAAAGAAGGAAAAAAAAAGGGGGGGGGGGATGTTTAGGATCGGGGCGGGTATCTGAGACGGGTGGTGGGGTTGGCGGTGGACAGCGCACTGGCCAAGAAGCCAGCCCCTATTTCCCCAGCTTCACCTGTCTACCTGTAGGGTACCTTGCCCATTTACCCGGGACGGGATACCACAACTACCGTCACCACCACCGCGGAAACCCTCCCTTTACCGCACATCTTATCGATGACAGGGCCATGAGCCGATCTCTCTACCTGCTTCCCTACTTAAACCTATGTCACTTGGGTAGGGTGTGATGTTCGGACAGGCGGGTATTTGGGCTTGCCCCTGAACTTCTACCCTGGAACCCTAAGCATAGTCTTAACCTTCCCGGATTCTGGCAGCATCAACCGCCTCCCGAACTCTCCCCGCCTAAGCATACTGAACCCAACTCCTCCGCCTACACCTTATCGTAACTACTTCTCTTCCCCTTCATCACACCTCACCTCGCCTCGCCTCGCCTCGCCTCTCCTTCCTACGCGCCGGCGTCAAAGTAAAAGCGCAGGATGCGCAAGTCTTATCAAGGTTTTTTCACCTTCGTCCCTATCTCCCTCCTGTATACAATGACGCGAAACATGTCCGTCGCTCCTGACGACAAGGTGCCTAGAACGCCGTGATATGGTATCCCCATCGTGAACAAGGTGGCCATGAGAGAGCCTCACCCCCCCTGGTACGGCCGTACTATATGTTCAAGTACGTAGTGGCCCTAATGCTAGATCCCCCGAAACTGCACCTGTTTCATTCCTTTTCCCTTCCCTTTTCGGTGACACCCTTCGTGGATTCGTGATTAACATCGCGAACAATGTTTTTTAACCCGCCTCCCCTCTCCCTAGCGGGTCTTTATTATTTTTCCGGCTCCCGCACGCTTTCCCCACCTTAGACGGTATCACAGTTCGGCCTTCTTCCATGCGGGTTCCTTGCACTCGCCCATAGCGTCGATCCATTCATTGATGCCTTTCAGATGCCAACCGCTCATCCACTTGGCTTTCGAGCTGCTATCGCCCGGAGCCGGCTTGGGAGCACCAAGCTTGAAGCTCTTAGCCGTACAGCACACCTCTTCGTGCCAGCGGTATTGGAAACAGGTTCGGCTCCGCTTCTTCTCGTTCGAGGACTTGTCGTCGGGTTCGTCTTGAGACGCGCACACTTTGGCGCAGTTCTCCCACGATTTCCACGCCTCCTTCTCGACGTCATTCATGTCCTCCTGCTTCTTCTGGCGGTCGCGGAAGTGGCCTTCGGCACGGTCCTGGGCTTCGGGATCCGGGTTGATGTAACAGACATCGTCCGACAAGTTATCCCAATTGGCCCGAGACACTTGCATCTTCGGTTGGATGAGGCCTTCGTATACATCCCGGATCATGAGAATGCGCTGTTAGGTGGTCAACATGGGCGACTAGAGCGAGTAGTATGGGGTGGGCCCGAGACCGGAAAAGCTTGGGGGGCAACAAGCTCTATAGACTGCTTACATCGACCTTTCTCGTCTGCTCAAACTGCCAAACGCTGCTGATTTCCTCCGAGTTCATGTGATGCATAGTAAGAAGCGGCTCGCACCAATGGCCCGGTCCGTACGGCAGGGTGCTGGGCTTCTCGCCGTTGATCATGGGCCAGGCTTGCCGGACCTTGACGCTCTCATACTCTTCCAGGGCCATGGCCAGCATCAAGTCGCCACAGCACTCGTTGCTCCCCTTGACGTTGTACTGCTTGACCACGCCAGGATGATATTCGATCAGATGACGCAACAGCGTACCGCTGAGAATATATCCGGAGCCGCCATGGGCAAACGGAGTACCTCCGATAAAGCTCCGGCTGCCCAGGTAAAGCTTCTCTCGGGGGTCGAAACCAGATTGCTTCTTCAGCCAGTGGATCATGTTGGCCCAGAAAATGTAGGTATCGGCCTCGGCAAAGATGTACCAGTCGTGGTTGGGGCGCATCCGCCAAGTCTGCTCCATCATGGGGAGGAACTTGTACTTGTCCAGATTCCAGGCCTTATGACCTTCAGATTTCGCGTCGATGCAAGATTTCTGCGACACGGGGCACTCCTTCTGGTTGCGGTAGAGATCAAAGTCGTCATTATGGGCCTTGGCCGATTCTTCAAACTCGGCCAGAGCATCGAAGATGTGGTACGGGCCAATCTGCTGCTCCTGGGATAGAATTAGCTACGGACCGGCGCCGGGGCAGGACGAGGCTGAGGTGGGAGGCAGAGGAGGTGGGTGGGGGAAGGCAGGGCCGTACCATGTCGGAGAAGAGGAGGAAATCGGGGAGACAGCTCAAGGTGGTGAGGAGGTGGGTGGGCATCCGATCGAAGGCCTCCGTTGCGCCGGTCTTCATGACCAGGAGCACGCCGTCGGTATTGGGGAAATTGGCACACGGGGCGGAAGAGTTGAAGTAGGGATCGACCATGTCGTTTCCGTCTGTGTACAACGTATTGTTGTATACCGAACCTTTAAAATAGCTTCGGACACTCTGATAGTATTCGTGGGCATATTCAAAGGGCGCCGGCTGCCACCGCAGGCGGAGATGTAGGATGAGCGCGACCAGGGCCAAGGCAGCAATGACGCCGGCGACCCGGAATCGGCGGGAATTGGGAGATGCGATCATGGTAGCGAGCTGCATTGACAGGAGCAGCTATGTCGAAATACGTGACAGGGGCGGCATGAAGACGCAACTGCTCTGGAGAGACGGCTGGGGGGGAGGGAAAGGGTTACATCGGCCAGATTTAACAGTGGTGAGTGAGAGTGATGGCGACAGTTTAAGAGGAGGACAATGACGTGGAGGCAGACCTTCGAAGGTGATACCCGGTTGGGACACGAGATTGTCTGGAGGAGGAGGAGGGGAGGGACGGGACGAACTTCCCATACAGCGCACAAAACCAGCAAAGGTGTCCGTCCTAGTGATAGGACGGGAAGGAAACGGTCGAGATATTATGGACGAGAAGGTGAAGGCTCGGAAGAGCAAGCGAGCGAAAAGGGGGACGGTGGTAAAGAGTGAGAAGACGAGATTAGAATCACGTAAGGTAAGAGGAGGGAGGGAAGAAAAAAAGACGTCGACGTGGTTCGAAGTCGAGTGAGTGACTAGGTAGGTAGGTAGGCAGGCGAGGTGGTGAAGACGATGGGGCAAGTAAGCACTTAACTTGGCTTGCACGGAGGCGGCGCCTGCGAATCCCAGCTGCGAGATCCCAGCCGGCAAGGCGCAGGCAGCACACAGGTATATCCGTACATGCCTGCAACCGACCTGTAGCCTAGGTACCTACCCGCCTACGTTACCTATCTTGGGTACCTACCTACCTAGGTAGGTACCTATACAGAACGATGAAGGTACATCCATTGACCCTAATAAAAATAACACAGGTTCGGTAGCTAACTTCGCGTACGGTGCTAACATCCACCTGGACCCTTAGGTACCTCCTTAGATACCTGCCCATGTGCGTACCTAACCTAAGTAGGTATCTAATAAGAGGCAAGCAGGACAGGTACAACGTAACACATATAGTAGGTATCTCAAAGGTAGGTACCTCCAGGTGCCTGAAGGTAGTACATACCAGATTAGGCTACGTAGAGATACATGGAGCCAGAGCAACCTGCCTGCGGTTTGGCTGAGCGGTGGTACCTGTTCGGTTCACGGCGACTGTTATCCATTCCACGCAGTTATGTACCTAGGCATATACTGATATACAGGTGGCCAGCTCCTACGATGCCTCCGTAGGTAGGTTCGGTACGTAAGCCGGGTCGAGGGCAACGTCGGAGGGTGGATGAAACAAACGTTCTGCATCTAGGGCCCCGCCGGCACGATACGCGCATACGCACACAAGCTAAACCCACCGGCGCAGGCGTCGAATTCTACCCTAGGCTCAGTAGCAACCAGCCCGTACCGCTGCCATGTGGGGATGTGCGGCTGGAGTTTATACTTGACCCGGTTAGCTGGGTAGTGTACCATGCCATCTCGTATTTCTTTTCCCGCGGCCGAGGAGGCAGCAGAGGGTAACATGCCGACATGGATGGGTGGACGCGCTGAGAGGGGTGCCCTGCCAAATACTATATATACCTACCTAGAACCCGTCAGACGCAATCATACCAACCTAGGTATAGAACTGTTAGGTACCTACCTGTAGTGAAATAAGAACCTTCAACTTGGGGCACTTAGGCGCCGAAGTACCTAAGCTTGCGCTGATCTGATGTTGCAGCGGATATAGAATGAGTTAACAGCCTGTCAGTCAGTGTAAGTAGGTAGATTAGGTACCTCCGCAACCAGAAGCGGGAGCGAACGCCGAACTCGGGAGCGCATTCGGTACATTCCACGATATACATATAGGTAAGACACCCATATATAATAATACGTGATGTCTTAGATTAGGCACCTTGCCATCGTCTATACCTAGTCTCGCATCCCTGCGCGCGGGAGAAAGAGGGGGAATAGAGATGGCGAGAAGAAGCGGAGGGGAACCTGCTAAAGAACGCCCACGGCCCACCCGACAAAATCTGGTCTTACTACCTAGGTAGTAGGTAGGTAGATGCCAGCAGCCGACATCTGAAATCCTCGTGTTCCCCTCCCCACCCCCGGTCTTGCGTGGTAATCGAAACATCTAAAACAATGCAGGGATAGCGTGCGAAATGCTACCGAAATGCTTTGCCATCCCGGGCGCTGGGGCGTGATCAACGCCGAATCGGGTCCACGGGCATCGTACCAGGCGGGAAGGCCATATTTCAACGTTACCTACCTACAATTAGGTAGGTACATGTACACACATGCATCAGGTGGTGGGCGGGTATCACGCACAGCCCAACTGCCTACCTAACGCACGCACATCGACCAACCTGTCAATGAGTAGGTTATGTGTAATCCCGAGGCACCCATCCATACCTTAGGTAGGTATATCTGTCCGAAGTCTCAACACCTGCAGCCCGTCTAAAGAGTTAGGTAAATCAGCAAAGTCCCCATCACGATCACCGTCGCAACGACGGAACCTTAAGACGAGAGCTCTCGCCCCATCGCAAAGTAGGCGCTGGCTGTATGGGGACCGGACGGCCCCGGATTACGGGAATATCTACGCCCGCCAAGCCTCCCATGTCGCATCGAGACTGCTGTTTCGCTTGCTCTGCTCTGCTCATGCTCTGCCGCCCGTGCTTAAATTTTTCTTTTCTGTCTTGCCTTTTCCTGCCCATGCTACGCCACTACCCTTGGCTCCGACGCCATGACATGCCATCGCCATGGGCGTGGACGCCCACCGGCCGGAGGAACTGGGTTCAGCCTTATATTGTCATGTTCAGATGCTCCATTTCTCGTCTGTTGGCAACCGCTTCGAGGGGCTTCGTCGTATGGGGGGACACTTTGCCTACCACGCAGGTTGGTGGTCGCTTCGCGCGCCCCCGAGAGCAGATTTCGCCGCCTTAAGAAGATCTTCTCTAGAGATACCTACCTACCAAATGCGCCCGACACTTTTCGACCGCCAACAACGCGTGTGTAGAATGCGCATGTCTTTCCTCCCCAGATACTGTGTTTCATCGAAGCCGCGTGCGGGGTACGCATAGAAAGATAGGCCTGCGTATACCCACCCATGTGTAGGTAGGTAGGTGGTTCATGTGTGTACGCCTCCTATCACTATGCCTTCCTTGAGTGCCTACCTACTTGGCAGAAGAGGACAGACTTTCTATATTTACCATCCTCCGACACGTAGCAATAGGCTTGGGCCTGCATCGTATAGCACGAAAGGAGCGCGCGGTAAAATTTGCATCCGTTCCTATCCCCGGTCAGCTTACACAACCTCGTCGCGCACCGGCCTACGCAACCCTCCGCAGGATCCAGGTAGTGAACCTGAGGTGGTGTCACGTGCATAGGCGCATATACATCACGTGCGTCGCGGTCTCGCTATCGTCTCCGGTTCTGTTCTTATCAGATGGTCCAAGCTTGCCAGGTAGGTTCCGTGGCTTTGCTGAGCGCGCGGTGGGCGGCGGTGGGCGGCAGTGTGGCTGCCGCTGCCACCAACTAGGTAGCTGCTGCGTAGCAATTGCCTAGGCCAAGTAAGTGTAGTAAGTCAAGTAGAAGGAGCTGGCCTGCCTGCCTCCCCCGTAGCTGCCCACCGTAGCTGGCCCCGTGGCTGCCCCGTTACCTCGACGCGCGACTCACGGCAGCTGCCACTGACCTCATGGGCTGGTTTACGCCCGGTAATCGCGTCACCCTCCCGCACCGCACGCACCTCTCACCACACAACACCTCACCACACACACCTCTTCCCTCACCACTCTCCAACTTCCAGCCCTCTCCCACACCACCAGCTTGGGACCACAACATATCCATATACGCTCGCTGTCGCAAGCATCCATCCCCCCCCCTCTTCCACGTCGCCATTCCATTGGCACTCAATTGATTCATCACTATCCCCATCTACATCCCATTTCTGAAAGCTGTTCCTAGCCTCTGCTAATCGCTGTCGCCATCGGCTCCACCACCAATCCATCAGCCAGTTTCATCGCGACGCCATTGCCTTTCCATCACAATGGCTGAACCGACAGCCATCGATGTACCCACGCTCTCGGCAGTCCCAGCCTCCGTCGCTTCGGCTGACGTCTCTGCCGCCGCTACACCTCAGTCCTTGCCACCCATGGATCCCGACGAGCGCGACAAGTCCCTGCACGTGTCGCTGGCCGACTTGACCGCCAAGGCCAATGCCCTCTATGCGCAGAAGAAGTATGAGGAGGCCGCCGAAGCTTTTTCGCGCGCCACCGAGATGCAGGCCGAGATCAATGGCGAGATGGCTCCCGAAAATGCTGACATCCTCTTCCTCTACGGCCGCGCTCTCTTCAAAGTCGGCCAGAGCAAGAGCAACGTCTTGGGTGGCGCGCCTGCTTCCGAGAAGAAGGCGAACGGTGCCGACAAGAAGCCAAAGACCAAAAAGCCCCACGCCGAGTCGTCCTCCGCCAACGCGGCCGGCGACGAGAAGGACAAAGCCGTTGACAAAGGGGCTGCCGTCGTTGCTAAAAACGCCGCCGAGAGCGAGGTAAAGGCGAGCGACAAGGCACTTGATACGAAGAAACCTCTCTTCCAATTCACCGGCGACGAGAACTTCGAGGACTCGGACGAGGAGGAAGGAGAGGGCGAGGGCGAGGGCGCAGGCGAGGGTGAGGAGGAAGAGGATGATGATCTCGCGGTCGCATTTGAGATCCTCGACCTGGGCCGCGTACTTTTCGAGAAAACTTTAGAGCAACGAGATCGAGAAACCTCGGAAGGAAAGGACAAGGAGGCTGCCGAAGGGGACACCCCTGCTGTCAAACACATCAGAGAACGTCTCGCCGATACCCACGACCTCCTCGCTGAGATTTACCTAGAAGATGAAAAGTAAAAACACAGACGCTCTCTCCAGCACAATCGAATATGTCGATTTGCTAACCATCACATAGGTACCCCGAAGCAATTAAGGATTGCCGCGCCTCTCTGAAGTACAAGGAGGGCCTCTACCCTATAGAGTCCGAAGCAGTAGCCGAAGCCCACTTCAAGTTGTCGTTAGCCCTCGAATTCGCGTCCATCACTAGCTCCGCCGACGAGGCGAATGGTGCCGGCCCGAAAATCGTCGACGAAGCTTTACGGCAGGAGGCCGCTGCGGAGCTGCAGAAGGCGATCGACAGCACCAAGCTGAAGCTGACCAACAAGGAGATCGATCTCGCTATGCTGCACGCCCCCGAAGACAACGAGCTATCGCGGAAGCAGATTGCGGAAATCAAGGATATCATCGCGGACATGGAGCAACGGGTGAGTTTATCGCTTCCCCGTCCACTCCTTGCCGCCGCGGGATAAAAAAAAAAGTCTGGAACTAACCCCCCCGAGTAGCTCGTCGAGCTCTCCAAACCACCTATGGATGTCAATTCGGTTCTGGCGGCCGAGGACGCCGTGTTGGGCGTTTTGGGCGCTGCCCTGGGCGAGTCTGCAGCCGAGAAGGAAGCCCGCCTCGAGGACGCCAAAAAGAGTGCCAAGGACCTGTCCGGCTTGGTTCGGAAGAAGGCCAAGGAACCCGAGTCGAAGCCAGAACAGGGTCTAGATGCCCAACAACCGAAGCAGACGAACGGGAACGGGAAGCGTAAGGCAGAAGAGGCGGCGCCCGGGGAAGATGAAACAAAGAAGACCAAGCTGGAGGAGGAGGGACCCAACCCCGACTCCCACTAGCATTCGAAGCGGGGACAGAGGTCAGCCAGCAAGGGGCGGGGCACGGCGGTGCTCGTACGTCTGAGGCCTCCTCGCTCAGCTAGGTAGCTCTCATCTCTAGCGAACCGACTTAAGTCTCTCTCTAGGCGTTCGGGGTTCGCGTTCAGGTTGGCGGCAGTCGGATATCAACTGCCGCTACATGTACATTAATCGCACTCTGTACAACAAGGCATGCACGTGTGCGAACGGGGCGTCGTCAGGCAACCGAGGAAGAAAGAAGCAGGGCAGACAGAAATCTTGGTAGTCGAGGCTGGCATAAATAGTCTCTCTTGTTTATTGATTTCCGTCTTTTGCGTCTCGCGCGTCTCTCTGGGAGTCGGGAAGCGAGGCGAACGAGCCCAAGCCGCCTGCCCGCAGGCCAGCCGCGACGAAGCAGACGACGCAGACGACAACCGCCGCACGCCCCCGCCTCCCGCTTTCGCTAGCTATCGACCCTCTGGCGATCCGGAGAGTGGGAGGAGGGCGGGCGAGAAGTTTACCTGAAGGGAGGTAGGCAGGTGGATAGATGGATAGATAGCTAAGTAACGCGACGTAGATGCACGCGTAGAGGTACCTAAGGTAGGCGGTGTAGCAGCTGTAGGGGGGAACAAGTACTAACCCGCCCAGAGACTGAATCGTGTAGGCTTTCTCCGTCCTTGCAGCACTGCGGATGGTATACAACACCCCCAGGTAGGTAGGTAGGTAGTGTACCTATTAGGAGTCGGCAAACACGCGTATCCTCGAGACGCATCCCGTACTTCCCCCCCTTCCCCCCGAGGCGGCGGTCGAGGAGGCGCTACGTGCTATGCTACGCACGCGCACGCAGGCCTGCACATGTCCCATCTACATACATTACATACACACGGCCCCCCTCGGCGCGATACCGCACCGCGCGACCTGGCCGACTACCGAACGCCACTCTGCGTCGGGGGGCCTAGGCGCGCGACCAATTTCGCTGCGATGCGCGCGCCGGGGCGGCGCTAGCCCCTGGGCTATCGAGGACGGGTGCAAAGCCGGAACGGAACTAACTACCATCTATCACTAACTACCTAAGGTAGGCACTGCTCCTACGCGCGAGTGGAGTCGCAAAAGGGGGGGGGGGGGCGGGGGGAGCGCTGCTGGCCTCACCAGTTGGAGAAAGGAGGCGGGCGCGTTCACATGCAGAGACGTAGGCGCGTTGGGCGGCACGAGGGACGAGAGATAAGAAGAAGAAGCCGAGGGAGTGCTAGTAGTAGTGCTACCAACGTGGACCGGTCCGGAACTCCAATTAGCGAAGCGGGACGCTGCCTCCTTTTCTACTACTCCCCCCACCACCCCAAGATAGACAGGCGGTGGCCTTGCGTCGCTTCGGTTGGCTTGCTTGCTTGCTTTAAGTGCCGTATCGGCGCCCCCGACGAGCGTGGAAGAACGTGAGGGGGGGAGAAGGGGAGGTGGCTACTAGGGAGGACGGGAAAGGGAGGAGGCAAGCGAGAAGCAATCAAGAACGACACGATTCGCCTAGAAGGGGGAGAAAGCCCACATAGATGGGCAAGGCATCATCAGCTATACTCGTACACGTGTGCACAAACCACCCATCTTCCCGTCCGGCCACGCCTTCATTACCCGCTCCTGATGCCCGACTCGTGGGGGTATACTCCGCGAGGGGGGTGGAAGAGGATGAAAAAAAGAGAAACCCTCGAGGAAAAACAGAGTAGACGGGAGGAAAAAAAAAGATGCAAAACCTGATATTGTCGTCATGCCCTCATGCCGGCTGGGGGCGTCGTCTATGCCCTCTTCCCTTTTCCCAGGGCCGTCGTGAAAAAAAAAAAAGAAATCCACATTCCACCCTCTCCACCACCGCAATGACACTCCACCATTATATCATCAGTCCCCAGGACCACGAAGCCTATACTGAAATTCGACAGAATCTAGATGGTCTGTGAAGCAGAGGAACCTGCCGCTGAAGGAGATTCCCCGAGGAGGGCCTCGCATCCTGTGAGTTCCGAGCCCGACCCCGAGCGGGTCAGCCTCAGATCGAGCCACTCCCGCGCCGCTGCCGCTGCCGCTGCCGCTGCCGCTACGCCGGTAGACGGGCCGTCGGCCCGCCGGCGTGCAGCCTTCGGCCTCGGCCCCTTCGGCCCCCGCGTACCGACGTCCTACGACAGATCACGGCCGGTCGCCATGCCTATTGCCGGGCCGGACGCCTTCCCTTTGCCCTTGACGGCCGAGGAGGACGCCGGGGCATTATTCCACGACAGGTAGGTATGGTCGCCGAGCTTGCGCGGCTTGATGAGGTTCGTGACCAGGAATACGAGGGCCAGGACGATGCAGAACCCGCCCACGACGAGCCACAGGATGCCCAGGAAGTTGTTCCTCCCGCCCATGACGGACAGCGTCGTGATGACGATGCTCTTCCTACCCTGGTACACGTCCGTTCGGAAGTCTGTTTCCCATACGCGTTAGCAACTTTTCACGTCATCGGCAACCTCGAACGACGGGTGACGCACTGTCGATGATATCCATAGAGTAGGTGCCTTTCAGCATAGGGGCCGTGTCGTTCTTCCCGTACAGCTTGCTGAAGGTCGGCAAACCTGCCGTCCGCATCCAGACGATGAAATGCTCGTCCTCCTTCAGGTTGGGCGGGGGCGCCTCGGCACTGTACCTCCCATTGGGGTAGCGAATCTGCCAATTAGGGGGCGGGAGGATGTTGTCGTAATTTGTACTATCTCGCCCTCCGTACAAATCCTTGTCCGAGTCCCAGGCGATGGAGGTGTTCTTCAATTCGTAAACCACGCTCGACGGGCTTTCGCTCTCGCCGTCCCGCGTCGGCGGGTTCAGAAGCACGGGATCCAGGAAGGTGTCGTTGAATAGCGAGTTGGCGATCAGACCGCACGGGTAATAAGCCACCTCGTTCGAGCTGTTGACGGTGGCGAGGGGCTGGCAATTAGAAGCATCGACTTCAGAAACGGAGACGTCATTACCCAGAAGCTGCCTATCGAAAAAGGACGCGACATAGCGACGATGGTTCTGGTAGAAGTTCTCCAGCCGGTAGTAGAGGAGAACAGGGGGGGCCATCTCCTCCGGTATATCGAAGGTGAGGGTGCACCTGGTAAGGTTCTGGACGGTGTACTGCCCATAGGTAAAATTGATGCCTTCAGTATGCTGCCACATGGCATTGATGGTCTCATTGTCCTTGAACGACGGGAAGATGAGGCTCTGGTCCATCAGCTCAGAGCTATCAGTCGGGGAGTCCCGGAAGCAGTTGGTATAGTCGATGCGCAACTCCTTAACCTGAAAGGGGGGAGAGGGGGGCCATTAGCAACGATTCAAACGAGATAGACAAGATCAGATGCCTCCGTACCGTAGAGCTAGCATAGATCAACAATCCACCAACGGGCGCACATATGATGCCTATGACGAAGAAGAGCGGGATGACCGTCTTAGGGGTGAGGATGGGCTGCCATGCTTTCAAGCGCTGTTGGCGAAACGCCGTGTTGGCCGGTCTTCTGCTCTTCTTCTTCTCCTTGGGGGTGTTGTCAATGCTCTCGGGGGGGGAGGAGTCGTCCATCTCGAATTGGAAGTGTGGTTGTCGATGTCAGACGGGAGAAGTGGAGTAGGAGGGTTCTGATGAAAACGGAGGTCTGAGGCCTGCTGCTCGTCGCGCGTCCTACGAACGGGGGAGCCGTCGCAGGGACCCGTCTCGGAGCACTCGGAGGGATCCTTTCACAACAGCGGCTGTCACTATCGCGGTCGACGCTTAGCGGAACGTAGGAGTATAGGACGCGGGGTCTTTCAGGTATGGGACAGCACTGGTGATTCCGGTTCTCGATGGTAGAATTAGCCCGAGGGGATTGGAGTAGAGCGGTGGTGTCGCGAAACAGGCTCGGCCATGAATGGGAGTTGATTCTGGAGGGTTGTCCGTATTGCTTCGTGGCTTGGATTGGGCGAAGAAACGCGGCCGAGTAACGTAGGCATGCGGCGAGCACAGCCACCCTGCCCAGCCCTTCCTTCGACACTTACGTAACACATGCCACCCTTTGCATTGGGTACGGTACCTAAGTACCTAAGTACTCGTCAACAGGTTATGATTATGTAATGTGCTGCTTATGTGAGGCCTGTGCACAGACCACCTGCGGTCAAGTACGAACCCCAGGTATCTATCCACAGCTGACCCTTCCGTACCTACCCCTTTTTCGACAGCCCTCGCTTTGCTGAGGTCAAGACACGATGTGCCCGATCTTGCGGTTGGGAGACTTGAACGCAGGTATATTGACTATAACCAGCAACGCATTGTCTAGTCTCGGGGTCGATATCACGGACCATTGCAGAGCTAACCGTGGGTAACTCCCTGCTCTGTTACATAGGTACCTACCTCACGTATACAGCCCTGGAGTTGTTGTAGTTTTGGTTGGCTTCCAAGTGTGAACCACCGACCTCAGACCTCGAGAGGCCACGTGCTGCGTGTTGACGAGCCAGATTCGGTGACAGAGAGAAGGGGAGGACGGTCTTGCTGAGAGAGGAGCCTGCCTGGCCCAGACCGCGTAGGTGTCGGAGAGTGACTGTTGGAGATGCGCGCAATAGGGAGTACCGCCGAATGTCCCCCGACTCCCGCTTTTACTACCTCAGGTACCTGAGGTGCTTACATCTAAACACCTGGCATTCTATCGAGAGTTGCCTCCCGCCGTAGGGACCGTAGGCAGTACAATCTAGCCCCGACAAGCTCGCAAGGATGTATCAGTAAATAAAAATAATACATTGCACGCCCTCTCAAGCATCCAGATAGGGGTAAACATAGTCGGGGTTGAGCATACCTATCTATTCGCCTATCGACACCTATACCGGCCGTTGAGCTGTCCCTCCACGTCTCTTCCCTCTCTCCGGCGAGTCGGCGGTGGTTGCATCCTTCTAGGGTAGGTATCTTGTTCCGTCAAGCGCAGATAGTGGGAGGAACACAAAGGATGCGTCTGAGTCTTAGACCCGAGACCAGTGTAACTACGCTTCTTTTGACTTCTGTCTCTCTTCTTTTCTTTTCGCTGCTTCCTCTGTTCGGGAAAAAAAAAGGAAACCCCTTCCTCTGATCCATAGAATCAGCCGGGGGATCTATTAACTCTCGTCTCCCGTCGAATACGGCCTTCTTACCCATGCGACGCCCGCCAGGCGTAAGGGATACGGAAGCCAGGTGCGCTGTTTCCGAAGGCTGGTCCGCTTCCCTTACGTGCATGATTATCGCGCCTCGACGCGGCGACGCACGACGTGCCCCCCTCGGCAGTGCCACGTCTCACATGTATTGACAGCCTCTGTGCCACCCGGGAACATAATCTGTGTAAGTCGGGCTTATCACCCATAGGTCGAAAGTGCAGAGAGGGACGGACTTGCAGCAGTGGCTTTCGTATTATTACGGCGCGGCCTGGTTCCAGCGTACGGGCATAGAAGCAAGTTCCTTGTTGCTCTCGTTGCCCAGGTAGGTAGACAGTTGGGTTATCGCCCCCTATCCTCTCTCCCCTTTCCCCAGCCCCTATATACGTACCCATGTATCAACCAGCAGTAGGCTTGCGGCTTTTATCTCGTCGGTATATGTCCGCCGGCATCGCCTTGCCCGCTACGTCGCCATGCTTTCTTGCTAGCTTGCTCGCTCGCCAGGTACACGAACCGTGGGCGCGTGCCATCCGATGGGCGGACATCACTGTCTAGCCTACACGCGCCCTCCTGAGGGTCTACCTAACCTACCTACCATGACGTCTGTTATCCCCGACTCTAACGCAGTGTAGCAATGCTCCCCGATTTCCCTACCTAGACTACTACTGATTATCGATCCGGTCGCTCTCACTTGGTACAAGGTCGTACACATGCCCCGAAAACCGCGGACGTGAGGTGGCATAATGCAATGCAGTACGTGCCTAGGCCCTGCCTGCTAGCGGTCTAATGGCGGCGGTTCCGTTAGGGTGGAAGCATCGAGATGCTTGATTACGGCATAGATAGGTATATATATACGTATGGCTACATGCCTATGCCGGACTGGACCGGACTGGACCGGACTGGACCGGACTGGGCGGACTACTCTAGCCGCAACGCCTCTTGACTCGCGCGACGTGCAACGGGTGCGAAACGAACGCGGACAAATATACGGGCAGTTTACCCACGTGTTAGAGGGGGTATGTCATAGTAAGGTAAGGCATGCCGACCCTCCGTGAGTGATGTGCACGGGCGGGTTAAAGCAGCATGTGGTATCTTCTACCACCAAGAACGCGAATTCCGGTGCGAGGGGTGATGGTACTCCTCCGTATGTCGTGCCACCTCCCGACGACTTACCAGCCCGGGGTGCATGACTTAGCTAAGTTCGGCCATTCCCTTCGACGTTTTCCATGCCTATCTAGATGTTCACCGTGATGAGCCGGAATAGGCGTCAGGGAAGGTCGCCCTTGTAGATGCGTAGGCGTCAACCCTAGAATTTCACAGGCCCCTTTCCTCGAGGCTTGCGAGTTGACTACGACCCCATCCCATGTGGATGGTGATTCTGGCCACTGGGCAGGATCCTTCTAACGAACGAACGGGCCTCATCGAGATCCGCCTAGGCATTCAATTTACTACTCCATATCGAGACAGGCGACAAAGGGCCTCAGCAAGTGTGCGCGTCTCGAGCAAGCATAAAACGGAGTACGCGATAGGGAGCGGACCCGCAAAGTAGAAGGCGCCGTAGACGAATCAGAGGGCGACGAACACTTCAAATGCGGGTGACGCCATACGCCACAGCTTGGAGCGTCAAGAACATGCAAGCTAGGCTTTGTACGCCCGATTATCGAGAGGAAAAGAGCATGTCATGACACTTATTAAGCTCAGTGGGCTTCTACTGAAAACGTGTATGTAACTATCGGCGTACTGGGGGAGAGATTTGAGGGATTCCCCATGCTACACACTAGCTTACAATGCCTGCTCGCTCATGCCCTAAACAGCGCTCACGACTTGATCACGTCCGATCAAGAGCGCTACCGAGACGGGGACCACGTATTCCGAAATCATACTCGTAATTCATTGACCCCTCTGGACACTACCCGTCTATCTATGGTTCCCATTAAAAAATAAAAAATAAAAAAGCAAGTCCATCATAACAATGGGGTAGGGAGGGGGGGTATCCTGACTTATTCTGCCGCGCCGAAAATTGTCTCCATTATTATGCCGGTAATCTGGTACGGATCGGCATTCGAAGCCGGTCGTCGATCCTCAAAGTAGCCGTAGCCCTTAGCGGCACATTCTCGGGGAATACGGATTGAGGCACCCCGGTTCGCGATACCATAACTGAACTGATCGATGGCACCGGTCTCGTGTCGGCCGGTCAAACGCTGCTCGTTGCCCTCACCGTAGACGGCGATGTGCTCCTTGTGTCGGCCCTCGAGCTTCTTAATGGCATCCTCGATGTGCTGCCCTGCGTGTCAGCGCCCTGTACGTAGCGATCGACAAGATGCTAAAAACCAATTTAGTCATACCTTCATACCACCTTCGACGCGCATGTTCGCCGTGGAGAAATTGCTGTGGAGACCGGCACCGTTCCAGTCACCCGGGATGGGCTTCGGCTGGACGGAGATCTTGGCGCCGAACTCCTCGGCAACGCGGTGGAGGAGGAAGCGAGCCATCCAGAGCTGGTCACCCATCTCGATGCCCTCGCAGGGACCGACCTGGAACTCCCACTGGGCAGGCATGACCTCGGCGTTGGTGCCCGATATCTTGATACCGGCGTAGAGGCAGGCCTTGTAGTGGGCGTCGACGATGTCACGGCACATAACTCGGCCAGCGCCGACGCCGCAGTAGTAAGGACCCTGGGGCGCCGGGAAACCGTTCTTGGGCCATCCGTAGGGGCGGTCCTCCATGTCGAAGAGGGTATACTCCTGCTCCAGGCCGAACCACGGCTTCTGCTCGGCATGGGCCTCCATCAGCTTAGCGCATTCGTGGCGGTGGTTGAACTTGTTGGGAGTGCCATCGGCATTCCAGCACTCGGCCAGGACGAGGATGTTGGGGACACCCCGCATGGGGTCGGGGTAGACGGCCACCGGTCGAAGGTAGACATCGCTGTTGTCACCGGGAGCCTGACCGGTAGATGAGCCGTCGAAGTTCCAGACGGGGAGATCCTCGGGCTTGATTTGACCATCCTCGGGGATTTTGGTAATTGTCTACATACACCCCAAAGTCGTTAGCACGAGCTCCTATCCAGAGGCTATCCGAAAGAAAACGCCGAAACGCGTTCCACAGCTGAGAAACACGCTACAGCGACCGAGAGTGGGGACGAGCCAGAAGTCAATGATCCTTGCTGCATCGCCACTGGGCATCGAACAGCGAACGATGATGATGACGCCGGCAGCCCGCACCGCGACTTGCGCTACAGCTAGGCGTAGGCCGGAAAAGCGCGGCAGAGCAGAGGGGCAAATTTGTAATACCCCACTATGACGGTGGAGTCCGAGGCGCAATCTCGGCGATTTGGTGGCTTGCGTGTAAAGTGCGTAGAGCGCCAAGGGGAATGGGGCGAGGTCGGAGGAAGCCGGTTCTATTTTTGATCGTCGGGACCGCTCTAGGCGATCGAGGCAGGGGGGTCTGCGAGTCTAGAAAACCTGCGGGCCCGACTGAGGACCAGCCAGAAATTGTCTATCGTGGGCCACGATCAACAAAATCAGGGTCCTCACATGTCCCGGATCGCCCTGCGACCACCAAGCCGCCGAGAAGGCCCTGACAGGACGGGATCGTGTAACAGGAACGCACGCGATTCGACCGAGATAAGGCAAAGAGCAAAGAGAGGGCAATGCCGGCATATCCAGCAAGTTGCATACGTACCTTGCTCTTGGACCGGACATGGCCATCAGCATCGATCCAGATGTACTCCGCCATGGCGTTTCCCTTCTGGTCGAGCTTCATGTACTTCATGAGCTGCGAGGAAAATAACCAGTCAGCGCCATCGTAGTTCACCCAGCCATCCGCGGCAGGCAGCACGAGCAAGGCAAATCGCAGCGGCAGCAGCCAGCGATGCGCCCAAGCCATGCGATGTTGCGGTGTCGAGGCATGGCGTCCGATCTCATGCTTACATTCTCGGTATACGAGACCAGCTTTCCGTCGGCCTGTGGGAGAGGGTCGAGGCGATTCTGTTAGCAAATCTTCACGTAACACGCGGGCAGTAATTGGCTGGTGAGGGCAAGCCGGTGGGGTTATGGAGCAGGATTGAGGCTCACTCACCATGGTAGCGGTATTGGACGGCGAGGGATCGATCTAAGGGTATTGTTCCTTTGTTGTCTCTACCACTCCCGTTAGGATATGCAAGAGCGTGACCGAGGTATGGCTCGTACGTCTGGAGATGAGAACAGCGAGAGGTGCGGTCTCGGAAGTTGACAGCGGGAGGGAGAAAGAGAAATATGTAGTGGAAGAGGGGAGAGAAGGGACAGAGCCAGAAATAAGACAGATAAAAGGAGATAACAGGGATAGATGGAGGGAGGGGTGGGTGAATTGTCCAGAGAGGATGAATTGGGGGGGGAACGTGGAGGGAATCAGGGAACTAAGAAAAAAGAGGACGCGCGGGGAGGGGAACTGAGGCTTTTTATGTGGAAAGGGCAGGAATGCCCTGACCGAAAGATACCTTTTCATATTCCTACTTCTATTTCTTTTTTTCTTTTTTTTTTAAGCAGGAGTTATTCAAGTTGTAACTACCCGCTAGTCAAGGTTGTCAAGAGATAAGAACAGAAGGGCGTCCGCGGTCTGCTCCTTGCAGGCAAGTTAGCTTGTGGCGTTGGAAGTTACCGCGTTGCTGCTCCGTCCTTGGGGGGGAGGTTACCGTGTAGTACAAGGGATAGGGCAGGCGTGCGTGTACGTATATACGTACCGATACGGGACGGTAGGTTTACCGAGCTGGCCAGTTCGCATGTATACGGATGTATCGTATACGGGCCGCGTGGTCCAGCCGTGGCCCGGATTTCAGGTATCGCAACTACACCGTCACCACGCCCCATCCCGCACACCGTATCTTATGCGCTGAACTGCCCGGGATGCTAAAAGCCTTCAGCACCTCCCCACCGCGGTTGCGATCTCCAGGCGAGTACCAACCCCGGGCGTCGACGGGAAATATGCGGAATTGCCACATCGCCTCAAATAAACATATGCACGCTGCCGCCTCTACGGTGGGAAACGTGAAGAAGAACAGAAAACGAAGGAAACGCCTTATCTGCGTCTGGCGCACCAGAGCGTTCCGCAGGCATCTCATGACTCCCTACTTGAGGGTTAGGTATGTTGCAGGTTGCGTGTGCGATGGTGTTGCATGTACCCTACCTCCTCCTGCGTCTCTGCGCGACGGGCGCCGCTAAGAAGTTTGGGGCTCGGTCCCCACCCGCCCACCGCCCTCGTCCAGGCCTGCACCCCTTCCGTTGGCTAATCCGTGATCAGTCGCCTCTTTAGCCACCTCTAGTCTCCCGGTCACAGTGGGGTGAGTCGCGGAGTCGGGCGGGGGGGAAGGGTGGGAAAGGAAGGGCAAGGATATGTAGGTAGATACCTATCTGGAACTTGCACGCCACTCATACTCAGCTACCCATCTATCCCCCCAATCTAGCTGTCCTATCTGCATAGCACGTCCAGGCGGCCTCTAGCCTGGGGTGCGGACGTCGATAGAGGTAGGTTAGGTGCTCGTTCTAAGAAGGGAAGAGACCGGGTAGAATGGGGGCATATTGGGGGGAGGAATCTACTGACAGGCAGGTGTAAACCCTACAGGCTGTCCCTAGGTGACAGGTAACCTAGAGCAGACACCTAATATACACCCGCTTATGGATGCCGGCAGGAGGTACCTGTCCAAGTACCGCTAAGGTTGGCTATTCGTGCCCAAGGTAAAGCACGGTAACCCAACCTGCCTACCTAGACCTGTGAGCCAAGGAAGTTTGGAAGGGAACCCCAGAGGCAATTGAGGCATCTCGGTGGAAATGTTACCTACCTAGGTGCCTCTATCATGCTACCATAGGTACCTACGTCCTCCTAGGCAGGCAATATTCTAGGCACGTATATGTACCTGTATGTGCATGGAAGCGCGTTGGGTAACACTCGTTCACCCCTCTAACCTGATAACCGCCCAATGATGTGGTTCGACGCTTCGACACCATGCTTTGGATGAGACTAACCGGCGGTTTCTATGCCAAACTCTACCCTGAATGTCTACGCCGCTTTATATGCCTCGGAAACCCGGTCTCTTCTGGTCTCTCCTCCTCCTCTCCTCTCATTTTCTCTCTCTTCCTGCTGCGCTAGAAGCAACTCAGCCGTCGCCATCACCGGGGCAGGCTGACAGGTGCGTAACGGGTAGATGGATGGATGGATGGACGGATGGACGGATGGATGGACAGGTGGGTGGATGTACATATGTAGGTATTACAGGCCTGCAGAATGCAATGCGGCCCTCGATTAGCCCTGCCGCGCCTACAACACCGGATCCGGTTTCGTGGAACACCGTGTCGCTCGCCTAACCTCGCTCGCCGGCTCGAGTTACAGCTACCAAATTCGATACCTCCGGCGACCCGTATAAGTACTAGATGTGTGCATATGTGAGTGCCACGCACAGGTTTCGATTACCTATTTTTTATACATCGCTACCACGAAAACGCGGCGGCGGACAAAAGAAGAAAGGAAAAGGGCGGAGGGGGAGGCAGGAAATGGCCCTACGGCTCCATCATCCGCGACCTCTGCTCATTCGAAGACGGCCGCAGAGGAATGGATGTCGGCAACGTTGATCCTGATGCCAGAGAGTCCGCTCGCCACCGCTACTACCTACCTACCTCCTGAGGTAACCTACCGCGACAGTTCTACTAGGTACGTTACTAGCAGTATGCAATGGAGGGCCGGGGCCCTTCTGTGTGCACACACACGCAAATACGTGCATTGTCTGTTACCCAGAAACCAAGGAGAGTGGAAGGAGAAAAAAAAAAAGATGGATGGCACAGTCGATCGCGGCGGGACCCTGACTGACCGACTGGGCTTGCCCGGTAGGGATGGGATTGTGAGACAATGCTAGAGGGACGATCCAGAGTCCCCGAATTGGTCCCCTAACGACCGTCTCTGGGCGCATTGTTGTCGATTTGCAATGCTTGCTCGGTTGCCCCTCGGCAACTCTGAGCCCTTTCCGATTCCCCCCAAGCGAGTTACCTATGCTTGCCCTTGTGTGTCTTTTCACGAGCTTCCTTCTTTTTTTTGTTTGTCTGGTCTACTACTTACCTACCTTTTACTGCTACGCGCTCTGTTGTGCCCTGCGAGTCGGGTGCTTCTCGTCAGACACTCAGTACAAGCGAGGAGACTTCGGGCTCTTGCGTCGCGAACGGAAAACCGAACGGGCTGACTCGTGATCGTGGCCTAGGAGGTACCTTACAGGTTTTCCTGGTCCGGGGGAGACCGAGAATTGCCGCCCTCCCGTATCTTGGTACCTAGGTACCCAGGTACCTCCTCCTAGGTTCTTGACATCCATACCCGGTTGTATGTAGGTACATAGGTACCCAAGGCGTGGCTGACGTTAGCAGGTTATTCCATCTAATACGGAGTGATTGTGGATGCGACGGAAATTGTGTAAGTGAGGCCGATGTGGGGTAGAGCCAGAAGGAGGGCCCGCGATTCGGCCTTGAGTCATATTAGCCTCGCCGGCCAGCCGACAAGAACGAGACAAGCCGCTACCGTTTTACCTATAAGTTGTCCATGTCCAAAGGCGAAAAACCTTTAAGGTACCTAGTCCGTCAGTTGGACACTCCGCTATGATGGGTAGCATGGGGCAACATCTGCCTACATGTGAATGAAACGGAAGAAAAGGAGCGGAGCCGCTCATTGACGGATCTACAGGTAGGTAGGTGGGTATATCAGGTACATACCTAGGTACCTAGGTATTATGAGGCGCCCAGGTTACTCTCCGTCGTGAGCTTATCACGATCAACAAACTCCCACTTCTCTGCGCACTTACCAGACTTCTACCTCTTTTTTTTCAACGATTGAGACTACACCAGGACAGTGATGACGGGATTTTCCCGTAGTGGGATCGCCCTCCATGTTATGCTTGGCATTGCCAATTGCAACATTCTCGATCCCACCCCTATTCAGGCACGTGCATAAGTAGGTACCCAAGTATTACCACATGGACAACGGCGGGATGGAGGGAGGGATGAAGAAGCAGATCTGCAAAGATATCCATCCCCCAACGGCAACCCCGCCCCCTTGCCGTGGCATATACGTACAATAGAGAGGGTTGGTTACGTAGCGTCGGATCAGCTGAACGGAGGGATTGGAAACCATCGACGTACGCGGCAAGCTCTACGATAGAACTCCTCCAGCTTACATGTACCTATGAATTCCGCCGCCCCCAGGATCCACCACCGGCATAGATACCTAGCTGCCAAACTCGGACCCGGCTATCTTTAGGTAATACAGCTGGGGTCTGGAGATGGTAAGCAGGCGACGAGGCCGTCAGGTCTGTGGGGTGGGTGCGACGCCATGACCACCCGGGCATCCTTTGTTATCGTCGCACCGCGATTGGCCGGCCGACCATTTCATTGCCCAATTCCATCAACTACGCAGTACGTAAATTCTTCCAAATGCCTCGCGGCCTCGACCGCGAAGAGGCAGCGCCGCTTCGAAACGCGGGCCCTTCCATTGGGCAGACGGCCTACCTCCGGCCGCCGGCAGCTCGACGAGATGGGAATACCGCCTCTTGCATCGCCATCGCCATCCTCCTCCTCCTCCTCCTCCAGGTTCCCAGTGCTACGTTAACTGCTATTCTACCCCGTACTGCCGCCTGTTTTCGGCTTCGCTATTGTTAATCCCTGACTGGTCGTTCGATGAGGAGGGGGTTTTTTTTAACCCTTCTTTTTCACCTCGTCCATCGCTCGTCTCTTGAGTATCACCCCATAACGGAGTGTGGGCTATTCCCTCTCTGCCTCGCGTTTTTATGTAATGGCATTATTTCCGTTATTTCCTCTTCTCCAGCCCTCTCCCTTACGTGGTGGAGTCTGACTAGCCACTTTCTCCTTTTCTCTGAGCCCAGCCTCCCGCGGCGTCGGCTGAGACTTGGGTGCTTTTTCGCGGAAATAATGGCTAGTAGCTGCTGGAGGCTGTACGGAGGCGGTAGGGTTATACGGGTTATTTTATTAGACATCAGGCAAGCCTGCGTTAGTCCTTGCTATTGCTGGCCCCTCTGCCTAGTATCAGTATACACCAGAAACTTCCCCTGAGCAACATTAGTCAGCATGCGATCGTGCCCCTTTTCTTCATCCATAGCTATCTCCTTCGACCTGCTCGGGGCCGCTTCAGCTAAGAGGCGCACCTTTTATCTCTCTGGTGGTCGAGTCTGACGCCCCGTCAGGAGAGCGTTTTCTTCCTAGGACGTACAAGTGCCCGGTAAAAGCCGGTGGATATATTTCAACGCATGGTAAACCGCCCTTATCTATGTCTCTTTGTATAGGTAGGTTTCCTAACGGACGCTTTCTGCTATGGTTCTTGCTTCTTGATAGACACTATACCTACCTACGGATAGAGTGCGGAGCATACGAAGCTGCCACCGCCGCATGGGTATTTTGATTCGGGACGTCGTCACCGTTGGGGCTAAACGTGCTCACGCAACCCCAGGAGAGCGACCATCGTTCTCTAGCGTAGTGCCTACTCCGTATCGACGTCTAGGACAAAGGCATGCTTACGGCCCTGCCAAGCTCGATTGCGGGATGGAAACTGTGCAAATTACGCTGTTGCCCGGTATCAAGTCAAGACGGAGCATCGGTGCTCCCCTCCGGGAGAGACATAAAATGTCCATGACGTGATACCCAGGACGGAATGGCTTTGCCGTCGACGAGATCCATCGGAAGGCGTCGTAAAATGAGGACTGGCCAGCCGGTGTTGGGCGAGAGGGGATAAGGGAGGTTCGCGGAGAAGAAAACCGAGTACCCGTTTGATGTGTATCGGAGGGAGAAGAGAAGTTGTGGGTGAAGGAGAGGCTAGCGATAGATGGATTTACAAAGGCGAGGGCGTGTGTGCCTAGCATCGCTCTCACGCACCTGCTACAACCTCGACACCGGTCCCTGCCGCAAGAGTAAGAGGCAGGCACGTCCCTATATGGAGGTTCAGATCGAATTCGGGCAGGTCCGTAGCCAAGGAAGGCTCAGGGCAAGAGGATCTACCTGAGGTACTTATCAGGTTAGAGTCTACGACACCTCTCGTCTCCCTCTCTATCCTCACGCTCCTCACCATCTACCTACCTCTAGTATCTGTAGACGGCACCATCTACAAACTACCTAGACGCATCCCACAGCAGCTCTTATGCCCGTCCTGCATCTATTCCCAACATACTTGCACCATCTACGACGCGTTCGTGTCGCAGCCTCTACCGCGGCTATGAATTGGACGGAAGGCAACCTGTCGCGCCATTCCAGGGGCCGCCAGCGAAACGTCTCGCTCATGAAGCAAAAACAGCATTTCGCAAAGGCCCGAAACAGTCTTCTCGGAAACGGCAGGAAGCAGAGCCCGATATCCATATCCTTCCACGGTGCGCAAAACCCACGATCCCCGGCACGCCGAGGAGAACATCGCAAGGAATCGCCCCGATCACCGTCGAGCCCGATGCTGGCAGAGAGGCGGAAGTCGACCGAGAGTTCCCAGGCCGATGTGGACAACGAGACCTTCATCCGCGAAAAAAAGAGACGCCTGCTTGAAAAGTCAGACTGGGCCGGACTGAACTTGCAGCAACCGATCGACATCAGCTTTCCCAAGCAACTCCAGACATCCGCCAGCTCGAGATGGGGTAGGATAGGTTTCTCACGGACGCAGGCTACGCAGAAACGCCGCGAACCTGTTGAGGTACATCGAGCAGAAGCCAGTCGAGAAAGTCACGGCCATCCCCTGAGAATTCGGATAGGCAGCCACGAGATCCAACCAAATACGAGCACATCGCCTCGTGCCAGCACCAGGAGATACAGTCTAGAGCCACGCCCTATAGCGGACTTAGCACGGAAAAAGTCGAGCCCGATATCGAGTCCTATTCCTAGCCAAGCTCGTCAGCTCTATGTGGCGGCAGGGACTAGCCAAACCTTGAGGGAGCGAAAGGGCAGCTTTCGAGGAGGAGCAAGGCACCCTGGCAGTGCTCGCTTCGAGGCTTCCACCAAGCCACCGAGGCCAGAGGAGCCAGCCCGTACCGTCTACTCCTCCTCTACCATTCACGAACCCACCCCTCGCCGAGCTAATCATTTTACGGTATTACACTGGTCTCCTAGGAGATCGGACGGCCAGGAGGGGAGCCTTCAAGTAGAAATCGACCACCCCGTGCCATCAGTTTCCTCGTCGCAGGCAGCAGACCAGCAACTGTGGAGATCCTGGCTTCCGAGCTCTTCTGACAACCCTCAAAACGACTCTCCAACTAAATCGTCGATTACTGGCCCTGTGGTGAGTTCAAGCCCTAACACGTTGCCACCCCATTTTCAGAGGCTGTTACCAGCCTACGCAGTACCTAGCGAGCCAGAGACGAGAACTGGTCACGTGTGTTCCGTTTGGGGCACAAAGACTAGCGGCCAGGAGGATTCTCAGGTTGAAATCGGTGATAGCGACCGTCAGTCGGCTGAGAAGCGTAGTCCGAGCCATCGGCCCCAAGCCCAGGACACCCATGACGATAGGGCCTGGATGAAATTTGTCTTCGATGACAATAGCGATGAGATACAAGCGAAAGCGTTCGCAGAGGCCGCACATCAGGCCGCTAAAGAGCTACACCCATCTGAGGCGCCGGCGAGCATGCTTGACGCAACCGAAACCGTTGCGACGTGTGGGACGGACAGATGTAATGAAGGGGAGGAAGATGAAAGAGAAGTAACACCAGGAGAAGATTTGATCGAGAGCAGGAAGACAGGATACGAAACGGTGAGTTCCGATTTAACCAGTACTATGGCCACGGCAGGGTCAACAGTTGTAACTGAGCCGGAGCCGCGATTTCGCTTCACACTTCCGAGGACTTTCGTCGGGAAGTTGGCATTTGCCGATTCTAACGCCGTTACGCGAACCCCAACCCTACTATCGTCAAACGGAGTCAGAAAAGGTAAAGGATGGCGAAGGAGGAGAGCGAAGGACGGGAGAGCTGATATTCGGCTGCTCCCAGATTATGAGGATGACCCGATCGAGGAATCTGGCGATGATCAATAGGGTAAACCGGTTAGACGAGCCTCTAGATGCATAATGGTGGCCCGAATTCTCAACATGTTAGCAGGGACAATGAAGATGACGATGTCCATCACAGAGTCACAATCATGCCCCAGTAGAAGGCGAGCAAAAAGTCAGACGATTTATATACCTGCCTAGTTAGTTATGACACCGGCGCAACCCGACCGGGATTTGCATTTCGGGGGAGTTGGTCACAGTACCCCTTTTATCTTTGGTGCGACTTACCTATAGATAGGTAGATCCCGTGGCCTCTTCTCAAACCCGCAAACCTCTCCTCATCACCGTTTCACCACGCCAGCGCTATTAAACGCTCACTTACCTCCCAATTCCTCGTTTTTCGCCTCCTTGGAGATTTAGCCGTCAGCTGGTGCTACTGTCTGCGCCAAGAATCATGGCTCCGTCGTCGCACATTGATTTGTTTGCGCCCTGTGAACGGGATATCATCCTCGAGGTGCGAAGTAGCAGGATGGTGACGATGCCGGGGCTGAAAATCGAGAGCGGAATCGACAAGAAACCCCGTTCCGGCCGCATCCCTGTATCTTTCATCGGCCTCGACGCTGACGAGCATGATTTGGTTTTTCACGGCGGGAGGGATAAGGCCATTCACGGGTGTGAGCTGATCGACCCCTCGGCTGCATGCGTGCCATCGACTCATCCCCGAAACGCTCGTAGATTTCGTTACTAACAGGTCTTCCAGACTGCTGCTCTCACTATTACGCCTGGCAGACGGAGTTTCCGGAAGCGGCGGCGCGCTTCCAGCGTGGCGGCTTTGGCGAGAACTTCGTGACGGAGTATAGTGCGTTTTTACTACGTCTTACTACGTTCTTGTGATAAGGAAAATGCAGGCACCCACACCCACTACCCCCCCTGCTTAGATATCGGGGCTTGAATGGCTGTTTCTGCACCACAGATAGCTAACCATCACCTCTTGTCCGAATCTACTCCGCCTTTTGCTTGGCCACTAATCGTGGGATAGTGAACGAGCGCAACATATGCATAGGCGACGTCGTCTCAGTGGGGAGCGACGGCGTGCTACTTCAGGTCAGTCTGCCACGGCAGCCATGCTTCAAATTAAACCACCGCTTCCAGCTCAAGAACTTCGCGCCCAACACGTACCGCGCTAGTCGCACGGGTTGGTACTACCGTGTGCTGCGCGAGGGTACGGTGCAAGCCGGCGACGAGATCCGGCTGGTTGAGCGCCGCTGGCCGAAGTGGACCATAGAGCGTGTGCAGGAGTACCTGCACCGCAACCCCGATGACGCCGCCGCTAACGAGGAGCTCGCCGCCATCGCCGACATGGGCGATGAGAGCCGGAAGACGTTCGAGAAGCGCGTCGAGAAGTTGAAGGTCCGCCAGAGGCGCGCCACGAAGGGAAAGGGAGAGGGGGAGGACCTGGAGAGGTGGCGGGACTTCCGGATTGTCGAGAAGAAAACGGAGACGCCGCGCGTTGCATCTTTCATTCTCGAGGCGGTGAGTCCGGGTGTTGATCTGCCCGAGGCTGGTGCTAGGGTCGGGGCCGGAGAGCCGCTGCTCGGGTCGTACGCGCGCCTGCGGCTGCCAAACGGGCTCGTCCGGTCGTACTCGATTATATCAGGCACGTGTGACCGGTTCGAGCTGGGCGTCGCGCTGGCGGAGCCGACCCGCGGGGGCTCGGCATACCTGCACGGGGAGGCGCGGGTAGGCGACGTACTGGCAGTGGGGCGGATCGCGTCGGACCTGCAACCAGCCGGTGCAGCAAGCTCGCATGTCTTTGTGGCGGGCGGGATAGGCATCACGGCGTTCCTGGCGCTGCTCAAGCTGTACCGCAACGTCCACTGGGACACGACGCTACACCTCGCGGTGCGGTCCGTGGCGGAGGGGGAGGTGCCGTTCCGGGAGCTACTCGAGGAGCTGTCACGCGGCAGTGGCGTCAGCGGCAGCGGCGACGGCGGTAATGGAGTCAAGCTGCACCTATATGACGGGTCACGGGGTGAGCGTGTCGACATCCCGCGCATCTTCGCGGAGATGCCATGGAACGCGCACGTATACGTGTGCGGGCCGGACCACATGATGGCGGAGGCGATGCGAGAGGCGAAAAGGCACGGGCTCGGCCCGGACGAAGTGCACTTCGAGGCGTTCTCGGCGCAGACGGGCGGTGACCCGTTCGAGGTCGAGGTGTACCACTCGGGCTCAAAAGCGAACCGGTCGAGTAGCGGAAGCGAGAAGTGCAGCAGCGGCGCAGAGAGCGGGAGCGAAGGGGGAGCAGGCCCAGTCCTGCTGAAAGTTGGCGCCGACGAGACGCTCTTGGAGGTGCTGCGGCGACGGTTTGGAGAGGTAGCGGCGCCGAGCAGCTGCGAGGCGGGCAACTGTGGGACATGCCAGGTGACGTTGCGGCAGGGTCGCGTGGAACACCGCGGGACCGCGCTCGCGGACGAGGAGCAGCGTGGAGCGCTGCTGAGCTGCGTCAGTAGGGGGGTCGGGCGGATCACAGTCGAAATCTGAATCTGTATATAGACAAAGTCGTCAATAAACAGGATATTGAAGGCTAGCATAGTAGAAAGTCTAGAACACATATACTCTAAAAGGCGTTTTGCATAGCGTCCGCAACCTAGGTCGTACTTCTGAGGGACGACAGTCCTAGGGGCTACCAGGGGAGTCCATCTTAACGTGGTGGTACCCCTTCTAATGTACATGCGTAACTCTCAACCGGGCGTCTTCGTTCCAAGACCATAAATACCCGTCATTTACCACGTCTAGAAGTGTTCGAACCGGTTCCATTATCTAGGCTCGTAGGAGGTGGGCTCTGCTTAGGCCCGCACCAGAAGAAGATAACGACGGCGCCAGTGGCCGCCCAGATGGAGATGCTCCACGTCATGGTCCCCCATCCGGCAGCGTCGACGACGTAGCCGGCCCACAGGGGGCCGATGACGCCCCCGAGAGCGAAGGCCATCGTGAACAAGCCGTAGCCGAGGCCGTAGACGCCCTTTTCGCCGAAGAACCCAGGGTGGATGGCGATCTTATCCTCGATGGCGTAGCTGATCTCGGCCATGAGCGGGGTGTTGGAAAAGGCAAGGGCGACGCCGAGCGGGGCGAGCAGGAAGCCGAGGAGGATCTTGTGCTCGATGCGATTCTCTGTCACGAAGCGCAGGCATACGAGCAGCGGGATCGCGAGGCAAAAGCCGAACAGTGCCGGCCACCTAGCGCCATACCGGTCCGAGACCCAGCCGACGAGGGGCGACACGAAACCCGGCAGAAAAAGCGACAGGAAGAGGATGCCAGCCGCCGTGGAGTCCCATTGGAACATCCGCCGAACGAACAAGGCCAGCACAGCGTCGAATCCCATCCTACCGGCGGTCAGCCAGTCAGCTCAGTCTACGGAAAGAGAGGGTAAAGCTAGATGTTCTGAGGGTAGTGCTCACATGATACCGGCCTGCGCGAAAAGACCGTATAAAGCGGCCAGGAGCCGTGGCGATTTTAGGAAAAACATGAGGAGGCGACGCATGTCAGGTTGCTCGACCACAACCTGCGGTTCCGCCGGTTCCTGAACTATCACGCTCGGCGCCTCGATACGCTCCTTTGTCTTGCTTTCCTGCGGCGGCGCGCTCGCCGCAGCGGATTTCTCATCGCCGTCCTTCGGTTCCGAGGCAGGCGAAGGAGTAATGGTAACCGCCGCCGCCGCCGATGCTTCAACGTCGAACGACTCACCCGCCGCCAAGAGATCGGAACTGCGATTGTCATCGAGCCACTGCCGCGCGACCTTCTTCTCGATCATGAAGAGCCGCAGCAAGATGTCGAGGAAGATGACGCCGAAGGCGACGTAGTAGACGGCGTAGTAGCCGGCGGCAGCGTAGACCGCGCCTCCGATGACAGGCGCGATGAGCAGGCCGACGCTCGTCCCGATGCCGACGTAGCCCATGGCGATGCCGGTAGCGCTCGCCATGGTGTCGATGAGGAGCGCGCAGCCGACGGTCCACACGACGGCGGCGCTCAGCCCCTGCAGGATGCGGCCGACGATGAGGAGGGCGATGGAGTTGCCGAGGCACAGCAGCAAGGTCGACGCGGCGAGGGCGATGAGGCCGAGGAGCAGGGGCCACCGCCGCGACGAGGTGTGGTCGGCGTAGACGCCGGCGAGCGGGCTGCCGACGAACAGGGCCACGCTATAGCAGGCTAGTAGGATAGAGGTCCACGACTGCACCTCCTCTTCCGGGATGCCGACCTGCACGGTGAGCGAGAAGGGTATGACGGGGATGATGAGCGCGTAGAAGAAGATGTCGGTGAATATGGCCATGACCACTTTTTTTTTTTTCAATGCCCGCATCCGATTAGTAAACGCACCTATCGACTACCTCGAACACACAGCTGAGGTGAAGGGGGTTCGGGGGGCACTCTTCGGAACCCTTCGCGCAGGGACGCCGAGACACGGGCGTGCCCAGCGAAGCGAACGACGGCTTGTACGCACCAGTGAACACGATCAGAGTCGTCGAGGACCGGACGGCGAGGAAGTAAGGCGGTTTCGACTTAGACCCGTCCTTGTCCCCCGAGAGGAACCGCCGCGTGGAATCCAAGACGCCACCCATCTTGATCTTGATCTTGGTCTTGGTCTTGGTCTTGATGCTTCTCCCCTTTTCGGTTAGCTCGCCGTAATGTGAGTAAAGCAGGACACGAGATTTGTTAGTGTCCCCGCCGCCGAGTCGCCAATCCAAGATGTCGCGTCCTTGTAATTATCCTTCGGATAGGACAAGAATAGCACGCGATGGAAGATTTCTTTAGTATCAGAGAGGAAGACGGAAATTCGAACGTGAGAGACTTCCTGGGGGCGCAGTTCTAGCTCGATACAGGCTCGGAGACAGCTACTCGAGCTGCCACCAACACAACTGTTGTTGTTTTTGTTGTCGTGGTTGCAAGTAGACATCTCCGATCGGACCGTTGGACCCTTGGCCAAGATGGATGCCGCTCTCGATGCCGTGTTTCAAGAGGGGGCCCGCGGGTCCCGACCGGGGTGGCGTACCGGTGCCAATCCTGTGGCACACGGCACATGAAGGGATTTCACCCGAGAGGTCGATTACCAAATTCCGCACACCTGCATTTCCACGCGCGCACACAGGCCCACGCACACACAAAACTATATACCTATATCTACAGGTATCGACATGAGAGCCGGATCTGGGTCTATCCCAACGCTGCACAGCAGACGGAAAAAACAAGGAAATGCGGGAAGAGGTTCGAGCTGGAATACTAGGGGGAAAGCGACGGGTATTATGTAAGGCCAATCATATTGTCGCGTTTACCGGATATAGACTGTTCCGCTTGCCTAACCGAATTAGGTAAAAAGAGTGCAAGTGGGTCCAATGCAAGGTTCGTACTGGATGTACCCATGTACTACGTGTAGTTCTGAGTACCTATCTGGTTATGTAATCTGGTCCTGGCTTGTTTTTTTCTCCTTTTTACGAAACAACACCACAAGGCTGAATGTCTAATCCTTTCCCTCCTTGTCCGTGAAGCAAATCCTACAACTACCAGCTCCGTGACCCCGAGGGTCAGCCGCCCGAAGCCGCATCGCTACCCCTCGGACCTTGGCCGGTTCGCACGCGATTGTCTCACCGAAGTCGCGACAATAACGCCGTCATTCGTGTCAACATGTTCGAAACTTCCAAGACGTCCGCCGAGTTTTCTACTCTTCCCATCTCGATACCGCCTTGCGCCTCATTTCCGGTCGACGTGGTGCACTACCTCTACCTACGCAGAAATTCCCCGAAAATACCCACCCCCAATGACGGCCGCAGTTTGTTCATAGTCAACGTCCCCGCCGATAGCACTGAGCCCCATTTTCGCGCCCTGTTTGCCAGCCTGGTCGGGGCAGGCCGATTCGAGAGTATCGCCTTCGAACAGGGCAAGAAGTCATCGGCATCGCACGAGCCAGCTGAAGCCGTACGGTTGGCGGCATACGGCAAGAGAAAGTGGGCGGATGAGGAGCTCCGGAACTCGATAGACGAGGCGGCCGCCGAGTTGCCAAGCACGTGGACCCGGCAGCTGTATCGGAGCGGTAGCTCTGCCATCGCTCTGCTAGCTGACGAGAAGAGCGTTGACCTTGTTCTCAAGGCTGTGAAGAAGGTTAGGAAGCCGAAAGATTACCCGGTGTGGGGGGAAGGCGTCAATGATAAAGCTCCGCCTCTGGGCTCTCAATGGCTTCAGGCCCACGTCAAGCTCTCCTTCCCGAGCCACGACGCGATCCAAGCCTCGATGGACGCCTACTTTACCGAATTCAACCGGAAGGAGAAGGAAGCATCTCGGCTGGCTAAGAAGCTGCGCAACGAGCCAGACGAAGACGGCTTCGTGACCGTCACTCGGGGCGGCCGGAACGCGCCGGCCAGGAGAGACGAAGCCGAGGAGGCCAAGCAGCGGATGCTGGGCAAGCAACAGAAGAAGAAGGACGAGACACATGATTTCTACCGCTTCCAGATGCGCGAAAAGAGAAAGGCCGAGCAGGCTGAAATCCTAAAGAGGTTTGAGGAGGACAAGAGAAAGGTCGAAGCCATGAAGGCGAAGCGAGGAAAATTCAGGCCCGAGACTTGAAGGATAGCCACACTTGAGGTCGGTCGAACGAGGCAGAGCCAAGCAGGAGAGTCCAAGTCCGACTCGGAGCCATCTTGGGTATATATATATTCTCTCCGGACAGAGGGACGGAGACTCCGAGTGGTCTTGCCTTGTCAAAACGATGGTCTGGTAAGTTACGGCCCGAAACTTATTAGGTGAGTACCTGAGTATTTGTTCCCCCCTCGTCCTTCTCTTCCACATGATGACACGCACGGGGCCAGCGAACTGCTTTCAAGCCTGGGCTTTCAGGCACTAGACAGCATATGCCGATAAAAACCGTGTTACTATATCTTCTCAAACTTGTCTGACAACGACTCCTCTGTACCACAATCGTCTTTTGTGCATTGTAGGTCGGGACGGCACCAAGCTAATGAAATTCGTAGGCAGCTAAACCCCTTGAAACAACGAACGAGGCTCGTCTTTCTGCCTCGAGCACGACAGACGTGATGCCAACCACCCCCTTCCCGTGGCCTCTAGAGGAGGCGTCTCTAGGTTGCTACTCGGCCTTTCTCTAATCAACCTTGAGCTAGGGATCCGTCTCTGACATACTCTATATTGGCCCGTTGTCTTCCGGCCCATCGTGAGAGACCAGCTATATGTAGCTAACAGGCGACAGCACTCACACGTAAACAAAACACGTTTACGTACAGAATAGACCCCCAAGAGTTGCATGACTATTTGATTACCTACTCTTCCACAAACCACGTCATGTAGCACGACAGAATTGGGAGTGAGCCGCTGAAGAATCCTAAATCCTACAGCACCGCTCGTCTCACCCTACTAACCCCCTTTGACTGGCGATTGGGATCGCCCCCTGGGTTTCGGGTTGAGAAACCGACCGAGCCTGGCAAAAAGGCGCTGGAACTTTTTCGCGCTTGGAAGGTATAACTACCACCCTAGGTATGACGGCGTTACGATGAGGCCCCAATGGCCTCCAATCCCGCTGATGGGGTGTGATTTGCTCTCGCGAGATAACTCGCTGCCTAGTCCTACGTTAATTAAACACTCAATTTACCGAACGAGGCCGCAGGGAATACAGGCCTGTCAATCGGATTCCAACTCACCCCTAGGATGGCCGAAGTATCCAGACCCGCCAGCCATAAGACATGCTTAAATATAGAGTCTTCCACAGCCACCGCCCCTCAGCGTACCGCATGCCGGCCGATCTGACCAGCCAGGTTAGGCAGTACGAATTCTATCTTTGTTACGTGTATAGATAATTGTACGAGCCTACAAAATCTCAATGTCTCCCGCCGTTCTCAACTGCATCTCCCCTAATCTTCACGTATGTTCACCATGGTCACCTCCCTAATAAGACAACGCTAGTGGTGTCTATCGGCTGGCCTATCATATCGATAAATCGTTACGAGTCCTTTCGAAGCTCGATTCCGTGGACAAACGAAGAGGCTGTGAGTACGGTTATAATTCTAGTTGCGGCGTGCCGACTGTGGTGATGGACAATCTCAACGTGGTCGGCCACAAGGACGGCTCCTCGGGTGGCTGGAAGCTGGCGGCCAAGGTCAACTGCATCATCCTTGTTGTTATGTCGATAGTTCTTATCAGCTGCTTGATCGTGGCGACTTCGCACAATGGCGGCAGTACTCAGAAGGTGCTGTTCTTCTACGACGGCGACTGCGACGAGGGTAACGTGTCGAAGGTCAATACGGCGCTGCATCTGCTCATCAACATCGTTTCGACTCTAATGGTGAGTTTCTGTCTATACCCTCATGCTCTGATATTCGGCCTTCTCGTTCGAAAGAAGAAGAACCTCCCTTCTATCGGCGACGGGTATCCACCTTTACGTGCACTAGTTTACGGACGGGTACTAACATTTCTACCCCTAAGTGAGTTGCGCTCTCCTATTCAACTATTACCCGGCTTTTTAATAGAGCAAAGAAGATATACCCTTGACGTCGATGTCTATCCATCTCACGGTCTCCCCCCCCCAAAATACACTATAAGTAGTCTCACCGTTATATTCTAAACCCGTAGTATGAACGCTGGAATACTCACTATCGAAACGGGGACTGACTACTCTTCAACCCTCTCCTACCGAAAGGCCACTAAACATGATAGGCTGAGCTGACTTATCTTGTGCAGACTAGCATCGAGCAACTTCTTCATGCAGGTGTTGAACTCGCCAACCAGGGAGGAAATTGATAGGGCCCATCTCCGACAGTCCTGGTTGGGGATCGGCGTGCCTTCGGTTACCAACGCGTTCCTGGTTTCTAAATTTAAAACCTGGTGCTGGGTACTCCTGCTCTCGACCACAATTCCGATCCATCTCGTGTTCAATTCGGCGATCTTCGAGACCGACCGTCAGTCATCCCCATGCACGCCGTCTCGCTTTCCTTTCTTCTAGGAGGTCGAGAGCTTGTTGGAATTTCCAAAGCCGCACCTCCTTGGTCACCTCCCCCCCAACTTCCTAAATGGCATATCTAGCTCCATGGGAAGTGGACGGCAAACTAACGTTCCCATACCAAGGCCGCGAATCCGACTTTCACCTCACTATCGCCACGGAGCAGTTTGTAAAAGGAGGTCCCTTCTATCCCCCCGGGGCAAGCTTGTTTCCGGCCGGGTTCTATTACCCCTACTTTGGCTTACCAGCTGAGCTTACCTATTATGTTGACCCTGACTCCGAAGCTGTAAAAAACATCTCGGCCACGGCGTTAAACGCTGGCCAGTGGAAAAGGCTCGAAATACGAGAATGTATGCAAGAGTATGTCTATTGCCGCGGACTAAAGCATCATCGTAGTTTGGTCTTAGTCATCGACAAACCTGACGGCTGGTTACGAGACGACATGTGGCATCTCCAAGACAACGAAAGCGACTTCTGGACACGTTACGTCCCCCCTGACCGGCGCAATCACCTTTTCTTCGACACACAATGTACGATGGTCGCCGCTTATCACCCAGGCTTGACGCGGTGTGACAACCGTTGCTCCTGGGCCTTGAACGGATATTCTAACGTCGGTCCAACAGACGGAACTATGCCGAATATCATTCCGGACTGGCAATATCCTTTCTTCGATTCCTTCAACGTTGAGCTGGCTAACGGGACCTCCTTGACAGGCAGACTCACATCAGGTCTACAACCGGGCACATTTGACCTGTCCGTGAAGTACTGCCTCGCAGAACCACTCGAACGCATTTGCCACGTCGCGCTGTCGCCAATTTTACTGCTCAGCGTCACCCTGTGCGTCATCCTCAAAACCTGCGTAGCCATTCTGGCCATGATCGTCCTAAGCCGCAACAATCAGGCGCCTCTAGTTACCCTAGGTGACGCCCTCGAGTCCTTCATCGAACGGCCCGACTCTGCCACTGCCGGGATGTGCACCGCTCACCAGGCCGACATACGGTGGGCGAAGAAGGGCGTAAAAGTTACTCTATCGGGGCCTAAGCGGTGGCGATCGCTTCGTAACAAGTGGCGAGCATCAGTTGTCCCAATATCCGTATGGGTGACAAGCTATGCCCTTTTTACTATCGCCATCGCCGTATGTGTGTTTTTGCTTTGCATGGGCCTCTCGAGCGATCCTTTGTGAGAACTCCCCCTCCTCTAGGAGTGATATGTAGACGGAAAGTCCTGCTGTCGTGACCTAACCTGTATCGTGGTAGTTACGGCACGTTCTTCGCGAGTGAGAATAACCCATTCATCAAATATAACTTCTCCCTCGTAGAGGGCGTCTTGACCGCCAACAGCCCACAACTCTTACTCTCCGTTTGCTATCTCGCCTATAACAATATGTTCACCCGCCTCCAGATGGCTCGAGAATGGTCGCTCTTCAGCGAGGGCTATCACTCGCTGAGAGTGACAGACCCGAAGGTGTGTATCTGCATAAGGACTAGTGTGTGCTTTCGGAAAGATGTCGACTAACTACGCGTAAGAACAGGGCGGTCAATATTGCACATATCGGCTTCAACTGCCGTATAAATATAGCGTACCTCTGATACTAGTCAGCATATTTCTCCATTGGCTGCTCTCCAATACTCTATATCTGTTCATATCTACTGGAGGTGAGCACCTCTATCTTTTATATTATAAACACAGACGCACATGCGCATGTCGTTTGAACTAACACGCGACGCCCGCCGTTCGTCAGGCTATTTCGGCGCGGGCGAATTCCTTTCCGGGGCCCAACCCGACCCCAGCCTTCCGCCGGATACAGCCGTTGCCTTAGGCTACTCGAAATGGTCCCTCACGGTCGTGCTGGTGGTCTCGTGCGTCCTGGTTTTGATTCCCATTGTCTTGAGTATGAAGCCACTGTCTCCGGATATCGTCATCGTCGGGAGCAACTCGCTCGCGTTGTCCGCCGCGTGTCACGTGTCGAGGCTTTCATATGCTGCCAGCGCCGTGACCGGGACACATGATAGCCCGCTGCTAGCTAAACACGCTAATTCACCCACGTCGTCGAGGTTCGACCTCCTGCCGACTGTTCGTTCGCCCGAGTACGACGCGGACAGGAATGTCGGAGGCGACAACATCGACCTGCGGGACTTAACGACGACTGAATTTGGTAATGGGGAGAGATCGTCTCTCTCGTTGAGGCGGTTGTTACCCGACGGCAGTCAGACAGAAAGAGACGGGGAAGGAGACGGAGACGGAGACGAAGCAGACGAGCCGCGGCCACAGTGGCAGCGGGAAAACACCAGCGACAACAGTCCGTTTAGCAGTTTGGCCCAGAGCAAGATCCGCTGGGGCGTCGTGCAGATGCCACCGGAATGGCACGCGTGGTACGGCGACGAAAACCGGGCTATCGGGCACCTTGGGTTCGGCGTCGAGGAGGACGACGTACCGCCCCCCGTGGATGGGCGGTTGTACGCGTAATGCGTGATGCGTGTGATGCAGCCAACCTATCATACGGCGCGTAATGCGCTCGAAGATCAAAACTATGCCGCAGCCTCGAAGAGTTCGTAACCTCACCTCCCATACCGACAGCTGCTCGCCCTCGGGTTTCGTGCGGCATGGGGACTAGACATCTCCCAGCCATTACTCCTGCGCCCCCTCTCAGAATACCTATTGCATCGGCAGGTTGCGGGCCCTCGGACAGGAGGCCATTACAAGTATCTTGAGACATGTCTGTTTACGTTGCACGGCATTCGAGACATTCCCACACCGTCCGAAAGCAAGGAGGCGTGCTAGGCTCAGGTTTATTGAATCACTGTCGTTTGGTCCTGCCCGAGGCCGAGAAGAACACGATCCGCTGTCGGATCAGGGGCAAATCTTGCTGGGCCGGACGCGGCTTGACATCGGAATACGTCTTCCGATTCACGTACTGGCGAGTGAACCCCCACCCGGGTGGTTAGAAGAAAAGGGGAATAAGCATTGCAATACTATCTTGGGTATGCGCGCATGTCTATGTCACCGGATTCTAGAGAGCTTTCGTGTCCCTATATATGCCATAGAGCACATCGTATGGGGGATTGTTACCCACCATGTGTGGGCATTATAGTAATAAACCGGAGCTACCTCGTAGCGCGGTGTGGCAACGTAACGAGTCAGTCTAGGGTGAGGATATCGAGAGAGGGATTGCATAGGCCCTCTTAGCGAAGATAAGACATTTCATGAAGTGGTGCTCCCTGTCAGTCTTCTTTGCGGCACTATGCCGCCACATCTGAGGGACACCGTAGATACGAGGCGAATCATGCTAGCTTAGCCCACCCAGCGTGCGGAGACATCTCACTGTCACAATCCTTCCATAGCGACACGCTTGACGGGACTAGCCACTGATTCCAGGAAGAGGCGAGGTGGGCAAAGGACACGAAGTAATGCGTGCTGTACTCACATATTTGTGCATGCCGTACACGTAAACACGCACACGCATACGCACACGCACACACCGAGCTGCGAGTCTTAGCGAACGATATGAGCGAGGACACAGCAGGGCAGGGCGCCTATGCGAACTCGGGATCTCGCCAGGCGGAATTGGACAGGTAGTTCGCATGCGCCAAGCGGGCGCAGAGGGAGGAAGAGTCCGAGGCGAGGCGCTTTCTCCCGGCCTCTGTAGTACCAGAAATCATCGAATAAGGCGTGGTGGAGGTTAGGCATTCAGTCCTGGCGACCGCTGCGCGGCTGGCGGCCGCTGGGGGAATCTTCGGAAGCGGGTAATTGGGAAACCGGCGAGGAAATGGTTTCCAACGATATTTAAATAAGAAAAAAAAACGCCACTGAGAGTCTGGCCAGATCCTCGACCGGGAGGTCCGGGGGGGCAGGCCCGTCGCGTAAAATGCTGTCGATCATCATTCCCATCCGGACATCTAGGGGTAGGGGGGGATGAAAGAAAGGTATAAGGAGAGGGAGGAGGAGGTGAGACAGACAGACAGACAGACAGACAGACAGAGCGTGTGTAAGTCAGCGAACGGGTTCGAGAGTGTGTTCGAGGGATGCGTGTATGAGTGGGTGCGAGAAGAACCTACTCGCGATTCCTCGCCCTATCGAACACCACACCACGAGAGATGCCGGGGAGAGCAGGGGTGTGGGTAGTAGGTACATGGTGGTGGAGGCGGCGGCGGTAGGAGGAGAGTCGCTGTCGCAAAAGTCGCTGGCTGCGTCGGGATCCCAAAGTTCTAGATCATGCAAGAGGGCGCAAGGCCGCGCCCGCGCACGCCACCACCGCCGGCGGGCGGGCAAGGATTGGCTGCGTCGGATGGTAAGATGGGTGGCTGGCCGCGAGGATTGATGATGATGAGTCGACGACGGACGGGTTGGGATGGGGGAGGGGGGTGCTGCCATTGCTTGTGTGCATACGCTACAGGCCATAACCTGCTACTAATACCACCCTCACCCATGCGGAGGCGGAGAGACAGGATAGGCAGAGCACTGCGCTCTGCAACCCACGTAGGCGTGGTATCGAACTATGTATGGATGTCAGTAGAAGAAAAGCCTCACGCCGTCAGAATGGCAGGGTGACACGGCGACATACCTGCGTACATGGAGGCCCGCACATGTAGGATAGGGCCACAGTGGCACGCTGGCACGTTGAACGTTGAGAACGGCCGGGAGGTTTGCATACGGGCCTACGTGGAATGGCTTCTCCTCAACTTACGAATGCACGAATCTATATCGGGGGTTCCCTCATTCTCTCCTCCGCAGACACCGTCTTCCTACGGACGCTCGCAGCTGTTTCTCCCTCGCGCTCACTCTCCGCACTCTGTCCTTCGCCTCCCTCGTCGCAACTCGCGATGTGCGGTATGTAGGTACGATCCCATCTCTCTCCCCCGCGCTTCCAATGGGGCGGTCCACGTTGCGTGTTGATGCCCCATTCGTGTAAGGGCGTGTTGCCCCGTAGGAACCGAGTAGAGGGTGTGCCTACATACGCTCACCTACACGTACACGTACAGAGAGGCAGTCCCAGTACAGTGTGCGCATTCGCCGTTCGATCCGGCGGGCTATGCATGGAACAGAGTCGGGATGGTAAGACGAGGTTAGGAGTCGTAATATGCACCGGGGCGGGCAGGGTTAATATCGCTTGGCAACTAGCATCGCTCGCGCCGGCTGCTTTCACCCCCTTTTCAGCTTACAGCCGCCGTTTTTGCACAGGTATAATCCATCTTACTGCCTCTGCCCGGTTCGTCCACCTCCCGATGCTAAGAACGGGCTAGCTGGGGGCCGCCAAGTTGCTCAAGGCCCTACTAGGTTTATGAGTATATCAACACCGTATCAGGCTCGTGCCGTCACTGTGTCTTCCCCCCCCCTTACAACGTAGGTATGTCGGCGTCGTATGCATGCAGGCATGTACATATTGTACATCGTATGGAGCGCTGTAACCTCGTCGTGTAAATCGTCTATCTGCTACTCGTCCAGAATTTTCCCTTCCTGTGTGAGATCTTACAACGCTTCACATGGCTGGACTGGCATGTTCCTCTTCTGCTCCCCACTTCGTCGATCATCACGATCCAGAGCCCGCCAACCGCTACACATGTATACATATATACTTAGGGGGACTCCTCTTCTTTTTTTTGGGTTGCCTCTCTTGTCCTCCGATACTCTCCCCGTTCATCAACAGGTAATCAGAGCAGCGGGTCCGGCGAGCATCTTCTTCCCTACCGGCTAGCCTCTTAAGAATTGCTGAGCTTGGCTCCTCTCCACCAGGTCAGGGTTTCCTGGTATGGATGGGTGAGTGTGTATGCGCTAGACCAAGTAAGCGGCCGGGGGGGATCCTTGAGGTGGCCTTCCCCGAGGTCTAGCTGTTAAATGACCATCGCGGCCATCAAAAGGACGACGCTAAGGCCTCGGTCGTGCGTGTACGTGTATCATAGAATGTCCAAGTAGTCGTGCTAGGACGCGATCGAAGAATACGAGCGATGCTTGAGGCGATAAGCCTATAGTGCCTGACTATGGCGCCTCAACCGGCACGTCTTCTTCTTTTTCCTACGATGTAGGTACCGACGGGATATCCTAGTTGTCCGGCTCTGTCCAATTGTAGTCCCCTCCCGCATCTCCAGCGCTACCTAGGTATCTCCCTCTCCGGGTACTACCCTACCCTGTCTCTGTGCATCTGTCTGTCGAGGGCTGCGATCCCCATTCTCCAGTCTCCAAGCAAGTCCCCTGGTCTCTCTGTGTCTCGCTGGATATCCTTGACATCCCTAACTTGGCCTTACCTTACCTTATGAGTATACTACACACCACCACCACCACCACACTGCACACACGAATTCTTTCTCTTCCATGTAACCCACATCGTCCTCCGAGTCCGACCCCTCCCCGTTGCACCAGCCTGCGCGTTCCTCGATCACCGCAGGATAGTCAAGGTAGCACCTCCGTTTCTGCTTACCTTTGTGAGATTCACCGGCACCTCGGTGTGTTGGCCGTGTGTCAGCGGGAGAGAGCGAGAAGAGCGCGAGAAAAGGCTAAGCAGCAGGCGAGCCAGCTCTTGCAGGAGGAGAGTTTCCCGGGTCTCCCGTCCCCTTGCTGCCGGCGGCCACCAGTCCCTCTCTTTCCTACCCCCCCTCCGAGCGTACCTAGCAATCGAGTTTGAGACAGGAAGAAAAATTTCGGGAAACCTGGAATATAATGCATAGACTCGGGTGCCTGTCAAGTCACCCGTTATAGGCCGGAAGAATGAGGGTTGCGATCCGGGAGCAGCTAGCAGCCCTCGTGCTACTCGCTGTGCTCGTCGCGCTCGCCATCGTCTCTATACCAACCTGGATCTTCGTGAACCGCTTCGTTTCCGGAGTCAAGACGGATGGGCTCGCCTTGACCGCATCGCTCAAGGCCGCGCAGGTGGCATCCGAGATCGAGTTGATCCAGACGACGTGCAATCACATAGCTACGCGGCTGCTGCTCCAATCCTCCCTCCGAGCCTTCTATCGCGGCAATGACTCCGAAGTCCTCTGGAGACAGGCCGCTTCCGACATCAGCAGTGCCCTCACCTCCCGTGTCGGCATCACCTCGAACCTTCTGCAGGCGCGGCTCTTTTCGCGAAATCTGACCGGTGCCGATCGTCCCGATGGGCTGCTCAGCATCACGGGTGCCAACATCTCCGAGATCAGACTGCCGTACAAGGCAGCCGACGGATCAGATGCCATCCTCGGCGACAACGGCTCGGGCTACCCTCCGATGCTATACCCGAACATCACCTATTACAACTCGACGGAGCCCGACCCCGGCTACCCGAACCACACTGCCGTCGTGGCCAGGCCGTTCCCGGATATCCGAATCGACTCAACCGTGAACGGGATGGTTCTGGGCCCGCTGATTGTCAACGAAACCTACGCTCTGATCTCTCTAACCATCCCGGTTCGCTTCAACAGACAGAACGACCTGATACTCGGGTACATGACTACCGTCGCCGAGGCCTCGTCGCTCATCAAGATCGCGGATTCGAGAGAGGGTCTGGGCTCGACCGGTTCCGTCCTCATCATCGGTCCCTCTACGGGATGGAACCGCTTCAGCAAGTACAACCTACCGGCGAACGCGAGTCATGAGGCGGCTACGAATTTCTCAAACGTTGATGTCAAATTCATCTTGCCGCCGCGACCCGTGCGCGGCCAACCTGACCGGCATACCTGGCACAACTATGCGTCCGGGAACTTCGACCGGCCGTTCAAGGTATCCCAGTTCGATGCCGTCCATCGCGTCTTTACGCAGCGGAATCCCTCCGTCAATAACGCGAGCAGCATGCTCTCTACGAAGAACGAACAGGAGATCCCGGTTGCGGTTGGCTATGCTCGCCCGCAAACCACCTTGGTGAACTGGACACTCATCGTCGAGCAGGACAAGGCTGAGGCCTACATCCCCATCGAAACCCTCCAGCAGATCCTCCTCGGCTGCGTCTTCGGAACGGTAGGACTCATACTGATACTGGTGATACCCTGCGCGCACCTAAGCGTCTTGCCGATCCGGAGGTTAAAGGCTGCTACCGAGAAGTCCATTGCTCCACCCGGTTACAGCGACACTTACTCGGACGACCTAGGCTACGATGACGATGAGCATCACGGGTCGAGCAGCACGAGCAGGAAGTCGACTAACGGCACGCTAGCCCGGTTAAAAAGATACATTCGGAGGCAGACACGTCCAAGACTCACTAGCACGGCGCAGGAGAACGAGGCGAGGCGTATTTTCAAAATTCCGGGCAAGGTCAACGATCGAAGGCACCTTATAACGGACGAGCTCACAGAGCTGACCACCACGTTCAACGAGATGAGCGACGAGCTGCTGCGGCAGTACACGTCCCTCGAGGACAAGGTAGCGGAGAGGACACGTGAGCTCGAGATCAGCAAGAAGGCAGCCGAGGCCGCGAACAAGAGCAAGACATTGTTTATAGCGAACATCTCCCACGAGCTAAAGACGCCCCTAAACGGCATCATGGGCATGTGCGCCGTCTGCATGGAGGAGGACGACCTGGTGCGGATCAAACAGTCGCTGAAGACGCTTTACAACTCGGGCGACCTGCTCCTGCACCTGCTAGAAGACCTCCTAAGCTTCTCGAAGAACCAGATCGGCCAGCAACTGAGTCTCGAGGAGAGGGAATTCCGGCTGGGAGATGTCCGGGCGCAAGTGGTAACCATCTTCGACAAGCAGGTCCGCGAGGGGGGGATCGACTTTTCGGTCATGTTCTTGGGCCCCGACGCCGATCCGGGCACGAGCTCGGAACCGGTGGCTCTCGACGAGAAACTACCGGCGATCGGTCCCCTCGGGACGGGTAGGTTGAAGGACATGTGTCTGTGGGGCGACCAGCACCGCATCCTCCAGGTGCTCATCAACCTCGTGAGCAACAGTCTCAAGTTCACGCCCCCCGGCGGGAAGGTGTCGGTAAGAATACGATGTCTCCGCGAGATCGAACAGCAGCAGTACGACGACAGCAGGACGTCGTCCCTATCGAAGGGTGGCTCCAACCGGCCGGGGAGGACTAGACACAGAGTAGGTTCGGGTTCGAACAAGTCGAACAGCTCGAGAGAAGCGCCGGTCACCCCGACGCAATTAAAGGCGGGGGGCACCGCGCTGTCAATCAACCCCCTAGACCCCAGAGCCGTGCCGCACATACGCATACGCGAGAGATCCCCGACGCCGCCACCGCCCAGCGCGAAGTCGTACCTGTTCGAGTTCGAGGTCGAGGACACCGGCCCCGGCATCCCGGAGCACATGCAGCAGCGCGTCTTCGAGCCCTTTGTCCAAGGCGACCTCGGCCTCAGCAGAAAGTTTGGAGGGACGGGCTTGGGACTGAGCATCTGCCAGCAGTTAGCCAACCTCATGGGGGGAAGCATCTCGCTCAGGAGCACTCTTGGCTTCGGCACGACCTTCACGATGCAGATCCCCCTCAAGTACACGAAGGACAGGTAAGGCGCCGCGTGACCCCTCCGATTGCATAACTGGCTAACCGCAGTGCGTCTACGTCTAGGGCCTCGAGCACCGCTTCCAGCAGCATCGAGTCCCGCTCACCCAGCGCTTGCGGCTCGGTAGAGGGCGACGACCGGAGGAACTCGCTGACGCAGACGGCAGTGGAGGCGCGGGCGCGGGCGCGGGTGCTCGACCGGCAGCCGCGGCTCGTGGGGCTCAGCCAGCCGTTCTTCGCGGCGCAGCCGAAGGCGAACACGGGGCCGGCAGCGGAGGGGCGGATCAAGGCGGTGGAGATCGCGCGGGCGCACAAGGGCGGCGAGGGCAAGCTGCGGGTGCTGGTGGCGGAGGACAACCCGACGAACATCGAGGTGGTGAGCCGGATGCTGAAGCTGGAGGACGTGTACGACGTGACGATCGCGAACGACGGGCAGGAGGCGTACGAGCTGGTGAAGGCGAGCATGGAGAGCAACACGCACTTCGACCTGATCTTCATGGACATCCAGATGCCGAACCTGGACGGGCTGCAGACGACGCGGCTGATCCGGAAGATGGGCTACTCGGCGCCGATCGTGGCGCTGACCGCCTTCTCCGAGGAGAGCAACGTCAGGGAGTGCATGGAGTCCGGTATGAACGAGTTCCTCAGCAAGCCGATCCGCCGCCCCGCCCTCAAGCAGGTCCTGCGCAAGTTCGCCACCATCCCCGAGGAGCCCGAGACGCTGTCCCTGTCGCGCAAGAGCACGCCCGAGAAAGGCGGCGCCGCCGCTGGTCCCGAATCCAACGGCCCAGCGCCGCCCAGGGAGAACGGCGTGCACAACGAGGCCGAAGACGAAAAGGGCGCCGATCACCCGTACATGAACGGCACGCATTCGCCGTCACCGCGACCACCGCCCACGGCACCGTAGGGCCGTCCCCGGCCCCAGAGGAACATTGTCCTCTTCCCATTTGCTCACGTTGGAAAGAAGTAAACGCTCACGCACACGCCGCCACCTCACGATACTGCTCGCCCTATCTATTGCCCATCGCCACGATTTCCACGTACGCTCAGACCCTCGATGCGACCTATGCTATAGAACACGTCTTGACACCCTCTCACCCTGTCCCATCACTCGTCCATCTCCCTCCCTAATCTCTTCCTCCACTACCGCATTACGACCACGACCGTCTTCGCCCTCCTATATCTACCTACCTCCCTATCTATCCGACCACACGCAGCTCAGTCGGGAACGAAGCGGGCGCACAAGATAAAAGCCCCTATCCTGCGATCCATACCTCTACAGCTGCTCCCCCTACCACCTTTACTTACCCTATCCTATTCACCCCACCGTATCCTACCTACTCCAACGACCCCCCCGCGAAGCACAGACGCCGACGCGGGTCTAATTTGCAGATGCCGAAAAAAGCGGCGCAGGCGTTCCGGATTTGTTTCCCTCTCCCGTTTTCGCAGCATAGTTATTGTTATTAATTCTCGGTCCTGCCGATTATTTTTTTTATTTCTCTTTTTTTTTCATTTCCTCTTTAGCAACCCCCCCCCTCTCCGCCTTCCCCCCGCGGTTCTCAACATACGAGAAAGGAAGAGAGGGGGGCGCGCGCGAGAGAGAGAAGGGACATATGGGTATGGGAGGCATTGGGCAAGGAGGACACGAAAACAAACGGTAGCATAACGCGCGAGGATCGGGCCGGCTCGAGGGAGAGGACGAGGGTTAATTTTACGGACTGGTTTCTGGGTAATACTCGGCGCGCTTCACTGCTGTTGCTTCGGTACCGTGGTTCTGTTTTTTTTTTGGCGCCCCCTCGTGCTCGTGCTTGACCTTCTCCCCCTTCTCTCTCGGAACAGGACGGGCGGGGGGGTAAGGAGGAGGGGGACGAACGCAGGGAAGAGGAAACGGAGCGGAGTTGGAGTTCTGGACCGGCTCTATCGCATACGACTTATCGATTTTTCAGGGGCAAAATTGGGCGCCCGGCGGAGAGAAAGCGAGGGGGAGAGACTGCACGGGATGGGAAAACAACAACGGCGAGGTCTCCCGCGGTCGGGCATTGGCGCCCAGTGATCAGATGGCAGCGAAGTTCAAAAACGGGCAGGGAAGGGAGGAGGCAGGAGGGAGGCAGGGTTCCATATCGGTCTCCCCTGCGAGAGGGCTGCGGCCGGCATGGCGTGAATACGACGTTTTGGGAGAGAAGACGGCGCCGCGCGGTGTATATACACAAGGCTTTGGGTACGCATATACAATCTATATCGGTATATATTAGTAATTTTTACCTAGCAAGCTGCTTGCTTATGCCATTGCAAGGGTGTGCTGCATTTCGTTTCCGCTCCGTGTTTCTCCATCTAGCGTGTAGAAGCCAAAGAGTGCTACCGGCCTGTTTCCTCATGTCTATAGAGGTAGAGTCGGTACAGAGCAAGAAAGTATTTTCCGAGTATCTGCAACATTTTCAGCTGGTTAACATGAAAATCTATACCTCGACGCGATTGATACTCGAGACTGAAATACGCCTAGTATTTTAGCATGGTATTTACAGGTACCCCTCTAAAGACGGCAGCCGGGATGGCGAATATACCTAGAAGGAGAATACAGAGAAATGCCTATAGGTATAATTCTACTACGAATCGGAAAATATCGAAGAACCCTGGCTTGAGTAGTAAGCAGCATCGCACGCAGCAATATCCGACGTACCGAGCCGGGTGCCACCACCCGGTTCCGATCCTCGGGAGGGAGATGGGGGAAAACCAGCCTTGGTTCGCAAGCCGGTTGGGCGCTGCGGCGGCTATTCCTACCGTTCATTCTCTTTCAGCTTCGTGCCATTGGCGGGCTTCACTGCCGAACCTATATCCAGCACAGCTCGTGCCCGTGTGCGTCCCCCCCCCCCGAAGACCCTCCGAGACTCACGTTTACTTGCCTGCCCCCCATGAATGCGGGATGCTAGGGCGGGATATAACTTGCCTCCTCCTCGGTTCCCTACCCGAAACCCCTCCTCGTCCTTGTCCTCCTCTGATTCCGACTCCAGCATCATAACCATCCTTACCTCTAGTGACTCACCCTCGAGCTGCCCTCGAGCCACTTACACAGCATCGACATCCTCTCTCGCCCGTCTCCACCCGCGCCAACCCCCTCCGCCGACCTCCGCAACAACCCCCCCCCCCCCCCCCCCAAAAAAATGCGCATCCCGTACGCGGCGCCCGACCCGGCCCCGGACTCGGAAGAAGCAGCGATCGTGGGGCGCATCGCGGCGCGGCGCGCGCCGCGGCCGCTGCAGCCGCTGGACCTGGCGCTGCTGCAGGCGCCGCCGATGGCGGACGGGTGGAACGCGTTCCTGGGGGCGGTGCGGACGCGGGGCGCGGCGCTGGGCGCGCGCGCGCGCGAGCTCGCCGTGTGCCGCGTCGCCGTGTGCAACCGGGCGTGGTACGAGTGGGCCCACCACGCGCCGCTGGCCGCCGCCGCCGGCGTGTCGGCCGAGGCGCTGCGGCGCGTCGTCGCGCGGCGCGACCTGCTCGTGCCTATCGAGGAGGAGGAGGGGGAGCAGGGGGGAGAGGGGCAGGGCGACGACGAGGGGCAGCGCGAGCGCAGCGCCCGCGACTTCGCGCGCGGCCTCGGCCTCGACGACAAGGACTGGGCCGTCCTGCGCTACGCCGACGAGATGACGCGAAACGTCGAGGTGCCAGACCCCGTGTTTGACGCCTTGAAGGCGCTGTGCAGCGACCGCGAGATCGTCGAGGCTACGACTACGGTGAGATCCTGTCCCGCCCCCGTCCGCGTGCGGCACACACGCGAGTAACCGCGTCGACCTGAGAGGCTGACAGCGCTACTTAGATCGCCGCGTATAATTGCGTGAGCCGGTTTCTCGTCGCTCTCGACGGTATGTCCCCCCCGCTTTCTATTTCTCTCTCGGGCAACCATGTCCGCTTCCATCTCTTCCCGAATATTGTGCACGAAATATCCTTGACAAAAAAAAAGAGAGAGAGAGAGGAGCGGTGGAGGCAGTGGGGATGTGATCCCAAGGAGACGTGCGTGTCCGTCCAACTAACGATTGTGACGTAGTCGGCGAGAGGAACGGCACCGGACCCGATGTCCCCGGACATTGACGAGCGGATACAGATCCAGTATATGTAGACGATTACCTGTGTCGCGGTTTAAGGAGTGGCGTAGTAGGTCCTGGAGAGGCAAGTAGGATTCTGCACAGACTTACAATTTACGCACGTAAAATTTTACACCGATAGCACACGCGTGAATCGACACATAAAACCATGAAGTTTGTAAACAAATCAATACTAGCTGACATAGCTAGGGTGACGACGGGGTCGTCGACGCTATCTGGGTCGACTCCTCCCTGTAGCCAGCCACCTAGACCATCCCCCCCCCACCAGCCGATCCCAATCTACATAGTCTTCCCGTCCAGCCATCACCGTCCACGTATTCCGACTGATACGCTCGCGCAACCCGGAGATAAAAAGAGAGGGACAAAAAAGGGGACGAACGGATCATCTAAGTAGGACGTGATAGGTCTTCTGTCGAAAGCAGATTAAACGATTACAAATTCGGAGCATGTCTGTCGTGACGCGGTCGCTTGGCGCCCGTACTGCTGAAAAAACGAAAACAAAAAAAAAACTGTGAAGCAAAGGAAAGACGGGAAAAGGGACAGGGGTGAAAAGGAAAGGGAGGGAAGGGAAAGGAAAGAAAAGGGGTATCTCTGTAGTGAAGTGACCTTGAACTCCTCCGGTAACAAATTAAATGCCGTGAAATTTCGTAACCATGAATCGTGAAGCTAGAATCCGCGCATCGTAAATGTCGTGTACGAGAAGCTCGTCTTGAGATCGTCAAGATTGCCGACGGCGTCAGATCTCGTCTTCGGGGATTGCGCGCATCGCTTCGCGGAAGCGCTCGTTGTCCGTCTCCGGGGTCAGCTGCGGCGGGCTGCCGCCGAGCGGACTGCCCAGGGGCGACATGGGCGGGGGCGATCGCATCGCCATCTCGATGGAGGCGTGTCGCCTGTGCATCAGCGGCGAGCTCTGCAGCTCTTGCACGACGCCCATCCAGCCCATCCGGTGCGGCTGCTCGGTGTGGCCGTGGGCCGTCGGCGGCGGCGTCGATATGCTCCGCAGCGGCGCCCGGTTCTTAATGCCCTCGGTCAGCGCCTTCGAGAGGCCCGACGGGATGCCGCCGGGTCGGGGCGTGTGCGGGTGAGGCGCGAGCGCCTTCTCGAGGTCCTTCAGCGCCGACTTCTCGGCTTGGATGACGCGGTCGCTCGTCGTGGTGGCGACGATGCTCATGTATTCGACCAGGAAGTGGGCGCGCAATACGTCGAGCCGCCGCACCCGCCCTTCCAGTCGCGGCTTGTGGATGGCCCATAGTATGCGGGCGCTGGTGCGCAAGGTCGTGCCGCCTTCGGAAATGGTGATACGGCTCAGATCCTCGCGCAGAGCCTCGCTGTTCCGCCGGATGTCGCGCAACAGCTGGTCGAGTTGCCACCTATCCTTGAACTTGTGCACCTTCTCGACGTCGATATCGAATCCCTTGTTTACCTCGGCTGAGGAGTTCACGATCTCGAGGAAGGCAGCGATCTCGAGGGGCGCGGTAAGGTAGGAGGCGGTATAGTTGGTGAGCACCTGGGTGCTCACGGTCACCGAGAGGCAGAGCGCGGTGACTACGAGGATCTGAGTCCAGGACAGCGACAGAGAGGGGTCCGTCATAGCGCAGACGGGCTGTCCGGATAGTCAGGAACCATAAGAGCGCAGGGCAGCGTATCATAAATTCATGGTTGGCGAAAGGGAGCCCGGCGACAAATTAGACAAGTTTGCAAAGAGAAAAAAGGTGTCGACCTGTCTGGCGACATCCGCCTAGTCGGCTTTTTGTGTGGTTGGTGGAGGGGAGGGGGGCGAGCGGGAAGAAAAAGCTGATTGTTGCGCGACGTATACAAATAGGGGGGGGCGGATTTGTTGGGGCGGGATTCTGGATCGGGGAGGAGGAGGGGGGGGGGGGCCACCCTACATATACCCATACGCATCCAGAGACATCGCCATACACACATACACACATATATATTAAGGAGGCATCTGCAGGAACAGTTGTGTAGGCAGGTCAGGCAATGCAGGCCAGGCAATGTAGGGCCAGGAAATGTAGGGGAAAGGGACGGGCGGATAGACGTCGAAGACGCCAGAGGTATACAGCCAGCTCGCTACGTAGGCACACCCCGTCCATCCGTATAATGCACGCGTAGGTGCAGAGAAGTATGTGCTGCCTCTGGGGAGGCGTGGGCGCGTGCATGTATGTGTATGCATGCGAATACATAGGGAATATCGTGTATGTAGGTTGGTTGGAACCTACGAATCCCATCACACACAACCCTAGAGAGCCCGTCCGCGGGGGGTGTGCGAGTCTAGGGCTGCCAGGTCTCAGGCAGGCCTCTCTAGTACTCTAGGGGCCGACTAACGGAGACGGCGGGGAGGGTAGCGTAGAAAGCGCGGCACCACAAGATGAGGATCAGAAGAGGGAAGAGGCCAAAACCATGTCACATTACCGAGCGACAACGCCACGATAGAACGAGAGGGCTGGGGGACGGACGACCTGGGCGGGAGCACCACGCAGCGAACCACGAACCACGACTACCCCTGCTCGCCTGCGCCCACGGGAGTAAGCAAGGACGGAATAAGTGCTGTCTAATTAGCGCGCTACACAAGCCATGTGAGTAAATAAAAATATACACATCATAGGCAGTTAATGTTGTGTATACGATGTGTATCATGAGCGGCCGAGGAAGCTGGGCTAGGGTTTGTACGTCGATGGTGGTGCGGGTGGTGGCCGTTGGTGAGAGAGAAGAGGAGGGAGAGAGATGGTGCGAGAGAGTATATATGCCAACGGAGAGGAGGACAGCCTCTGGGTATAACAGTAGTGGCAGTAATAATAATAATAGAGAGAGAGGGGGGGGGAGAGAAGCGAGCACCGTTCTATCGCTGTCGATGCTATTGATGATGATTGATGATGCTACGACACGCTGCTTGAAAACCCACTTCTCGGGTGCGAGCAGCTAGAGGCAGTTAGAGCACTTCCAAGCCGCCGGCAGAGGATCTATTACGTAGGTGGTAGAGAACAAAGAGGCAGCGCGGGCGGGGGGAGGATGGGATAAGAGACGGGGGGAGAGGAGGAGGATGTACCCCCCTACGCAAGCTCCCACTACCATGTACATGACAGGAGGTACCCAAGTATGCATACCTCTTAGCGGGAACTGTTCGTCGCGGGCAGCGCGGGAGGGCGGGGCAATGGCCAGGCCGTGGAGTCGCATCATGTATATGCGCGGCATCGACTGTGGGTAGAGATACAGCAACGGTACATCCCTTGATTCGAGAATCGACCACGACGCCAGGCTTGCCGCGACGTATGACGGGCACTCGGTACCTGGTACCTGCCTGCCCTGCCCTGCAGCAGCCGGCCTAACAGGTCCCTCGGCGACCCTGTGCAGAAAAAAACCCAGCCAGCCCAACGAGAGGTCACGATGGACAGGTGCATCAACCTCCTAAGGGCCGGGCAGTTCGCGTCGGATCTCCGGTCGACCGTTGGCTAACGTCGAGCAATCTCTAGTCCTCTTCCTTGATTTCGCGCACCACGTCAGCTCTGCCATCCCATCCCATCCCATCCCATCCGCTGCCATGACCGTCGACTCACCAGCGCCCCCCCCACCGCACGATCCCCCGCTCCCCGCCATCCTGACCTACCCCTCCTCCTTCGCCTCCTCCTCTTCCGACGCCGCCGCGCCCGACCCCGGTCCCCCTCCGCCGACGCTCGTCGCCCAGGGCGCCGAGGCCTGCCTGTACCGCACCACCTTCGTCTCGCCGTCGCTGCCCTGCGCGCTCAAGTACCGCCCGCCCAAGGCCTGGCGCCACCCCGCCCTCGACGCCCGCCTGACGCGCCACCGCATCCTGGCCGAGGCCCGCGTGCTCGCGCGCTGCCGCCGCGAGGGCGTCCCCGTGCCCGCCCTCTACGCCGTCGACGAGGCCGCCGGCTGGCTCGCCGCCGAGTGGATCGACGGGCCCCCCGCCCGCGTCGCGATCAACCGGTGGCTGGCGCGGCGGGCACCGAAGAGCAGGAGGAAGGGGGGGAGAATACCGGCCGAAGAAGGGGACGCTGCAGATAAAGAGGATGAGGGGGACAACGACGACCGAGCGGAGCCCGAGGACGCCGCGCCGATAACGGGCGCCGACCCGGAGGACAAGCCGCTCGTCGAGCTCCTGCAGCGCATCGCGAGCGCGGTGGGACGCCTGCACAAGGCGGGCGTCGTGCACGGCGACCTGACGACGAGCAACATGATGCTGCGGCCGCGGACGAGCAAGGCGACACCCACACCCAACCCCTCCCCCTCCACCTCGACCACTCCCCAGGCCGCAAAAGACGGCATCGACAAGCAAAATATCGCCGCCGCCGCCGCCGATGACGACGCCGCGACTCTGCTCGAAGGCGACGTCGTCCTCATCGACTTTGGGCTCGCCAGCCAGGGCACCGGGTCTGGGTCGGGCGCCGGCGCCGGCGCGGGGTCCGACGAGGACCGCGCCGTCGACCTGTACGTGCTGGAGCGCGCGTTCGCGAGCACGCACTCGCGCGCCGAGGCCCTGTTTGCCGCCGTCCTCGAGTCCGCCTACGCGGCCTCGTACCCGGGCGCGCGCGCCGTCCTGCGCAAGCTCGACGAGGTGCGCATGCGCGGCCGCAAGAGGAGCATGGTCGGGTAGGGGCAGCCGTGGATCTGCCCCCCTTCCGCCCGGGGGACGGGAGTTATCGCATCGTGTGCGTGGGTGGGGAACATCGTTGATGCAGTGACGGCTTGGTCGTGAGCATGTACGACGGGCCCGCGTGCTAAGGCAGGGGAGGAGTAAAATGGGCTGGGACGGAGTGGGAGCGGGCAAAGTTAATGCTGTTACTAACGGGTACCCTTGCAGAAAAAAAAATAATATAAGATGAACGGTTTACAGTTCGAGCGTTCTATTCTAACGTGTAGATATGCGACCACCTCGCTGATAGTGCAGCGCGGTCTCTGCCTGCTTCGCGTAGCTGTCCTTTTTTATTTCAATCAACGACAAAAAGGCGCAGGCTGAGTACGAGAGTATGCATCCACCTAATACGTGATCGCGCGACGGTACGCAGAGCTCCTCGTAATGGCGGCGGCGGCGGTGATGACTATGCTTATGATGATGACGGCGAAGACGATGATAACGACGAGAGGACCCCTCCCAGAAATGATAACAAAATGCCACACCGGACGCTACTCTACTACTACTACCGCCGCCGCCCACCCGGCCACCACTGGGGCTATACTCGGGAATATGCATAGGAATAGAACGAGGCTCTCTACGACCGAGCGATCGATAAGTAGATAGGTAGGTATCCGCGACGCGTTCCCCTCGGCTCATGCCGCCGCGGCCTTCTCTTCCTTCGTTACAGCTTGGGCGCTTGCGAAGTAGCCCTTGTTCTCGATGACGCCGCGGTCCTTGACGAAGGCGGTGTATTTAACGGCCCACGCGGGGACGATGGCCGCCTCCGCATCCAGGACGCCGGCGCCCTGGGCGTCGCTGCCGAGCAGGTCGCGCAGCGTGGCGGCGGGTATCAGGTCCGTCGGGTCGTTGTGGGTGAGCAGCTCGATACCCTCGTTGCTGGCAAGCTTCGTGAGCGGTGGCGGCACGTTGCAGCAGTTCTTGGTATTGATCTGGTCTACCGCCGGCCGGACCCTGACCCGGTCCAGGAACCGGCGCAGCTTCTCGCTGCCGAATTCGGCGATGCCGAGTTTGCCGATCTGACCCTCCTCATGCAGGCTCTCCAGCAGGCTCCAGGTGGCGAGCTCCTCCTCGTCATCCCCCATGGTCGCATTCTTCCGGTCCGCCTCCCACTCGCAGTCGCCTTCGAACGATATGCCGGGGAAGGCGATGATGAGGAGGTCGACGTCGGCGACGCCCAGCTCCTTCGCAACCAGCTGCAGGGCATCCTTGATGTACTCACCCCGTTTCTGCACCGGGGCCGTCGGCGGAAAGAAGAGCTTCACGGTGATTTCGTACTGCGCGCGATCCTCCTGCAGGCCGGCCGAGGCCCAGTCGATGCGCGGTACGTACAGGGTGCCGCCCTCCTTCGCGGTCCACACCTCTGTCGCGGGCCAACTGCCGCCCGCGTTCTCGTCTCCGTTCCCGTTCGCCTGAGGTTGACTATTCCCATTTCCGTTTTGGAGGGCAGCGGCGTAGTCTTGTTGTGCGGCGGCAAAATTGCTCCGCAGGGAGTTTGTGAATTCGAGGTTGGATCGATACCCGCCTGGTTTCCGGATGATGGAGGGGCCGCCCAGGATGATATTCCCGGTAGACAAGATTATTTGCGTCATGGCGGGAGGGATTGGTATGGATCACGATCGGTGTTGCCCGAGGGTCAGGAACAAGCTAGCAACACCGAGTCTACAGAGGGAAAAGGGGAGAGGGCAGACGAGGTCGGGAAGGGAATAGGAGAATAGATGAGATATGTAGGTATAATAAGCAGGGCAGGGGTGTGTAAGTCTATTACAAATGGTAGGCAAGTATGTGGAGAGGGAAGGAAATGCGATGAAGCCTTTTCTCGTGGACGAGGTGGGGTGCGCAGGGTTATCGAGGTCAGACCTGATGCTTCCGATCCGTCCTGAATAGGTAGGTTACTCGAATGATTATAGTAGTTTTTGCAGGTAGGGAGCCACTACAAGCGGACCTCTGTAATTTTTTTTTTAATATCCTGCCTCCGTCGCAAGCCTGGGGGGAAGAGAGAGGGGAGAAGGGGAGATCAACTTATATAACCCTCTTTTTTTCTCACTCTGGTTGTACGGCAGACGGCGGCTAGTCAAAGCGAGCCTAGAGGAAATCTAACTCCTCATAGCCTCCTCATCAGCACGGGAGAGGGAGCAGATAAGCGTATCTGTATATGCGCCAATGTGTATGCACGTATGTACGCCCGCATATATATCTATATGTCTTAGGTGGGCAGTGGGAGCCGCGACTGTGCCGATGGCAAACACAGAGTTTGCAAGCTAATACCGATGCGAGCAGGAAGGCCGACCACGGATCTGGTGGAGTTCCCGATGCGCCGATGGTGGTGGTATCGTGTACGTTGGGTGGGAGTGGAGGTGGTGGCGGCAGGAGTGATTAGTCTCACCACGAGGGGACGATGATGGGGATACCGTTGGCAGGATGGGCGAGGAGAGAAGAGACAGAGAGAGGGAGAGGGAGGCAGAGAAGAGAGGAGCGAGAAGAGCGAGCGTCGAGAACCGAGTCACGGGGCCTGCCGCTGAACAATGGGTTTGATAGACTAGTTAGGTAGCTGGAGCGACTCTACCAACCCCTAGCCCTACTACCTAACTCTCTGGTCCAGCTAGACCAGAGAGCTGAGCCGTGTAGCGCGGGTATGTAAATAGCGACTTTTGTCGACCTCGTAGACGCGCCTAGGTCATCGGGAATTAAGCCATCCCTAATAGGCCTGCCCGGGTCGTCGCTGGGGTTGCCGCGGCCCAAGAAACGGCAGAGATGAGTAATCCGCTACATGGGCACGCACGGGTTCGCAAGCCTGCTTGACCGACCTGTCGAGAACTGGCCGGGAGGAGTCGAGGTTACCGCCAAGCGCTGGCTGGAGTTGGTGATGGAGTTTGCGACATGGATGGGATGGGATAGGTGGGATAGGCGGATGGATCTCAGTTGCCCAGATGGGGATGTGTAGGTGTGTGGGCGGACGCATGCATTCGGCGTTTGTCGGTTCCAGCCCGTGCCGGGAGTTGGGGTTCGCGACGCCCAGACGTCATGGAGAGTTGAGGCGTTGCTGAGAGGAGCTGGTGTGTGATCATCCGGGCGTGGGCTGGCGATGGAGGTGACAGGTTTCCGAAGAGAAGAAGTGTTGGAGATGGATGCATCTGCAGGGTCGTGACTAAAATCGTGGGGGTTCCCTCAGCCTGCTACGCACCTATTACGCGCCCCTATAGGAGGCCCTTATCTTGGGCATATCATCGTCCGAACCGGTCCGGCAGCAGCCGTACTGACAGCTGGTGGTTTGGTTTCCCTTGTGGACGCCAGCAGCTCGTGCCCAACCCCACTATCGGCGATTCCCTACAGCAGTCCGACTTTTTTTACGCAAGGCGACGAGGGAGTAATTGCTGGCGTTTCCATCCGCAACACCGACATTCTTGATTTCATTCCTTTCCCTCTCCCTCTCCCTCTCTCTCTTCCACACGACACACCTAGAATAAGAATACAAACCTGAGTATCTTGACCTCCATACCGCCGCGGGAATGTAAAAAACAGCATCATGGCCATCAAGTAGGCTATCTGTCCAATCCCCGATGACCTTCGCGTCGGAATCTATTTCTTTGCTAACCCATCGCCATCACGACAGCTACTTGATCCTGCTCTCCCGGCAGGGCAAAGTGGTATGGCGTGCCATCCGTTCCTACGACATCCTCTCCTTCGTAGCACCTTTCTGACTGTTCCTTCTTTAGCGCCTGGCTAAATGGTTCACCACCCTGTCCCCTAAGGACAAGGCCAAGATTGTCAAGGACGTGTCCCAACTGGTCCTTGCCAGGCGAACCCGCATGTGCAACTTTCTCGAGTACAAAGGTCTGTCTGCTGTGGTGATTCCAATATCCACTGACAAAAATATCATGCTCACCAGCGACCACATCCAGATACCAAGATTGTCTACCGCCGCTACGCCTCCCTATTCTTCATCGCTGGCTGCTCGTCCGACGACAATGAATTGATTACCCTCGAGATCATCCACCGATACGTCGAGCAGATGGACAAGTACTACGGCAACGTCTGCGAGCTCGATATCATCTTCTCCTTCACCAAAGCGTACTACATCCTGGACGAGATTCTACTTGCAGGGGAGCTCCAGGAGAGCAGTAAGAAGAACGTGCTGCGCTGCATAGGCCAGCAGGATTCGCTCGAAGATATGGAGGTGAGTTACCGGCGAGGTGTTTCTGCGATGGTCCGATGTCGTTGTCTGGCTTCCTTTTCTTTTCTTTCCAAGTCTCCGTCTCTTATCTACCCTGGCCGTCATCAACACCAAATCCATGATATCCGAAGCCCTTGGCGACCCTCAGACCACTAACGCACGTTTCTTCTGTTCAGGTCGAGGACGAGGTTACGAAGATCATGTAACAAGTGACAATGTATCTTTCTTTCTTTCTGTCTTCTAGGTGGTTTTGCGTATCTATCTGTCACCCCAGAATGGCACTAGGGAATGGCGTATGGGGTTTCGGAGAACCGAGTTTTAAAACCACGCGTTGCATTGGCAAGTCTACTTATTTGACTATCTTACCAGGCCAGCGAGGAAATCGAGAAAGCGCTCAAAGATGCCGGATTCATATAACCAAATCTCCAAGCACTAGGTCGTCCAGTCCAAATGCCGGGCGAGCGTGGTACCGATTGTTGAACGAGTGACAGCTGTTTCCGGTGACACGACCCCATCTCCAGCATCTGTCTATATTCTTCCATAGGCCAGAGCCGCTTGGCGAGAGCTTCTCGAGGTGTTCTGGTTTGTTTGCTTTTCTCTCTATAGACGCGAGAGGCCAGCCGGGGCGAGACGACGCGCAAACCGTCAACGAGTTGTCGGAGCACATGGGGCCCAATCCTGAATTTCTGAGGACTAACTGCGCCCACACATCTACGCATATGCATACATATACATACGCACACGCCCACTGTCGCACTCCCTGACACATTGCTGACGAGGTTACTACGAGACACTCTCGAGGGGTTGTGTGGGAGAGAGAACCCAGGTGCATCCCGCTACGAAGCAGCGTTGACGCTCGTGGCATCCTGACGCCATCTTATTCGTTTACATTCGGCTTTGGCCAGATTTGTGTAGGTGTGGTGGGAAGACAGCATATTGTTGGCTGTGGTTTGGTATTCAAGCCACACACCCCTCAGCTCAGCACCCAGCTTTCCCGTTGGGCTTCTCATCTTGTCAGCCAAGGATATTCTGACAGACCACATAACGCAACCGGTTACTAGTCAACCCATCCCCATCCTGCGGCATTCCGTACCCGAGAAACAGTTCCCACTTCATCACCTGTCTACCAACACGGCACACTACCATCCACCTGCGCACCCACACACCGCTCAAAACCACGACGACCACGACAACCACGGCAACGCCTAAACCACCCTCACCCTCCGAACAGCGTACATCGCATGATGCCTTGCTTTCCCTGCGCCTGCTAGACGATATATATCGTCTAGTCTCGTCCGTCCGGATACCGCCCGATTGACCTGGTGGGGATTGAAGTGTACACGCCATCCTTTGTTCGTCTGCGAGACGCACGCATCAAGCGGCAGCGCCGGCACCAGCAAGCTCTGTGCACGCATCATCGGGTCAATATCGACACGCTTACTCAGGTAACGTCGCGATTTCCACGTTGGTTGTCGCGCCTCGACGCCTTCCCCCACGCACTCTGGTCGCATTCGAAGCAGCCCAGCCGTATATATCCCTCCATCCACAACTCGCGGCACCTCCATACCCACGTTTCCTCCCCAGCATAGTAGATAGCGGCCTTCGGCTCGCATGGTGCTCCCGTCTAAGCCATCGCAATATCATTCATTACTAGGGCCAAAATGAAGGTTCGCACATCCGCTCTCCATACGAGCAACATGACCCCGGGGATGCATGCGATGAATTGCGACAGTCCCGCTGACTGCTATTACACCCGATAGTTTCTACCGCTTCGCGACTTCGACGTTATCACGTCGTCCCTCAATTTTAGCACGGCCGAATGCCGTGTCAAGGGCGGATGTGATCTGTACACGACGAAAGCGGCCGGCTCCGACAAGAAACTCTACAAGACGATTGAAACCAACCTCGAGTCCCAACATGCCGCCCTCATCAAGTTTGGTGCGTCGCTGTCGCCGCCGCAGCGCAAAGAGATGGCCGCGTCTCTCAACTTGTCACGCTCCAGTCCCTTTGGCCCGCTCAGCGAAATCTCGAGTCGGCGCACCTTCGCCTACCTAATTGCGACGCTAAATGCAAGCCACCCCGATTACGATTTCTCCCACGTCTTGCGTCCGACGGACTTCCGTCGCGAGCGCGACCTGCGCAAGGTAATGGCCAACATCGATAGCACCCTCAATAGCGTACGCCCTCTCGGCACCTCGCTCCTTTCTCCCAACCCCGTCTCTTCCTATCGCGCATATGGCAGCCCTCCTTCGGCCAACGCGGTCGTAGGGGATGCCGCTCTCAGTAGTCCCCCGTGGGGCCCGCACATGTGGACCATGATTGACAAGGAGATGACGCTGAAGGACTGCACCGCCTTCTCGTACCAGCCCATCGAGGATCCCTTCGACGGCGACGAGTCGGCGATCTGGCGCATGCACTATTTCTTTTTCAACAAGAATAAGAAGCGAGTCGCGTATTTGTACGTTAGGGGTCTACCGATCGTGGTCAGCTCGCCTGCGCTCGCGCCCCACCACCTCCGGCGAGGCAGTAGTGGTGGTCTGTCGAAGCGACACGCCGCGCCGCTGCCTGGCAGCCTCGGCGCGAACAAGCGCGCCAAGTTCTGGCTAGGCGACCAGCTCGCGGATCGGATAATACCCGATGACGACGAATACTATGACGACGACGACGACGTTGTCCTGTGGGACCCGGAAGACGACGTCGAGATCGACCCGCTCAACGACCCGTCAACGGAGGAGGAAGAGGAAGAGGACAGCGAACAGTACGACGACGGTTACGGCGACGACGACGACGATGAAGGTGAGGACGAGGAGAGGACAGCGCACTCCGTCAGGGGCGTAAGTGAGGATATCGCGGCGAGAATGGAGATGTAAACGACGCCATGATGATGAGGGCCAGTCTTTTTCATTATCTCGTTTCGCTTGGAGAAAACATTCGCCGTGCTAGGCTACTTAGACCCTGCCTAGTTGTATCGGACTGTAGGTGTTTGTCTCGTGTTCTATTTTCCTAATTATTGTCGTTACAGTCCCCGTTAGTCGGCGTTGGGGCACGATAATGACGGGAGAAAGGGGCGGAAAGGCGGCAGTGCATGTATCTTGTTGCCCTGGCCGGCCGTCTGGCTGGCCATCTGGCACTCGAGAAGGGTGTCTTCAGCAATGATGGCAACACGGTACGAATGGATGAATGGACGAGATGTATTGGTTCCGGCGTTATGCGGCACGTGAATGCTACTACGGCGCTATCGGTGCTGCCGAGACGGCGTGATGCGACGCTCGGTATCCCGGATATGGCGGCCTCCGGTCGGTCGGATAGGCGGGATGCCCAGGCGTCACGCCTAAGCCTTTGCCGGCATGATGGGTCGTTTGGCGGACAAGGGTGGGATAGGAGGTATTTAGTAGGGGCCACCTACGGGTCGCCGTAAGCCGTCGATAGGTCCTCGGCTCGCCTCTATACTCTACTCCCCTGCCTCTCTACCTACATACTTGCTAACGAATACAATTGTTCCTCTAAAATCTAGTCGGTCAGGTCTGCTATCCTCGAGCATGTGCTTTTCCTGTCTCTTCTAAACCTACCGAGGCTAAGTAAGGGTGCTAGGTTATACCGCCTACCTCCGTCACCATGTCTGCCTCCTGACCACAGCGAACCTTGCCAGCTAACCGGCTGACCCGACCACGTAGCGAACTCTGACGTCCACACCACCGTAGGTTTAGACTGCTACCTGCGGGCGACACGACTTGCGCGTCCGCGTTGTTTCATGCCTACCCCGGTGCGTAGACACGCCGATCACGCGCACCGCCGAACCCCCTTCCCCCCATCTCGCTCCGGTGTGCCCCCCACCTTCGACATAGCGGCCCCACCCCGCGCTCCGTCCCGTTCGGAACTCTTACTCCCCCTGATCCCCCCCCCCCGTTTTCGCTCGCCCGTGAGTTGAGACTGTACGCGCCTAGTCTAGGCGCCGTTGTCTGTCGGGCGAGGGGGGATTGCAAGAGCCAAGGTTGCTGCCGCTAGGTCCCCGACGCCTCTCTCCCTCTGGTGGCGGACTTGTCTGGTCGGCTACCAGAGACAGTAGACCGTGGCGTCGGGCCTGCTAGAGTGGGACACGGTAGTCAATATGGAATAGCGTTCTGACTCCGTTCGCCGTTTTCTCTTTTGGCTGGCTCGCTGGCTGGATCTGTGTCCGACCTGGGGGCGAGCGTCGCCTGACCAGGCCGAGGGTTCAGACTCAGTAAAAAGGCCGAGAGGAGTTGGGGATAAAGAGTATCTGGGCCTATAGGGGATCGTGTACAAGTTGCCAATATAGGTGTCTACATACATGTTCCTCGTGAGTAAAGGTATTTTGTGCTATCGTTTTGTGTTTGCCACACGCCGGCGCTCTCTTCCTATTTTGACTTTTGATTGTCACTCGTATCTTGGTATACCCGCGTCCTACCTAGTCGTCCCTGTAATAGTGTTGGCACCTCACGCTGGACGCCTTTTGCTCCGATCTTAGTCATGGCGACGCAAGCCTATCCGTTACGCAGGCTAGCTCGGGAATTAACGCTATACTTTGACCAGAACTGGAGTTAATAGACATTACCTACGCCCAACTCTATGTTATGACTATGGGTAGTAGGATCGGACACACAAGGATAAGAGTAGTTGAGAAACTCAAAACTGTTTCTCTGAATCATGGTTGCCTCGGTTTGTCTGGAGAGCAAATAAATTCCCTAGTCCATGTTCTGCGTGATTCCATTTCCCTAAGGCAACGCCTATTCTATCCATGCAGACATCCACCTTACGGCAAACCAGGCGGATAGACAAGACTATATATCCCTGTGCCTACCCACTTATGCCACACACGCACCCTCACATAACCTCTATCGCACGCACGCTCGTACACGCCCAGCACGTACCTGTATCCTAGTGTGAAAAGAGAGCAGGCCTGATGAGTCTATTGCAAGAGAGCGGTTCGCTTCGAGAGCGGCGACCCTCGCTCTTCGGTCACGGTGGCGGCCGCAGCGGGGATGGGGCCGCGGTCCTTACTAACGGCGCCCAGGCCGGCGGGGGATCCCATATTTCCGATCACGGGCACGATGGTGACAACACCAAATCGGGCCAGAGTATACAGAAGGTGGTGCTTGATATCCATAAGGGCCCCTCTGCCGTCGGTCGCCAAGACATTATACATGGCACGGGAGACTTGCGAGTAGCCGGCTACTCGTCGAGCGGCGGCGGAGACACCCTAGCTCTAGAAGGAGGGGGCGAGCTGCCACAATACGGAACAAGTACCGTACTCAAACGCCGCGCGGGCGCCTTAGGCACGAACTGGGTCGTTCCTCGCGAGCACGTGGTTACGATGACGAGACGAGCTAGTAGCGACGGGCCCGTCGTCTCCCGCGGCACGACATATACAGGGGTCCCTTTCGTCATTCGCTTGACGCCCGGCAATGCCTACTTTTGGTCCATCGGTTCAGAATCCGTCGACGTCCCGGCTGGCGAGGTCGACAGCCTCGGGGAGCCGAGTCCGGATATCGAGACGCTAGAGACAGGGGAGTGGGTGGATGTGGAGGCGACCCTGAGCCGAGAGCAGGAGGCCACCTGGACGGTCCTCGAGGAGCCAACCCAGACTATGGCAAACGAAGGGACGGACGACGAAGACGATCGTCCTAGGAATTCCACCCCGTCTCCCCAATCGCAGCGCAGGAGCGGGAGAATGGCGTGGTTCCGGTTCGGGTGCTAGGCACTCGCGATTTCTAGAACGAGGGCAGCATGGCGGAGATATCCTGGGGCCAGCGTTGTGTTTCTCCTTCTCTTATTGCTAGGTAGGTACTATGCGGTCTGCATAGTCGGACACGGATCGAATGTCATATGTCATACTTACTGTTGGTGCGGTTGCTTGGATAGGCCATCTGCTGTCTTGGTTTCTCCTCCTTTCGACACTCAACCAAGCCTCCATAGCTAGTGGTGGCCGCGAGAGGCAGCTATCGCAGGCAGCCTTTCGGACACCCCAATAAACGAGTTTTTATTGCTAGCATTCGTCGACTCTTTAGACGGGTAATTTGCTACTGGGCGTGGTCAACCGATGAAGGTATACGGAAACGCGATGGCGTTCTTCATTCTCGTAAGAGGGGAAAGGAAAGAAAGGAAAGGGGAGGGAGATGGCTGGCGCTCTATATGGACGTCGGGGAACCAAGTGAGGGTGATGCTGTCTTCGTCAACTGGACAACACCAGCGGCTTTTGGTAGGTGTGTATCTGTTGGGATAGGCGAGACCTGTAGTCTTGCAGTCGCAGGCCTAGGTAGGTAGGTAGGTAGGTAGGTAGGTAGGTAGGTAGGTAGGTATATGATGCAGAATGAGGAGATTCTGCGTGAAGAGGCAGAGATGGGTGTTGAGAGGCCGAGGCGTGCTCGAGGGAGAGTCTCTCACCCATAGGCGTGCCCATAGGTACATCTGTCTCCTATAATGGAAGACAACTGCTCTGAAGAGGTGATGTCACCGAAGGCTGCTGCCGTGACATGGGGGGAGGCTCCTAGGAGGCCGAGCCCATCTCCGTCTTCGAAGATGTCCAGCGCGGGTACCTAAGGTATGCGGATAGGGTACCTAGGTGGGTACAGGTACTGTAGGTACCCGACTCACCAGCAGGCACCTGGAGTAGGGGGCAGGTGCATACTCAGATACCTCCACGCATGTATTCCGCTAGGTACACGCAGGTACCCGGTGGGTGCCTACAATAAGCGGAGGCACCTACCTACGTCGGAGGTGGTTGGAGGCGGTCGGAGGCGGTCGGAGAGGAGGTACCTGCCTACCTACCTACCTCCTAGATACCTAGATAGGTGCCTACCTAGGTAGGTAGGTAGTCCTGTCGGTAGCGAGTACCGCCTCCCTCTCCACCGGTACCCGCCTACCTCAGCCACCGAGGTTAGCCACCTGCCTGCCTGGTGTCACCTCTCGTGCTGTGTACCTAGCAGTACCTTGGCTATCTTCTGCCTTCTCTATGAAATGTGTCGATCTCGGGCACCTTACTAACGTGCTTGAGGTAGCTGCAAGTACCGCAACCTTGATATGGCGTTGTCGCTACGCGCCCGAGAGCGCCCTCCAAGTATCTGCTCAGCCTTGTGCCTGGATTCGGTACCTACGCGGGTACTTGGATGCCCTGCAGACCATTAAAACCGCGTCGCGCATTTAAAGTGGGCCCCGCCCGGGGCTCGCGTCACCACCAACTCCCGTCCCATTTTTCTGGTCGAGCCAATACTGCCATTCACCAGCCAGCCCAGCCAGCCAGCCAGCCAGCCCGTCTCTACTCCATCCCTCCTTTGTATTCTTTTTTTTTTCCTAATCGTTATCGACCCTCCTCTCCTTCTCCCTCCATCCCCCAAATCCATCGTACCTCTCGGCCACCCTCTGTCATCTGCCATCTGCCATCTTCGCTCGGCGACTTTCGAGTCAGTATCCAAGATGGCAGATATCAAGATCGACAGCAAGCTCTTCCAGGAGCGCATCAACCATTTCGTCAATGCCTGGAAGGCCGACAAACGCGCTTCCGACACCGTCTTCGGCGGCGTCTCCTCCATCCTCATCATGATGGGCAAGGTTGAGGACAACCCCGAGTTCCATAAGAATAACGCGATGCACGTACGTTTTCCCCCGCCGAGCCCCGAGCGAGCCCCGAGCGAGCTCTACCGCCTGCGGTAGACGCAATGGCTAACTCCCTCTTCTCTAGTTCTGGTTACTAGGCTACGAGTTCCCGACCACCCTGATGCTCCTCACCACAGACTGCCTGTACGTGGTCACGACGGCAAAAAAAGGTAGCAAGCTGCGCCCGATTAAACCTTTCCCGAGATGATGATTCATCGCGCGACTGACAAGATCGTAGCAAAACATCTGGAGCCGCTTAGGGGTGGCCGATTTCCCATTGAGGTCTTGGTTAGGAGCAAGGACGCGGCGGCGAATGAGAAACAGTTCCTTACGATTGCCGACACCATAGATACCGCCGGGGTGAGTCGCGTCTATCTCGGCTTCGTCTCCGTCTTCTCTTCGGCTAACTGGAGTTTTCTGCTAGAAAAAAGTAGGCGTTCTCACCAAGGACAGGTCTAATGGCCCGTTTGTCGACGAGTGGAAAAAGGTCTACGGTGATAAGTGCAAGGATGCCGAAGAGGTCGATATCTCCGTTGCCCTGTCGACTGCTGCCTTCTCTGTGAAGGACGAGACCGAATTGCGGGCCATGCGCGCTGCTTCGAAAGCCTGCGTCGCCCTCATGACCCCCTACTTCCTAGACCAGATGTCCGATGTTCTCGATCAGGAGAAGAAGGTGAAGCATAGCGCTCTCGCCAACAAGGTCGACGCAAAGCTGGACGACGAGAAGTGGTGGAAGTCCGTCGAGCTGCCGAACAAACAGAGGCTCCCCTCGGATTTCGATGTCTCGTCGTTAGACTGGTATCTCGGTCCTGCCGTTCAGAGCGGTGGCCACTACGACCTGAAGCTTCAGGCAGAGCCAACCGGCGACAATCTACATCCGGGTGTTATAATTGCCGGCATGGGTCTCCGATACAAGTCGTACTGCTCTTCTATCGCGCGGACATACCTGGTCGACCCCAACAAGACGCAGGAAAGCACCTACAGATTACTCTACGCCGTTCATAACCTGGTGCTCAAGGAGATCAGAGACGGTGTTGTCGCCAAGGATGTCTACGGCAAAGCCTTGGCCCATATCAAGTCGAGAAAACCTGATATGGAGAAGCATTTCTTGAAGAACGTCGGATCTGGAATCGGTATCGAGAGCAAGGACCCGACATTGATTCTCAATGGCAAGAATACCCGTACTTTGAAGGACGGCATGACCCTGTGCGTAACAACTGGCTTCACCGACATCGAAAACCCATCGCCCAAGGATAAGCTCAGCAAGACCTACTCCTTGGTTCTCACGGATACCATCCGCGTGACCAACAACGAGCCGGTCGTATTCACCGGCGACGCCCCTACCGACCTCGACGCGACCTCGTTTTTCTTCAAGGATGACGAGGAGATGCAACCCACCCCCAAGAAGGAGAAGAAGGACTCCCGTGTCGGTGCTGTTGCTACAAAGAATATCACTAGCACACGCCTGCGGTCGGAACGTAGTGCTCAGGTTGACGAGGATCAAGAGAAGAGACGCCGGGAACACCAGAAGGAGCTCGCTCTTAAGAAGCAGAAGGAAGGGCTGTCACGGTTTGCCGAGTCCACCAATGGCCAGGACGGTACCGAAATCAAAAAGTTCAAGAAATTCGAGTCGTATAAACGAGATAATCAGCTGCCGATTAAGGCCAGGAACCTGGAGATCTTGGTAGACCAAAAGAACCATACCATCCTGCTCCCCGTCATGGGCCGGCCGGTTCCTTTCCACATCCACACGATCAAGAATGCGAGCAAGAACGATGAAGGAGAGTGGTCGTACCTGCGGATCAACTTCCTTTCTCCTGGTCAGGGAGTAGGCAGAAAGGATGACCAGCCGTTCGAAGACGCCTCGGCACAGTTTGTGAGGAGCTTAACATTCCGCTCTCGGGATGGCGATCGGTACGAAGAGATTGCGGCGCAAATCTCGAGCATGAAAAAGGAAGCTACGAAGAAGGAACAGGAGAAGAAGGACATGGAGGATGTCGTAGAACAAGAGAAGCTCGTCGAGATACGAAGTAAGCTGACACATACTCTCGTTACTAGGCCTATGCTAACCTACTCCCAGATCGGCGTCCGCCTGTTATGGATAACGTCTTCATACGTCCTGCACTGGAGGGCAAACGCGTGCCTGGCAAGGTCGAGATCCACCAGAATGGTATCAGATACCAGTCGCCGCTGAGCACGCAGCAGAGGGTTGACGTGTTGTTCTCCAACATCCGCCACCTGTTCTTCCAACCCTGCGCCCACGAACTGATTGTCATCATTCACCTTCACCTCAAGGATCCCATCATCGTTAGTAACAAGAAGAAGACGAAGGATATACAATTCTACAGGGAAGCGACGGACATCCAATTCGACGAGACCGGAAACCGAAAGCGAAAGTATCGCCACGGTGACGAGGACGAGTTCGAGCAGGAGCAAGAAGACCGCCGACATCGCGCGGAACTTGATCGCCAGTTTAAGAGTTTTGCTGACAAGATTGCCGAAGCGGGCAAGAATGAGGGCGTCGAGGTAGATATGCCGCTTAGAGAGCTTGGCTTCAGTGGCGTTCCGTTCCGCAGCAACGTCACGATCCAGCCTACGACGGAGTGTCTCATCCAAATCACCGAGCCGCCGTTCATGGTGGTTACGGTGGAAGACATCGAAATTGCCCACCTGGAGCGCGTGCAATTCGGATTGAAGAACTTCGATCTGGTATTCGTCTTCAAGGACTTCACCCGACCGCCCGCCCATATCAACACGATTCCTGTCGAATCTCTCGAAGACGTCAAGGAATGGCTAGATTCTTCCGACATCGCCTTCACCGAGGGCCCTCTGAACCTGAACTGGCCCACGATCATGAAGACGGTTACCGCTGATACCCACCAATTTTTCGCCGATGGCGGCTGGTCTTTCCTTCAAAACGAGAGTGACGACGAGGATGAAGAGGAGGAGGAAGAGGAGTCTAACTTCGAGATCGACGAGTCCGAACTGGAGGAGGCCAGCGAATCTAGCGAGGACGATTCGGACTTTGACAGCAACGCATCTGCCGAAGACAGCGAAGAGGGCTCGGACGAAGACGAGGATGGGGAAGACTGGGACGAGATGGAAAAGAAGGCGAAGCGGAAGGATCGCGAGAGTGGCCTCGAAGAAGAAGACCGCAGCCGCAACAAGAAGCGACGCCGCTAGACGCCCCGTAAGCACGTGAGCTGGCCCGGATACTAAGGGAATTTGGACTGGAAGTTTTCCCAGTGTTCCACCAATGCGGTTTCGGCGAAGACGAATATGGGCTTCTCCGGCGTTGAGGCTGTGTAATGCTATGCGGTCTATTCATGATTTTGTTTTCCGGCTCGAGGACGATTTCTGTTCAATGACTTCGATTCCCTTGGTCGTTAGAGGTTAAGTATAGGAAAGGTGTGGAGAGGGGAAAGGGTGGTTGCCCATCCGCTCAACACATACAGGTCGGATCAGGGAGTACTTGTAGGCTATAATACAAAAATATGACAGTAATTATCGGGTTCGATCTCAATTTTTTTTTCTTTCCCTTACACGGCCTGGTAACTGTGGATGCTTCATTCTAGAGCGTGAAACACGGTTAACTCTACCTATAGAAGCAACGTATGCCCACCATACAGCATAACAACTAATTTTGATCGTTCTGCCACCACTTCTAGCACCCAGGATGTCTTGAATGTCGAGGTGCCCTAGTTCGTACCCGTGGCATTCTCCCATTCCGGCTGCCTCGACTTATTCCGAGTCCCTAGGGCCCCTATAGATTATGAGTAGAGGCGGTTATTCGCTGGGCGAGCGGGTGTCCTCTAATGAGCAATGCTACTGATCCCTCCACGCCCTGTGGCTATATATAGACAGTACAGCGTGCCTCGCGGCCGTAGCCCAGGAGACGTGCAGCAGCACCTTGACTGCGATGGCCGGGCAGGGCGACGACGAATTCGGAATGCTTGGTCACCCTCCGGGACAGGAAAGCGGGCCGGCTCTCTCCTACGACGAACCGGCGTAGAAAGAGGTCCTTTCCCGGTTAATGTCGCAGGCTGGGGCATGCCCTCGCGGGCACGCACGCACCTATTGGCGGGACTTGTCCCTCTGCCGTGGAAGGAGGTTGAGCAGACGAGGACTTCGTATTATAGCCGGGTATTTTACCGACGGCGCCTCGCTCGCGCAGGCTAGTTCGTGTCCACGCGCCCCCCCTCTCCCTTCTTCCCGTTCCGAAATTGCACGTCGGTACTGGCGCTGGCCTACGGGAGCTGGCGCGCAGGCGGGCTGCGCACGCATATGCTGGCTTCTCGTGACGAGGCAGTAGGGGGCCGCGATCAAGGTCGGCAGAACGTGGTGGCGCTTGGCGCGAGGTAGGCGACCCGGTATTTGAGCGAGGGCGCCCCTAGGGAGGGAAATACAGGTAGGTATATGAACGTCCCACGTCTCGGTTCGTTCTCTGCTGTCCTCTGTGAATACCTACGTTCCAGTCCCTTGAATCCTAGCTACCAACGACCGAGCCGACTTGCTAGATAAGGTAAAAGGGAGATAGAGAGATATACCTATAGGTATCTTGGCATAGCGCCAAACTCGAGGACATCAAGCATGAAGCTGCTCAGTCTCCTGGCGCTCGCGGGCACCGCCCAAGCCCACTGTGGGTGTCCCCTCCCCGCTTTCTAAACCACCAACCGACACTCTCGCGCCGTGCGCGCGCCGGGCGTGCGGAGGCTAACGTGGACGCGCGGCGGGGGGGCAGACCGGTTCTCGAAGCTGATCGTGGGCGGGGTGGCGGAGGCGGCGGAGTGGACGGCGGTGCGGATGACGAAGAACTACCAGAGCAACGCGGGGGTGACGGACGTGAACAGCGCGGACATGCGGTGCTACCAGATGCGGGCGGGCACGCACACGGCGACGGTAGCGGCGGGAAGCGTGCTCGGCTTCGTCGCCAACGCCGCCGTCACCCACTTCGGCCCCGTCCAGTTCTACATGGCCCGCGCCCCCGACGGCGCCGACCTCAACACCTGGGACCCCGCCGGCAACGTCTGGTTCAAGGTCGCCAGCATCAGCGCCGTGCCGCCCCTCGGCTCCGGCGAGAGCACCTGGCCGGCTTACAGTGCGTGTTTCTCCCTCTCCTCTCCTTTCTTTCTCCCTCTCCTCTCCTTCCCTCCCTTCCCTTCCCTTCCCATACGCACACCTGACTCACGCCCCACCCCTGGCTCAAAAATTGAAAAAAAAAAAAAACCCCCCTAACACGCGCAACCAGACAAGAAGGAGGTCTCGTTCACGATCCCGAAGAGCGTGCCGAGCGGGAACTACCTGGTGCGCGTCGAGAGCATCGCGCTGCACCAGGCGCAGTCGGTGGGCGGCGCGCAGATCTACCTCTCGTGCGCGCAGGTGCAGGTCACGGGCGGCGGCGCCGGCAAGCCCGGCCCCCTCGTCGCGTTCCCCGGCGCCTACCGCGCCAACGACCCCGGCCTGCTCTGGAGCTACTACCCCATCGCCACGTCGTACACGGCGCCCGGGCCCGCCGTGTGGCAGGGGTGAGCGGTGGGCAGGACCGGGAGAGAGCGAGGGTGTTTGGCAGCGGAGTGCGGGCTGGGCTGGGCCGGGCTGAGAGAGCGAGGTAGGGCGGAGGGGGGGATAGGGATGGGGACGAGGCCGTTGACGAAAGGACTGGGCTATAGTTGTCGTTCTCATGGGGGAGCGAGGAGTCTTAGGCTCAGCGTTGGTGCGCTGAATCTAAGTATCCCGTTCGTCTGGGACTTGCTTTCAGTGCTGCTGAGTTCGAACCGTCACCCCCCCGTGCCGAATTACTAAACATGATATACCCGTGTGGCCTCTGCCTGCCGCGTAGAATGGTATATGCCCAGATGCAAGACAGTCCGGACGCTGAAACCAAACGCTGCCGACCGTCTCTACTCCGTAGGAAATCCCAACCTCGGGCTTGCCGAGCCCCCGTCCCTATTACCTCCGGCTGGTGTGTCCCAATGTACAATATAGTAGTACATTATTATACCAATCTCTCTTATGTTACCCTTTGCCGCCTTGAATGCGTGTGGACCCTTGTGCAGCTCCTTTACGAATCTGGTAGTTATACCTACCTCCTTAGTCTCCAGACTTCCGCGCTGGATCAGATCTTAGTCTTGACCTTGCTCAGGAACGTGTCGTCGTCTTCGAAGGGCGTCGCGCCGAGACGCTTCCACACGCCGTCCACCATGAGAGCCACGTCTTTGTCCTTCGCCCGGAAGAGCAGCTCAGTCTTGCCGTCACCCACGCTCGACACCGACTTGTCCTGTGCGTGGGGTATAGTCTGTCAGCCTCGTGGTGCCTTGTCTCTGCTTCTCCCTTCCTTACTCCCTTCTTTCGTAACGGGGGTTGCGACGCACCACGCATATAGGAGGGGGCAGGGAGCGAGCCAGGAAAGCAGAGAGCAAGAGAAAAAAACATACCAACCCCAGCGTGAGCTTGATCACGCCGTCGAACCAGTTCGGGCGGTACACGTTGGACGGGGCGCGGCCCTCGGCGGCGTCGAGCACGTTGAACGCGGCGACCATGGCCTGGCGCATGGCGGAGCGCGAGTTGGGCTGCGCGACGACGGCGGTGCTATCCTCCTCCGGGTCGGGCGCGCACACGTCGCCGCACGCGTAGACGTTCGGCAGCGCCGGGTCGCGCACCTGCATCGTCGGCCGCACGAGCACGTGGCCCGTCGTCGCCGACACCGAGGCCGGGCTCAGCGCCGCCACGAGCCGCGCGTCGGGGCGCTGGCCGGTGCAGTTGATCTGCGGGAGCGGAGGGGGCATATTAGCAGCGAGCCGGGGGGGGGGGGGGGGGACAGAGACGAACCAGGCAGTCGCACGGGATCTCCCGGCCGCTCTTCAGCACGGCGACGCGCCTGTCCTTGTCCTCGGAGACGACGCGGTCGCCGGTGACGAGGCGCACGCCGAGGGCGTCGATGCCGTCGCGGGCGGCGGCCTGCAGGCGCGGGCCGAAGCGGTGCATGACGGCGTCGCGCGAGTGGACCAGGGTGACGCGCTTGTCGGGGTACTTGGACTTGGCGTCGGTGGCGAGCTCGACGCCGGCGGCGCCGCCGCCGACGACGACGAGGTCGGCCGCGTCGCGGATGCGCGCCTGCATGCGGCGCAGCAGCTCGAGGCCCTCGGCCTTGCCGTCGGCCGGCACGCGGTTCGGGAGCGCGTCGCCGGCGCCGGCGCCCGTCGCCACGACCAGGAACGCGTACGGGATGTCGGCGCCGCCGGCCGCGAGGCGCACCGCCGTCGGCGAGATGCTGGCGACCCGGTCGCGCACCCAGGCCACCTTGCTCGGGGCGCCGCCGGGGCCGTCGTCGAGCGACCCGGCCGGCAGGTGCCCCGCGTACGGGATGAAGGCCTTGTGCTCGTGGCCCTCGACGACGCAGAAGCGCGGCAGCACCCAGGTGAAGTGGAAGTGGTCGCGCGGCTCGACGACGACGACGCGGTACCCCAGCCAGGGCGGCAGGTTGGCCGCGATGGTGCTGGCGGCGTGGTACCCGGCGATGGAGGCGCCGATGATGACGATGTTGAGGGGCTCGCCGGCGGGCGGGGCGGTCGAGGAGGTGAGGGAGTGGCGGAGAAGCTTCAGCCGGAAGGAGATCGAGCGCGAGAGCATGGCGGAGAGGAAGGCCGCGATCTGGCCGACGCCCCTCAATACAAGGATGGCTTTGTCGAACATGGCGAGGTCTCTGGGCAGCGTTTCTCGTCTGTACGGCGTGTCTGATGAGGTGAATGTGTGTGATGAATACCTATCTTCAAGGGGTGCGCGCCGCCGAAGACGCGGCCACGGGATAGGTAGCTCCTATCTCAAGGATATCAACGTGCCGAATATCACTCCCGCCGCTGCTGACAAGTCCTTAGAAGCGTGTAGTCCCCGAGGAAGAACTCCTTGGCGTTTCGGATAGGTGGCGGCGGGGCAAAGAGGGAGAGGGAGAGGAAGAGGGGAGGGAGGGAGAAAAAGAGGGTAGGAGAATGAAAAACAGAGGAGGGAGGAGCGCTTACGGGGGCATGACAGGTAAGAAAAGGCGGCGGATGCCAACCAGTGTGTGTGTATAAGTGCGCCTTAGGAGCGTCTCAGCTCCGAGCAGTCATGCTCTGGTGCCTGAGCTCCCCTATTGGCCTCTCTATCTGATCCGAGAAAATCATCAGATAAGATTAGATCGCCTAACCTCCTTTTTCTTCTCGTCGCCCGCCTCCACTTCCCACGTAACCCCGTGGCCACCCCCCCTGCATCTCAGCTCGCGCTGCTGGCCTCGCTCGTTTACGCCCCAACGGGCATAGCGGTCCTATGAGTATACGCCGAGTCCGAGGTCGGCTCGGGGTGAACGGCCTCGGGCACAGCGGACAATTGTGCGTGAATATGCCGAGGTGGAGTTATGGAGAGAGAGATGCTCACGTAGTCCCCTGTTTTGTTCTACCATCGTTCCGGTGTTGGTCGTTCGCGCTTACAATACGCATCACCCATAATAAGGCAACCATATTGTGTCTACATCGTGCATATAGGTAGGTACTGGCAGTGTTGCGATGAGCTGATGACAATGGTAGGGATGGGGGATGATCCCGTGACCTGGTCACGGGACGAAATTCACCCTGCTTACAACCCTGCGGAATTGTGCCTAATCTAGGTAAAAAATACTACCTTCGGTAACTCTACTGAAGAAACCGACCAACAGCTACCTCCGCTACCACCGCCGGCTGACATACACGAAGCGACACTAGGAACGAGCGCGAAAACCGGGAAAGTCTTGTGTTGACAACCTCTTTGTTTCTATCTCAGAGGCGGGAGAAAAACAAAGCTAAGCAGATGGAACGTGCAACGCCTGCGTCCAGTCCGCAGTCCATCCGGGAAACCCACTCCATCTCTACGACGCGGCCGGTACGATGACCAACCATCTGCGATGCGTCCTCCTAACCGCTCTCCCATCCTCCGCCGGGGAACCGCGAGCCAAAAAACGGAGAGGCATCAGTGTTCGCAGAAATTAAACGTCTCCTGTGCTCAAAGTTAGTACGAGAGATGCACACACGCTGGCTTGCTGGCCTCCTGGGCCGGTCCTGGCAAAAAAGTACGAGGGGGTGGGAAAATCAAACGGATGAGGGGGGCCACGGCGTGAGCAAGCGTTCGCTAGTCACCCCGTGAAGCAACGTACAGCGGTGGCTTCCTGCTCCCAGTCCTCGCTGACGCGGCTCCGTTCCTGCATCAGCTCCGCTCGGGCCTGGACCGCTGCCTCCCAGCTCAGAGGGAAGTCGTCGACCTGGTCGATGGTGAGGTCGAAGATCTCGCGCGGCAGGGCGCTGAGCCGCGTCCCCTGTGCATCTCTCAGCTCGCGCGCCCACCAGTCGCGTCGCTGCGGCGGCACCACACTCGTCGACAGTACCCGCGCGTGCGGGTCCACCAGGAACATGGCCAGGATGCGGCGGCGCCCCGGCCGCGTCGGGTCGCGCAGCCGGAACGGCGTCACCTGGTGCTGGAAGGTGTTGGGGAAGGCGAGCATGCGGCCCGGCAGCGCCCGCAAGCGCCCCAGGCCCTGCAGGGGCGCGTCGTCCGTCCCCACGCCGAGCCAGCGCTCGAGCGACTGGAACTCGCCCTGGGGCGGCAGCATGCGCACCTCTTCCGTGTCGATGGGCTGGGTTATGTTGAGGTAGCTGTCGGTGATGTTGTCGATGTCGTAGTAGTAGAGCGCTGTTGCCGCGATGCGGTCGTTGAGCGCTCCCTCGATGTGGTTGCTACCGCCGCCGTATTCAGGATTCTCCGGCGTCAGGCAGATATCCGCCAGCTTGAAGATGACCTGGAGTCCCTCGGGGAATTCGGCTCGAAGGTTGACCTGGCCGCTCGGCCGGTCGCGCGGCGCCCAGTCTTCGGGCTCCGGCCAGATGAGGATCCGGTTCTCCTCCCGCCACTCCCGGTAGTCGTCCTCGTACTTGTAATCGTCCTCATCCTCGTCCTCGCCCCGGACGTAGTCGTCCGGGAGTACGTACGTTGCCTCGTCAGGAAGGATATAATCCTCCTCTTCCCCCTGGCAGTTCATGACGACGCGCGGGTTCAGTTGGTCACCGTGGCCGCGGAATAGGCACTGCTCCCAGAGCGGGACGGCGATGGCGACGAACTTCTCTAGCACCTTGTACAGGTCGGCGTGGTCTCGGGGGTGTAAGTTGTTGACGTAGCTGGCAATTTTCATCCCGTCCTCGGTCCACTCGACGTCGCTCGGCAACCACTGCCTGCTCCCCCATCGGGCGGGCCGCGCACTCGATTCCTGTATCCACAGGTCCGTGACGTCTCCTTCCCCGGTCCACGCGATGCAGTCTTCGAGGGGCACTTTCCCGTACGGCAGCACGCGCGTCTTCCCGTATATGATAGGGAATAGGGAGGGGTGGAGGAGGTCGAGCACTTTGCCGTCCGAGCCCGGGTGCCAGTCCTTCTGCGCGTCGGGCACGTCCTCGAGCACTTTCACCGCCGCCCTCAAGGTGTCCCTCAGCTCCGGAGAGACAACCGTGTCGGACTTGGCGATAGCCAGCTCGGCATCGAGAACGTTTACGATGCCGGTCTCCTTGGCCTTCTTCGCCTTGTCCCGGAGTTCCTCGACGCACTAGACCGTGCCGGTGTTCAGTTTTCCTGCCCCTCACCTCGAGACTTCGACCCATGCGCCGGGCAAAAGACGCCCACTGCACCCCCACGGCAGCATGTTCGAAGCGACGGACCCGGGAGAACAACTTACGTAGTCAAACATTTCGTCTGAGAGGTAGACGTCGCCGTCGAGATCAATAGTCGGGACAGATTTCGCCTCTTCCCTCCACCTGTCGAGGATAGTCTCGTCGAAAACTTTCTCGGTCCAGTTCGGCTTGTCGGTGATTTGGTTGACGAAGTCCATCACTAGCCAGGGCGAATGTCTTCGGTAAGCGAGCCGGGAAGGAGGCGAGGGAGACATGTGTCGGTGGACTCACTGCGGATCTCACGCTTCGATATTCCTGCGCTCATAAAGTACCTCAGCGCATGGAGGAAGAACCTGCCGCTGTGTTCGTCGGGAAGCGTGGTATCGACGGGAAGGCCGAAGCCCGGGAACTTGTTGCCGTCAATGCGGCGTCGGCGGAACTCGGCGACCGCAGCGGCGTAAGACGCGCCGGGCCTCATCGTCTCAGCCATAGTCGTCTCGGCCATGGTTGTTCTGCTTCGCTTCTTGTCCTCCTTATCCGGGTAACCAGCTGATTCGAAGTGATACGCGTTCTCAGGGCGAGGCCGGCGAAGCGGACAAGGTGGGCGAGATTGTGTGCTTGGTTACGTGTAGGTTGGAGGCTCGTCTCATCAGCGGCTATTTGAATGTCTTCTCCAGAGGTGGGTCGGGTGGCTCCCCGAGTCTCCTTTCCACGCATCTCGTCCGATTTGCTGCCGCCGGTGCCTAGAGGTGCCTACAGCGGTAGGTAACTTGAAGCGGTAGCGGCTAGGCAGTCAGAGGTAGGGTGGCCGGCAGGCAGGGAGGTAGGCATTCCTTCAGCTGCGCAGACGGCGTCGTCTTGGCGGCGTGCTGGGAACGATGCCGGCTCGGCAGCCTGCGATCGGCTAGCGGCCTTGGCTGCCTAAGAGTGCTGCCTTGGGCATTCAGGTAGGTACCCAGAGACCGGACCCGGTTGGCGGGTGTTGGCAGGTGTTAACAGGTGTTGGCAGCCTATACCGGTCCCACCCACCTGCCTAGAGGTTCCTAGGATAGGTCTCTACCCCTACACTCCCGCTACCGCTAACCGTCCAGCCAGAAATACCTCTTAGGACTTGGAGTTTCCTCTGTCTCCGGAACGCTTTTTGAAATATGAGTAGGATTTGGGTATCTATAAAGGGGAAGAAGAAAGAGGGGAGGCGGACCCGAGGCAAGGTAGGTATGACGGCAAATGCCGGACCGGAGCTGAAGCCACTCTCTCGCTCAAGAGCAACCAGCCCCCACGCCACACGCACGCCACCCTCAGACCAGTCGCGGCAGAACTCGGGCCAGCGCGTCTCAGGAAGACGGCGTCCATCGAGAGTGTGCTGGCGTATTCGTCCGGAGTCATGGCGAGAAAAAAGGGGAGAAAATAGGAATAGGCAATAAGATTAATCGCGTTGGTATTCGTTAATGACGGTATAGGCCCGTCAACCTTGGTATACTATAGGTACTGTGCCGGCATCTCGACGCGTCCGCGTCCCATCCTGTCCTGTCCGAGCGCCTCGAAAGCACCTCCTTCTCCGCTCGGAAGGAAAAAAAAAAAATCGCATATCCATTTGCCCCCTCTTGCGCCTTTTTCCCTTCAGCAATTCGTCGCAAGTCATCCCTCTCTGGTATCGTCCACGGCGTCGTCTCTTTTCGTAGCGCGTCACACGGAAGTGGTCGCGACCGCCCCCCCCCCTCTCTCTCTCAGAGACGAGAATAGATCGCTTGGGCCGATCAAACCTAGCTTAGCGGAGCTGGCGCGTCCCCCCTACCAGAAGCGCCTCCGGCTGGCGGGGACGCCGTAGCCGTCGGGGCCCTTGTTCGGTGCTCCGCGGCGCCGGTGCAGCCGGGCGCTGCAGCAGGTGAAGAAGAGGACGAACGTGGCGAGGAAACTGCAGATGGCCGAGACCAACGTCGTCCACGACGCCGCGCCCCATTCCGCGCGACTGTCGCTGCCCGTCGCGTCGTTGACCGCCGATCGGACGAGTCCCAGCGCGACGAAGTCGCACACGAGCACCACCAGCGTCACCGCGAACGTCAGCAGCGAGCACAGCGACGCCAGCAGGCTGCCGACGAACCCGGCGCCGATCGCGAGCAGGAACGCGATGAAGGCGAGTCCCGTCGCGATCGGGTGCAGGATCATGGCCCGCGTGAGCCCCCTCGACGTATCCGCCGCGTAGTCCGAGAACTCGACGTTGCGCACCGTCTCCTCGACGATCGCCACCGGGTCGTAGCCCACTTGCGAGCGGGTGCAGAAATCCCGGCCGGAGCTAGCGTGCGCCGTTAGCTTTTCCCGCCGACTCGCGACGCTTTCCCGTAAGTGGGTCAGGGGGATCCTCCAACTTACGCCATCGTGTCCCGCACGCAGTAGCCGAAGGACCCGAAGGTCACGCTTGGGTGGCGGCCGGCGGACGTTCTGCTCTTGTCAAGGTCGATCCTCAGCAGCGAGATGCTGTTGACGACGGGGGAGGAGATGTCGGTAATGATCAGCAGCACTGTGGCTGCGAACAGCAGGAACGTGCCGATATGGTGGAAGAACCCTGTCTGGGCCATTTTGGTCGACTAGTTTTCTTCGCTTATACCTCTCTTGAGGGGTATATGTAACGATGTGCAGGTTCGGTTAACGTCAAGAGCAAATGCTTTGGTAGGGCACGCAGAGGTGAGAGGCGAGAGAATTGTGTATCAACCTCGTGGGTGGTGGGAGGGGTTCACCGATTATTAAAGTGTCTCGGGTTGACGGACGGGGTTGATGCTGCGGCTTCGGGTCTCCTTGCCACGGCTCAGGTTAGATCCCTTTTCTGGGGCGACCATGTTCATGCCGAGTAAAGTGCGTGTGATGATCCGACGTTCGTTACATCTATGAAAGTCGGTCCCGGCAGGCGTTCGATTTGGCAACGTCACCTGGTGAACTGATGACCGGCTCGTATCTTGCTGCGCCCCTCGATGACGACTGTCCAGTAGTCGTCAATTGCAACGAAAAGCGTGGCTCATTCTGGTTTGCGCTGCCACATAGGCTGGAGACGGCGATGCGTGGATGCGGGCAGAGCTGAATGGAAGAGCTAGCTTGCCAATCCGTGGGGTCGCGACCTTGCACGGTCTGGATTGTCGACGAAGGTCTCCGTGTGGTATTCCTGACAGGGGTGGCCGGGATCTCGACGTATTTCCCTGTTTTAGCTAGAAGAGGACGAATGAAGTCGAATCTGCGATGCGCAACGAATCCCCAAGGCACGGCTAACGGCACCGCCTGCGTCAAAGACGACGACGTCGACACGTCATCAATCGCCGTCGCCGTCGGCGGGCCAATGAGAGGCGCAGCGGGTGAGCAGAATCAGCGGCCTCTGCAATCAGCATCTTGATGATAGCTATCAAAATACCCTCAGATGTCCTACCTCTTCCCCCCCTCTCTGCCTGTGCTTCTCTCTTCCTGGCGATATCGCAGCATGATGCAGGGGAGTAACTGACTGGTATCCGTGCCGTCGGCTGGTTGGCACTCCGCATTGAGTTCTAGCAGATCGTGAAGCCAGAATGGCTCACGGCATGAACATACTACGAAACCCCAAACGCGCCAAGTTTCCATCCGTCATTTCGGCATCCACGCAGCCGGGTTAGGTATAGCTGTCTCAACGCTTTGCCGGGGGCAAAGCTCTTTGCGCCTAATACGGCACAAGAGCGACACTATGACCTGACTATTTCTGCTACTGCGAAAAATCGATTCGCGAGGGTGCAAATGGTAAATCTTAGGCAGCTAGAACTCCAACCTCCAAGCCCCCCCCCGCGTTTGGCTTGGCAACGAGGCTCGTTGCGGACGTATCGGCGATTCCAATTCCGTTTATCTAAGCTAGCAGTTGACGAGGAGGCCGTGGCTATTTGATTCTCGTACGCCCCGTAGGAAGCGGCGCTATAACATGTTCGGACAGCTCTGCACCGGCTGCTTATTTCTCGGGTTTCATTTCATCGGCCTTCGTCGTTGTCTCCGGGGGTGTTGACGGCTTGCCGAGACTCGACGTCATATCAATGAATGGATTGTTCGTCGCAGTGTACCTGGGGGGCTCCGCGGGGGGTTCGCCCAGAGACCAGCTGTACACGCCGCCGGGGACTCCGCCGGGAGCCTTTCTAAACCCGCGATTGCGAGTCGAGACTCCCGATAGCGGGTTGAGAGCGGGCGATGGACTGCGGGAACTGTCGGTAGCGAAAGCAGCTAAACTCTTCATAACATCGGGCATCCCTTCCGCGTTCCAGCGCGCCCTGATACGTTCCAAGAGGTACACTTCTCTGGGGGTATGGCGCTTCTTCCCGAGTAGAGTGGCTGCGGCGCCTTCAGACCCCTCATCGGTGAAACTCACGGAATCACGGTACAGCTGGTTTGCAGTGTGCCAGTCTTTCAATGCTGGCGCCATGACACCCGATGGTACAGATTTGTGAAGGGCGGCCGACGTGAAGGTTTCCCTATCGTCATTCGAGGGCCACCGGCCGTGCAGCGGGTTCCTCCTCACCGCCTCCCTGTGATTGTAGGACTTGTTCGCGGCGAACATGTGCAGCGTGATAGTCTTGTGAGACAATCCTAGATCGGCGAAAGCCGGCGTCGCTTTCAGGGCCTTCGAGGGCGCAATGGGATTGATCGGGGTGGTGATTGCCCCTCGGATATCGTACTCGGCGCCCCAGGCCGCGCTGTCGGGGGCGGCCGCAGCGTTTGGGTCATGATGGATTATCACTCGCGTGATGGGAGAATCGTTGACCAGACCTTGCGCAGTCCCCGGTTTGGTGGTGACCACGACGAAGGAAGAGTTGTCCTGTCTCTCAGTCAGAACCTAGCATTGCCGCCGACCTATCCGCAGGCCCGAGGGAGGTCGGAGCCTACTTCCAGCTGCCTGAACGTCTCGACAGTCTCATGTGAAAGCTTTTGGACAGATCGCAAGACGGCTCGACGCTCGAAGAACGTGATTGGGGCCGGCACGCATTTAACGAAGACGGTGCGAGAACTCAGCGAGGTCTGCAGGACCTCTGCGAACGCTGACTTGGTGCGTAACATGGCCAAGTACCGTCAGGGATCAGCTCGTGAAAGCCGTGATGCTGCTATCGCTACAATGGCGCTGCTACGACGGCGCCGCTATGGGCATCAGTGCCACTGCAAAATGATGTAGGGGAACAGAGGATTTGCCCATATCGCTGAAGTTTGTTAATTTGTTGATTACGCACCCGGTCCGCCACCTGGCTGCCACCTGGCATAAATCTGTAGGCACCTAGGTATAATCCATGAGGGCATTGCACCCACCTGGGCAGGTTGGTATATCGTCCGCTTCATACTGGTCTTCCGAGAAAAAAAAATTTTAATTCGAACACAAATAATGATGCAAATACGAGATGTCGGAAGTAGAAGCCTGCAGCTGAATATTTCCCGGAAGTTTCGAGAGTTTAAAGGTTTCGATCACAGTTCTATTGTGTAAATGTTCCCCGGCCTACTCACACTTACCGAGACGGGTACCAATTTAACCCCATCTCTCCGCCCTCTCTCCAGTTCTGCTGGCTTACAAGCCAATTCCGATCTGGCAAAGCAATTAGACTAGGACCTCTTATCTGCAGACATTCGATGGCTTGATCTCTGCCTTACCTCCTCGCTCGTCGGCTGCCGCACATAGGCGCATAACCCCCCGCGGATATTGCACTATAAACGTATTCCAAAAGCAGGTAGCACGATGGATACGAGTCTCCAAGCTCACGGCCAGAACATCTACCCTACCACCTCCCTCTTTGTTGAATTACAATGACAGCTGATGTTCGCGTTGCATGGTTTGATTGGTAGAGCACCTCTGAGGGTGTGTTCCTGTGTGTGCCAGGCGTGTCATACGAGACCCCCTTTACCATCTGCAGTAGGCGTTGCCTCATGATGGATGAAGAATGGGAAGTTCTGCGGAGCTCTGACATATAGACATGCCCCCCCCCCTTCCCTCCGCAGCCCCTATCCCCTTATTTGGAGGCAGACGGGAAGCACCCAAATGCGTGCCGCCGTACCGTAGACGGGGTCCTGGGACCTGTGCCATACATATGTGATCGGTCGTTTGGATCAGTGGCTGCGCCTGGCGCAACGACACCCTGGCGATGTATACACACTGCCGGCGTGGCATTCCGGTGGAACTTCTAGAGCTGATGGACATGATCGCCGAATCAGCGTGTAGCATGCGGTGATGAATGTCTTGTATGATGTTTAGGCAGGTGCCTACTGGCACAGTGGGAGGGAGATCGAACGTGCGCAGGGTGGCTCTCCTGCCGACCGATGTGTTTTGAATACCTATCGTATTGCGATGTTCCTATGGCCGCGGCGCCGGATCACATTGGACCTACACTTGCCAGAGCGGTACCAAGCTTCGGAATGCGTTGGGGCGTGAACCTCTGGGAGGGTGGGTTGGCTGACACTCACCATAGCGACAGGTAGGTGTCAAGGTAGATTGGCAAAACCCTCTAGCTTTCTCCCTCGCACCCACCTAACGCTCACAACGGTCGCCTAGGGCCGGTAATTGTACCTACCTAGGTCTCCTTCTATAGGTATTTGACCCAGGCCGCCGACAAGTAGCCGGTAGGCTTCCACCCTACTAAGATAGATGGATCTGGGGAAGGGAGGGAGCTCAACTGCGAGACTGGGATCCCGGGACACCAGGGACACGCTTCTTGACACTCAGCCAAACGCGTCTCCAGACCTCTCTCGGTGGTCAAGGTGGGGGCGGCTTCTTTGGGTAATGTTTCCACCGCACCTCGGCGTTGTCAGACTTGGGGTATGCGAGCGATGGGGGATGAGGTGCGCAGCAATAGGAAATTGCTGACAGGCCTCTTTCGTGGAACGCCCGAGGCGTGAGCCCGGCAGAGTTGCTGAAGCGTGGATTGGCTCGGGGCAGGTAGGTATGAGGGTATGGAAGAGGGCACAACGAAGCTCTCTGAAGGCGGGCAGATCCTTGAGACACCATTCTATTACTAGGGCAGTTGAAATGAACAGTTAAACCCACGCCAACCTATCAAATCCGACAGGCCCAGCGGTGTTTTCCTACTCCCACAACTTGCGAACGTGGTAGGCGGATGTGAGATGAGAGTAGTATGTCGTAGGTAGTTATGTGCTTTGCCGCCGCAGTGTCGGCTGGACCGGGTGCCTCTATTACGGCGGATTCCCTCTCCAAGTCGCATACGGCCCCATGCGTTAGGTATGTGCTTCCAAGAGGGGTTTTCAACGCTTGATTTGAAGCCCCCCTCTACCGTGTCCGTATCCAATGTCAACGTAGCATGCACGTCACCCCCTCGACGCTCTTTTTTCGGGACCAGCGCGATCCCTGCAGCGGTTCTCCAAGTCGCCCGATGGCGGGAAATGGATGCGATGCTACGAGGCACCTAGCGCATCCCTCCCCACGACGAGGTCCCCGTTCGCTGGCTGTTGGGAAGCAACTGATTGCGCACCCAGCCCCTCTGCATCGTCTCTCTGGGGACAGCCGTGTCCAGCTACCAGAATTGTATGTCAAGAGGAGGAGGCCCTGTACTTCGTGTTACCAACAAAGGTAGGTATGCCTGCGGTGCAGTAGGACAGCATTATGCACATGACATTAAGGCATCCCACTCTGCGATGCCCTCGGTCCTCTTGGCACCAGTGTTTCCATTGCACCGATCAAACACGATACCCCCGAGACGGGCGGGGCGCCTCTACGCACATGCACACGCCCATCGAGTCACCGCGCCAGCCTTTGCTACCTACGTGTAGCTGTCTCGACAGTAGATGTGGTTGCGGTTAGCTGGGCGCGACACTATGTGCGAGGCCGTGCACGTCATAGACAACGAAGCGAGAAAAGCGCGGGACCTGAGCGGGAACGGGGGGCCGTTGGGCTTGCTGGACGTGTGCTTATATTGCCTCAGGTACCTAGCACCTACGAGGGACGGACCCATTCGAGGTTCCGAGCTTGGGCATACTTCGTCCTTTGTTGTTAGCGACTACCGATGAAGTCATCAGGCTCTTCAAAGGGTGTATCTGAACGCCCGACGGATCTAGGCCACGGGCTTAGTGTCGTCGAGCGTATGAGCACGGAGCTGCCGGTGCAATATCCCGCAGATCTAAGCAATAGAGGCGGTCCTAACTTCGATACCACAGCATCGCCGAGAGCTTGTGTCAGCCCTCCAAGTCGAAGAGCTATCGGGATATAATAACTCGCTAGCCCCCTACCTTAGGGCAGATCTTATGTGCGTCATCCCACCCAGTATCATGATCGGGATTCCTTTCGTCAGGATTCGATGCGTCTAGCCCTTATTTCGGCGCGATAGGCAACCGATGCTTCAGCATCTCTGCCTGCAGGGTGTCTGTCGGCGCTGAGGGCGCAGCTGACTAGGCATGGCTAGGAGAAGTGGCTATGGGTGAACGCTGTAGGGCGTTGTCGTAGGAAAAAGTAGACCATCCCCTATTTGATGATGTAGGTTAGGTTGGCCTCCGACCTTCTCACCGCCCGATCTTCCGTCGATCCTGGGACCTTGATGGCTTTGGGCTGTGGCATGCGGCTAGCTACCGTAGGCGCTGAGGCGAAGACGAGAGGCATATTCAGGAGGGGCCGGCTATGGGTGTTGGGTTGCCCTTAGGCAAAGACGCCAGCCGAACAGAACAGCCACAGCAAGGTTAGCAGGCGGTATCTGCCGACTAAACCCTCCTGTCAGCTATGTACCCGTATGGACTGTCTGTCCGTTTGTTGGCTGCGCGTCGCATCTCGACAGGTACCCCTGTAGGTGCCTAATTTGCTGCGCAGGCACCTTAGGTACCTCCTAGCCTGCCCACGCACCTCCATGTATTAGGTTGAGAGGTACCTACAGGTAGGTAGGTACCTAGGCAGGTACCTTCGTGGGAGGTGCGCGGCGTACGTGGCATATACCTACAGGTACCTTAGGTATGATAAGGGCATACCACACCCTAACCTTCGGCACCACCCAATATTTCAACTTCGAGCGCAATGACACGGGTGGTCTCCTCGTCACCCTCCCCGGCGCCATACCTTACTCGTACACAGGCGTGTACGTAGAGCGCTCCTTTACATGGGGTTCCCCTCACCACCGATGCGACGTCGTCCGGGATGCCGCCCTAGCGGATGCTTGGTGGATTCTTTGTGGATTGCCTGGTACCGGCCAAACGGATTCCGACTGCGATCAGGGTCCGGGGTGGTCGAGTAGGTTTGTCCTGCTCGTGTCCGTGCCTCTCCCTCACTTACCTGCCATACCGAGTAAGTTGGGTCGTCTGGATACGGACCGGACGGACGCTGGGCTGCCTATCCCCAGTCGACGAGTCGCTAAGTCTTGCCCTGGTAGCATCAGGAATCTTTCTAGGCGCGGTCCCGGGTCCATGGCTACTCGAAGTGGACCTTCACTGTCCACGAGCGCCTGTCAGAAAGGCTCAGCAGCGTGCGCCGCTGTGCACACCACCATATGTGCTGCGGCCTGCTCTACACGCCCACCCACCTACCCTACATATATCCTGCGTATTCCCACGTGCATCGATCGGCACCGAATCAGCGCAAATCTCCCAGGACTCGGGCAACCCAGGGATATGGTTCCTCCCTTACCAGCCAGGTGGGAGGGAAGCCGACCACCTGTTGGCTTGCAAGCCTTTGCCACTAACACTACCACTACCACTCCCATCCCAGCCGGCCGCCAAACATATCGCCTGCCTACGTGCTTGCTAGCATCCGACGTGCCGTATTTATTCTCACGCCGCCTCCCCCTGTCTGCGCCGGGCTTTCTGACGTCTTCCTGTCCGCTTGATGATGCTTCTCCCACGAGGCGTGGTACGTCAACGTGGCTCCACGTACGAGGACTTCCGTTGACGGATACAAAGGAGAGGCAAGCGTCGCGGCCACGGGTTGGGCACGTCGTGGCGTCTGTTCAGGTCTTACATTAGCGCGGTAACCGGCTTCTTGGTAAATCAAGCTCGGTAGGATCGTGCCTCGTGCTCGGTCTGTTGCTAAATCCTGGCGATTCCATCACAAGCACGATCCCGTTTACTTTTCCCATTCCTTCTATTTTCCATTTTCCTTCTTTTTTCTCCCGCCGTTGGCTCCCACCTTCGGCCAGAATGCGCGAGATTTCCTACTTCAACCAGGAGGCTAACCCGAACACCCCGTCTGATGATGTCGAGCTGCGACTATCCCCGTCTCCGACGACCGATCGAGGTCAGCAATCGTCACACCCCATGGCGACGGCGGCGGCGGCGGAGACGCTACCAAACAGCCCAGACGGCGGCGACCGGGTGGAATGCCTTGTCCGAACACTGAGCAAACAAGCGTTAATACGAGACCCGAGGTCTATGTCGCCGCCGGACCCGATACCATCCTATTTGGAATTTCAGCAGCCACTGGTCAGCCAAGCGTCAGTGCCGTTACCCATGCCGCCATTCGTAACCGAACCCCGGATACATCTCAGCTCTGACCAACCATCTGCATTCGTAATTGGCAATGACACGAAGCCACCGCAACCGCAACCACAGCTGGAGCTTGAATTGCGCCAGGACGTTATAAGCGGCCAACCTATGGATTTAGCCCCTGGTGACGGCCCTAACGCGGATTTATTGTGCAGTAATGTACCTCGTGGAGAAGCCGGGGGAAGGCTTCACGATGCCAACGCCGGTTCGGATCGCCGTATAGAGGACCTAATGCTAGGTATGATCGAGGTCGGAGCACAATGCCATGTGCAAGGCTCAGCGTCTTCGACTGCAGCGTCTGGGTCCAGGGGTTCTTCTGCGTATCTAGCCCCGGTTGTAGAGCCAAACGATGCTTTCGACTCGGAATTATTCGATAGCAACATGGAGCTCGAGGTCGATACAAACCATACTGGACAGGATGAAGACGGCCCTTTACCCCATCCACTAGGGCTACGAGACGCCGGCGCGCCAGCCGGTATCAGAAAATTCGGCTATCTTAAATTTCGGTCGTCTTTCGAGGCGGCCCAAAGATGTGCCAATATGAAGAAGAACGTACCCAGGATGCGCAGGAGACCGAAACCTCAGCGGCCGAACTCGGCCACGCCCTCTTCGCCAACCTCGACTTCAACTTCGACTTCGACGATGCGGTAGTGTAATGTGGATGTATTATTTATAGGGGCTGTTTTCTTAGATTTGCTTTTCATATACCCAACAGCAACGGCGGAGCGTTTTAACAACCGACAGGTCATGGTAGGGTCTAAAATGGCATTACACTGGCTCCTATTGGCTTTCGGTCGGGGTAGCACCGAGCAAGTCATCATCTGAGGCGCTGGGGCGTTTCTTCAGCATTTGTTTCGGCGTCGACATCGGGGATGTGGACGCAAGTTGTTGCAGGTCTGGGTGGAGTAACGGAAAAGGAGTTCTACACGAATCTTAATGACGGGGTGAACTGAGACCAGGAGGGCTGAAGATCGCCGACTATTACGCACTGTATATGATATGAGGGCCACGACTAGAGTGGGCTGAAGCGCTTCTCAAAGCAGATCAATAAGATTCTGAGCTACTGATGAAGGGCATAGTGGTCCTAACGAATCACCCTTGGGGGGCATTATTCCACGCTTATCTTCACACAGTCGCCAATCAGCACGTTACAGACACAAAGCCCTCCCAGCGCATTCAGCTTTGTTTTCGGAAAAGCATTGGACCCGAAGATCCCTGCTTTGTTCCGATAGAATGGCTCCAATGGCGGATTGTAAGCACTGCCAACAAGTGCGTGTGAGGATATCGGTAAGGTCTACTGCCGTGAAGGTAGAACTCGTAGATAGACTATCCTAGGAATCGAGAGAGGGCACAGCATAGCACTTAAACCGGCAGGTTCGCGCAGGGGGAGATAGATGGCCGGCATGGCTACTAGAGGGCTACTAGGGCATTGCTGACGCTTGTATTAGATCTCTAGGCTTGTAGCCGCAATTGTTGACATCACGTCTCGGCCGGGTTGTCTTTTCACCAGCCCGGTATTTCTTAAGCCGACGGAATTTTCCGAGCAATGTTTCAGGTACTTCCAATCGATGAGGATGTTAGGACTATTAGATATAACATGTTTGGCATCCCCGTTCCTCCACGAGATGAGGTTGCATTCCAATAGCCCTTTGTCTCCCTGGTCGCCCAGTGAGTGTCTGGGGCGTGTCCATGGGATGGATCTGAGCTTCATTATAGCCATTCATCGCTTAACAACGCTCATGGTCACTTTCTTTGATGGCTTACTTTCTTTGTCACCCTCATCGGTAGATGGGTCGACGTGATGTGCGGGAACTCTGTGATGTGGGAATCCCTGAGCGGTCGGTTAGATGGGCGATGGCGCCGCAGTGGAGGTGTGCAGTGTACTGCTCATCTTTAAAGGATCACCCCCCCCCTTCTTTCCGATGGAATGGGTTACTTGGAGCTCTATCACTCGATGCCTCGATGAACATTCCTTCGCACGGTTACTCTATTATCCGCTCGTTGCTGCGGTTATCCCATTATGATCAACTGCTAGCCTCGCCAGCCTTGTCGTGGCTCACACTATCCAAATGCCTTCCTGTTGCCGTGGCAGGCTTTCTATGTTTTGTTGACTTCCCTATCCCCCAGGATACAAGGACCACCGGCTCGACCTTTAAGTCCTCTTTGGCAGATTTCTTGGGACTGGGACCTTTCAGAGCTCCAAAGGAAACATCGGCCTCGACCAACTCAGATCGAATACACCAAGCGACCGATTAGAGGAGTGCGCTAGAGAGGGGCTTTACCCCCCTCCAATCCCTCTTTCGACGTAATGGCCTTCACCGCGATCCATTACCCGGCGGACAAAGACCAAGGCCAGCTCTCGTATTGGCCGGAGAATGCCGAGCTAGGAGTGGCGAGCGACAACTTCTTTGACCAGTTCGTCACCTTTGACGCAACGGATCCCATGATGTTGGGGAGTGGCAGCGACGGAGGCCCCAGCGGCGACTTGCTGGCAGACCCTCCAAGTCCATCACTCTTGCTAGATTCTCTCGAGGAGAGCTTCAACAGATCTGCGGCCTATGCTCATGTCACGCAACCTGGCCAACCCCGAGAGAGTGTGGTGGTCGGAACGTCTACCGCCCGTGGGATCCCACCGACCTCTTCCCCTCCATCTGCCGCCCCAGAACAAAGAAGGTCTGCTCCGGTGGAGCTTGCTGACCCCTTAGGGATAGATCCTATACTAAGTAGCGGATCGATCTCAGACTCGGAACTGCTCCGCCTAGAGGGCATTTCTCTAAAGTCTCCCAAGACTAACGCCGCGGTACCGTCGAGTCCGCTGTTGGCAGGAAGAGTATCCTCGAGCCCGCGGAAGCACCATCGAGTCCTCGACTCGATCTATGCCACGATTCGCCGAGCGACACATCGATCCAAGGCGCACAGGCCGACGGGTGGGAGCATAGCAGCGACGATGACGGATGTATTTAAGAGCAAAGGGCAGTCTTCCTACGATATCCCGAGCGGGTCGGATATGAACGAACTCTCCGACATCAGTCAAGGAGAGATAAAGTATGAGTGCGAGAGGCATGGCCCGATCGACAGCCAAGGCCTACCCCTTTCTCCACCGCCGACCGGCAGAATCCCTCCTACCCAGCAGCACTCAAAAAACAATGACATGATGAATTTTGTGAGCGGTCATTTTGAAGATCCATTCGACGAGGGCTTGCTGGGCCCACCTGCGGTTATAAACCCGGCCGTGGCTAAGGGCCGAGAAGCCAACGATGAAATGGCCACGATAGATACACCCGCGCTGAGCGACGATGCGTTCTACCAACATCTTATGGATACCACAGCCAGCGCTCAGTCGTACAGCCGCCCACATCCCCAGCCGAAGCACCGGAGCACGAGCTCGGCGGAGTGGCCGATGGAGGGCATTCTCACCAACGAGAACACCGCGAATAGCATCTGGCCACCATCCTCTCCCGGCCCTGCAACGGGCTACATGCCGCACGAGATGACGAGTCCCGGGTGGTGGGATTCACCAACGCACGGAAAGGGGGCCCGTCGACAGCTCGAGCACACCAGCAGCCGCAGTCACCACAATGGCCTGCACGCCACCGGCTCCCTACCTCAGCTCTCGGTGCACGGCCAACCGGCAGTGGACCTCCCGTACGAGTACACCCCGACGACGCCCACGCCGACCAGCACAGACCTCTCGGGGCTCATGATTCACATGCCGCAGCCGCGGGCGCCAGCCGCACCCGTCCTATCTTCTAGCATCAACGAGTCGTTTGCCTCGTCCCATGGCTACCCGCATCCCCTGCACGCACCTCACCCACACCCAGCAGCGGCCGGGGGCCACCGGTACCCCTCCTCATCCTCATCCTCGTCGCACCACGGCCACGCGCACCACCACCCGCGGCACGGCGAGCGGCGGCCACGCCCCCGCGCGCCGTCCTCGGGCGCTCGCCACCATCACCACCACGGCGGCGCCGCCGCGGCGGGGTCGCTCACTTCGCCGCGAAAGGCCTCTTCGTACTACGCGCTGCGCGAAGCGTCCGTTTCACCAACGCCGCAGCCCCCTCCGCAGGCGGGCGGCGGCCTACGGCACCGCGCGTCCTCGTCCTCTCTCGCCGTGCGCAAGCGCCGCTCCTGGAGCCGGCGGCACGCGAGCGGGGCGGCAGAGCCGCGCACGCCCGCGCGCATTTCGCGGACGGGGAGCTTCGACCACGGGAGCGGCGGCGGCGGCGGCATATTGCTCGACGGGAACGGGTCGAGCCTCAGCGTTGGGGGCGCGAGCGGCATCGGGAGCAGCAGCAGAAACGGGTTAGGAGGGGGGGGTGGTGGCGGCGGCGGCGGGTTCTCGATCGAGTTCCTCAACTACACGCCGGACGACAAGAAGGTGCTGATGAACGGGGTGGCGCCGAGCGGGTCGAGCAAGACGAAGGCGCGGCGGGAGCGCGAGGCGCAGGAGAACAAGCGCAAGATGAGCGAGGCGGCGATGCACGCGATCCGCGCGGCCGGCGGGGACGTCGAGAAGCTGCGGCAGAACGGGTTCTTCGAGTGAGCAATCATGCCGCCCAACACACCAGACCCCATCCATACAGCCGTTTCACTTGTCCCCTATCTTACCCACTTGCCTACCTACCTGTCCGTTCGGGCTTATTGCACTTGCAACTAGGGCCGGACTAGAAGCTGAAATATCACAGGCGCTGAGGATGCTTAACTCGATACGATCCGGTTCGGCGCCGGGGAGGTGGATAGAGGGCCAGGGTGACAACTACTACCTATTTCGTAATAAGCGGTTCAGTGATTGGTTGCACGATGGCCTATCATCTGTACTGTGTTGTCTGCTCTCGATACGGTGAAGCTGGCTTGGGATTCCAGCGGTATAAGTGGTATGCTAATCAGCCGTAATATATGGGATGGGATGGGAACAAAGACCTACCTAATATGAGGGGACCCGACTCTTGTTATTTGCGGATTGCATGGACGGGTGTTAGCGGGCACTGCTGGATCTTTCGTTCTCTTTTTTAGATACAGATAGTATCTTCGTATACCTGCCTTACCAAACACGGCTTCTTCTCTCATTCATTTGACAAGTTCGTGATTATTTGTTAAGTGTCTATTTAGCATCCTGAAGACAAGCCGTACCGAACTGAGTCTCGTCACTTCAGGACGATACCCTATGCACACTAGGTAAGTAACCGTCATACCCCTGACTTTCGAATTCTCCAATCTCGTATCGCAACACTTATAACTATCTACGTAATTCCTGTATACCTAATGCCCGGTTATTTGCGAGTCGTGCATAATAGTCGGTGCCTAGTCCCAGGTGGATGCGCAATCCGCGGGTTGCGGCTTGCGGGAGGAGACGCGCCAAGAGCCCGCCGTATACAATGGGCTTGTCTTTAACTCCGCGACCCCCCTCGGCAGACCAAGCTTCGTGTTGCACTTTAATATAACTTGATAAGAACGGCGTTAATAAAGGACCCGTCCGCCAGATGAGGGGACCCACGACTCGAAGGCAGCGAAGTTATGATGCAACTATCCAGGCATCTTGGTGTACGTCGGCACTTAAATCCGCTAAGTCCACCTCTCTTCCAGAGAGAGACGTCGGGGTTGTGGTAACGGGTGAATATGCAAAGCCATTGAGGAGACTCACTTCGTGCGAGAGAAGACTGGTATGTCGAGGATTAGTACCTACAGGTACAACGGCGTGTGGTTCCAACCCTCATATCGATGCTAAATACCGTTTCAGGCTCTTAGGAGATAGACCTTCTGTGTTCAACGCTGAAGCAGGCTGTCGACGCTGTTGTTTTAGAGCGTTGTATGCAGGAACCTGTATTGTAAGCCTACATTGCCGTGCGGGGGACGGTAAGCGTGCATCTTTTCCGGTCAGATATAGATCGAATGAAAAAAGCATTAATGGAGGAGGCAGTAAGGCTATGGCTTGGAGAGACTGCATACACCTACTATGGTACATTTCGGAGGAGATAATACTTGTGAACTGGGCAGCTCTCACTGGGCTGGGTGGCGATACCAGGCGGGTGGACAGAGGCTCATCCTTGCGACCTGAACGCATATATAAATGCTTCTCCCCATCTCTAGACGAGAGTAGACATACCACAAGAAGCATCGAGACATCTGCAACGCCCAGACTGACCAAAGGACGCGAGCCATACATACAGTCAACATTAATACCTACCCAGCGTATCCGCAGACATTAGATATCGGACACCATGCCTACTACTCACCCCGAGTTCAACGAGAAAACCGAAGCGCTTGACGTCGCCAAGGCGTTCGCCGACCAGATTCGCGGCAGGACGGTGCTAGTGACGGGCGTGAACCGCGGAGGGATCGGGTTCACCACCGCGCAGGCGTTTGTAGGTGTCTCCCGGCTCTCTCACGACGATTCGCAGAGCACATGCTAACGCGCCCCAAGGCATCCCAATCCCCGGCGCACCTCATCTTCGCCGGCCGCACCCCGGCCAAGCTCGAGGAGTGCATCGGCCTGATCAAGGCCGAGTACCCCGACGTCGACTACCGCGCGCTGCAGATCGACCTGTCGAGCCAGAAGTCGGTGCGCGCGGCGGCGGCGGAGCTGCTCTCGTGGGCGGACGTGCCGGCGATCGACATCGTGGTCAACAGCGCGGGGGTGATGGGCACGCCGGAGCGCACGCTGACGGCGGAGGGCATCGAGCTGCACATGGCGACGAACCACGTGGGGCACTTCCTGCTGACGTGCCTGATCGCGGCGAAGCTGGTCGCAGCGGCAGGGCGGCGCGGGGGCGCGCGCGCGGTCAACGTGACGTCGGCGTCGCCGACGGTCGCGGTGATGCGCTGGAGCGACCCGCGCTTCGAGACGCGCAACGCGGACCTGCCGGCGGCGGAGCAGCCGCGCTACGAGATGCTGGAGCTGTTCGGCAACGCGGGGCCGCGCGAGCGGGCGTACGTGCCGGTCGAGGCGTACAACCAGAGCAAGGTGGCCAACGTGCTGTTCAGCGTGGGCGCGAACGCGCGGCTGCTCGCGCGCCACGGCGTGCTGAGCCTCGCCGTGCACCCCGGCGTCATCCCGACCGAGCTCGGCCGCGACTTCACGCCCGCCAACACGGCCGCGCTCGAGGCCATGCGCGCCAGCGGCTTCCTCGCCTTCAAGACCCTCGGCGCCGGCGCCGCCACCAGCCTCGTCGCCGCGCTCGACCCCGCCCTCGGCCCCCCCGACGCCGCGCCACGCGACGGCCGCGAGAACCACGGCGTCTACCTCGCCGACTGCCAGATCTCCGACAAGGCCCAGCCCCTCGCCGTCTCGAGCGCCGAGGCCGAGAGGCTGTGGAAGGCGTCCGAGGAGATGGTCCAGCAGAAGTTCGAGTGGTGAGCCGGCGAGTCTTGAAGGGGGATAGGGGAAGGGGGGCGTCGTGTACTTTAAGGTGTCGTGCCGCTTTCTCTGTTAGGTATCTTTCCTGGTGGAGGTTATATGCATTGTTACCGGACGAAGAGCGCCATATGGCTGATGGAAGGATGTTAGCTTACCGCTCCATAAGACAAATCTCCGCTCCCCCCTTTTACCACGTGAAAGCGTAACCGGCTGTGCTTCCCCGGCCGGTTAACTACCAGTCATTCCGCGTTGCAGTAAGCAGCAGTAAGCTATAGGGCTGTTGTGAGGGTCTTGTTTAAACTGCCTACCTGTCATATCCTTAGAAAAGGCTTCGGGTCGGAACAGGGCCGCGCTGGATCCTTACACCGAACACCCCCCGCATCGCGATACCCCAGAAACGACCGCCGTAGGCAACGATCCATTGCAATTATCCTCCGGATAGCATAAATAAGCGGTGACCCCCGGAGTCGAGGCGTCGCGTCTTTGTGCATGGCTTTGTGGCCTTGTGCCTTGTATTGGCTGCCCACTTCCACAGTTCATACGGATGCACTCTCGTACCAATGTAAGGTTCCATCCGAATTGTGCCGGCGTACGCCACGGATCCTAGACGCTCCCATTGGACTGTGATGCCTGTAGGTGGAATCGGGACACACCGGTGTGTTGTTGATGCCTGCGAGTGATCGTCACGGTTACTACCCCCCTGGCGAGCAAAGCTCCGCAGCATCCGATATAAAAACGAGGTACCGCGTCGCTCCCCTCCAACCCTTTCCCCTCCCCCTCGCATCCCGTTCTAATCCTGCTACCCTCCACAGCGGACGTGAGGAGAAATGGCGAACATCCAGCCGTACCAGATCGCGATCCCGCAATCCGAGGTCGACAGGCTCAGCCGGAAGCTCGCGGATGCGAGGCTGCCGAGGGAAGACGGCGAGGATGGCGATGATTGGGAGCGCGGGGCGCCCGTCGCTCCCGTCAGGCGTATCGCCACGTACTGGTGCGAGTCGTTCAACTGGCGCGCTTTCGAGCAAGAGCTGAACGAGCTGCCGCACTTCGAAGCCACCATCTCGGTGGAGGGGTTCAACCCGTTCCAGCTGCATTTCATTCACCAGAGGAGCACTGCGAGTGACGCAATCCCGCTATTATTCGTACACGGCTGTACGTCCTCGCCCCCTCATTCTCCGTGCTACCCACCCACCTACCTATATATACTTGTACCTACACGGCGGCCGTCTAACCGTGCGCAGGGCCGGGGAGCTTCCTCGAAGCGACCAAGATACTCCCGGCGCTAGCCAAGAGCGACAAGGACGACGGCCCGTCGTTCCACGTGATCGTGCCGTCGCTGCCGAATTTCGGCTTCTCCGGCCGGATCGACCGGTCCGGGTTCGGGCTGAAGCAGTACGCCGAGGCGCTTCACCAGCTGATGCAAGGCCTCGGGTACGAGCAGTACGTCTCGCAGGGCGGAGACTGGGTAAGATGACCCCGGCGCGCTGCGCACGAGAAGAAGAAGAGGAGAAAGAAGTCCCCGCTGAGTGTGTGTGTGGCGTACCGTCGCAGGGGTATTTCATCACGCGGGTGATCAGCGCGATGTACCCGGAGTCGCTGGTGGCGACGCACCTGAACATCCAGGCGGCGATGCCGCCGACGTCGACGTCGCCGCTCGCGTACGCGCGGTTCCTGCTCGCGCACCTCCTGGGCCTGTACGGCGCCGAGGACAAGGCGCTGCTGCGGCGGAGCGAGGCCTTCTGGCGCACCGGCTCCGCCTACAGCACCGTGCACCGCCAGCGCCCGAGCACCATCGGCATCGCCCTCGACGACAGCCCCGTCGGCCTCCTCGCCTGGATCTACGAGAAGCTCGTCGCCTGGACCGACGACTACCCCTGGACCGACGAGGAGGTGTGCCGCTGGGTCAGCATCTACTGGTTCAGCCGCGCGGGCCCCGGCGCTAGTGTCGTTATTTACCACGAAGCGGATAAGGGCGAGTACGTGACGAGAGAGAGCCCGTTGACGCCCGGCGTTAAAATAGTACGTCTTTATTTTCTGATTCGTTTTGTTCCTTCAGGTCGCGTTTTTCCTTTCTTTCTTTTTCACTCCAGAGATGTGTTTACTACCGTAGCTGACTGTCGCTAGGGCTACTCGTACTTCCCGAAGGAGATCTTCGGCTCTCCCCGGTTCTGGAACCATCGGCTTGGGGACGTGGTCTTCGAAGGCCGGCACGAACGCGGCGGCCACTTCGCCGCGTGGGAGAGACCAGAAGACCTCGTGGCGGACCTGCGCGCCATGTTTGGGAAAGGGGGTGGTGCTTACGGCGTTGTCAAGCAGCCCACTGCTGAAAATTAACCCCGTAGGTAGTATGCGAAAAAGTCGACGAGAAGGGGGCCCAAGCAGAATAAAATAATAAGCGTCGTGCCGTTTATCTTACATGCAATAATATTGGGTGGAGTGCAGGGGCGGTTGGTTAATAGTAGCTGGTTTCCTATGTCGCCGCCACTAGAGACAGACTCGCAGAAAAATCGACATCTCAGGCGAGTGGGGTCTACGAGTCGGGGGTTCGAGTATGCGGCCGAGTCTCGTGTATTGGAACCCGCAGTGGAACGAAAAATTGCTCGCGGTTCCTATCAATAAGGTGTAAATGAGAATAAACTCGTGATAATCTATGTGAGAAGACTCGTCGTAAGGGGTGAGGACTCACGGACGATACTCGAGCATAACACCATAATGCCACAGCTCGTCGCTAAGGAGACAAGAGATCTACGGAGGCCTCGTGGCGATTAGTAACCCACGCTGGTTAGGCACGGCGTTCTGAGCGTGCTGGAATGCGTCCAAGGCAGTCGGCGTTTTCTAGCTGGTGAACCTCGCTATGTACATGCCACACCGCGGTAACCTTCCGTGGGAACACTCGCCAATGTCGTTGCATATATTGCATCGAGGCCGTAGAAAGACGCCATTTCTAGAATGGCACCCCACTCCTCTACGACGAACCCTTCACCATCTGTAACCAATTTAGGTGGTTGTAGTTGTCGATTGTAACGTCCCGCCCGCATCTGCCAGTCACCTAACCCACGCTAGGCTCCAAAGTCCATCCAGACGTCAGAAAGGTCAACGGAATATTGGTCGTTGTCGTCGCTTGGGGGCTCCCTTGTTGAGTAGATACCGCCCGCAAGATCCTCAGGCTGGTGGGACACGTTCAAAGGAGCCGTGTCTGGTACAACGTTCCGCTCCTCTGGTACCTCTACTGTCCGACGTATGCCGGGCATTCACTTCCGCCATCGAGGCCCCTTTCTGCAAATACATCCTGGAGATCGTCCGCCGGGTGTAAATACGGACACGCTGGTTCCGGGGCATTGTCGAAAAGCTTAGACCAGAGTAAATACCATTTCCGGTTGTTGCCAAGAGGCCTCTTGGTCATGGAGACGTTGCGTTTATGCTTGCGCTTGACGTGCTCATCCATCTTCGCTATGTTTTCCTTCCCGATTTTGGCACAGTCCAAGTGCGCCAGGGGGTCATGTTTGAAGAAGGGGCACGCCAGACGAGTTAATCCGTCATCTATCCGGGCGCGGCAAGAATCACAGGCTTTGGCAATCGGAGGGCGGGGAGGCGGTTTCATGGGAGGTCCTGTTTGGCCGGGACTCGGCTGTTGGCGCCCGTCGCTTAGAAGTGACAGTGTTCCAGTCCAAGGCGGACACAGCCGCGACACGGTTACCGGGCTTCCAGCATCTTCCCACAGCATCGCAGGCTGGGCATAGTAATCGCAGGCACTTGCTTGACCCGTTACGTTGGTATCCGCGTGCACCTGGGCGTCAGATGTCTGCGGCTGGACAATAGAACGTGGGCCAGCCGGGCGCTCAGTCCCGACCAAATCATCTCTCGCGGTTTGGGAGTGGTCTATGGCACTATAATCGATCGCATCCTCGACCGCGAGATCCTGGAGTTCCGGGGACACCCTCTCTGTATTACACCTGTGCATGACCACGACGAGATACTGGGGAGTATCGCCATCAAGTTCCTCTTCCGGGGTATGTTCTCGACCCTCGGGCATTTCCTGCGGCTCTTCTTGCGTCTCAAACCCAGCCGCTGACCCGTCGTCATCGTCTAGCCTGGTAAGGATCTGAGCCGCCGGGCCGGGTAGGGCACTGGTAGCGAGGCTGAGCAGTTGGCTCCCATACTCGTTCCCCCCAAACCCTAGGGGGGAGGTTGTGCCCATCCCAGAAGCCATGGGGTGAGAGGCTCTGCTCAACGGTTGTGGGGGGCAGGCGGTGTCCCACAGAGCCTCATTGCCAGGTATATTTAGTCGCCCTTGGCCAAACTCTGGAGTCGGATCTATAAGGCAACCGTCGCATCTCCACGTCCCACAATGCGCACAACCAGGGTTGATTTCAAGAGACATCGGACCATCGCCGCAGTTGCACTAGATAGGTATTCAAAGTTGGTTATCAGTTGTGCCTCGGCTATCTTTTATCTCTTGCCTAAACCGCGGCGCCGGGAATGACTCACGCAATACCAAATCGGCCACAGGGCCGCCGCGTCTTCTCCCCTGCGCGGCTGTTGGGGCAACGACGACATCGACGGGAAGCCGGAATTCATAGCTAGATCATATGATGGCAGAGCCATACACGAGTCTTCGTAGAGTAGCGTAGGCTTGTATATGAATTATCTATTCTTCCTAGCAGATAGTTCTTCCGGGTGCTCTTGCGTGTAATGGAGGGAGCTTTTCCTACAAGCATCCCGCCGGCCCCTAACTATTTACAGAGTCTGGCCCTAGCCGGAACAGCAGAGAAATGGCACCAGAGCTGGGGACGAACGAAATACGCCTGCAGACAAAAGGGTGCACGTAGACGGTAGCATATAATCGAGTCCTGGATTATACCTAGAATTCTTGATGGCAGCATCTCTTGATCGCAGCAGGGGTTTCGTTGGCACATATCCATCTTCGCGATAGGCTCCCACTAGGTGGGTCTCGCTCTAATTGGCCTGACCCAAACAGCACATCAAGTTGAACTTGGTCCAAAGTGAGATTATAAGATACCACATGCTTGCGAGCTGCTGCAAGCTTCCTCAGGCCGTCCTGACAGGCGACCCATCCAATGCAGGCTGACGAAGTTACCCTCGACGAGGTCGTGAGATCGACCGCTACACGACAGGACCGGGGTACGTTCAGCGTAACTAACCGTCTCATTGGGAGCCAGGTAGCCCCTAGCCAGGTGAGGCGGTCCCGTCGGCCTCGAGGGTCGAGAGTCTACGTGCGCCGCTCGGGACATCACCGTCTGACGAGGCCAGTTCTCTGAGAATCTGCACCGCGAGGTGTCATGCACGCCAGCACAACAGCAAATGAGTCACGACAACATGTAGTCGTTCTTCGCGCGAAGATGCCGGTCGTGTTTTCCTCTGGCGGGCTTGTCATCCGCCCGGGTGACGATGAATTCAACCCAGCCCGCGTGCGTGCGTGGGGGTGGTACAGGACCCCAGGGTCAGTACTGAGACACTAGAACCCCCGCGACAAGATGCGCTAAGTCGACTCGATACGAGTACAGTGGCTGGGGACTGCAGGAAGCCTGGTCGAGCCCGGAGGTCCTCTTCTGCAGCGACGATCCAGGATTACGACGGCGTGGTGGCGTCGTACCGAGCGAGCCTTATCCCGTCTGAGGCCCCTGCTGGGTCTGGATGATGCGTAGCGCTCGGTATCTGGGTTGTGACCAGCGCCTCTCTGGCCACCTCGCCAGAGATTTTCGAAATTTTCGAAGGATGGCTAAGGAATCCCCGCTGCCGACTGTTGACGGAAAGCACCGACTCGGCAGACAAGTTCTGAGCCGGACGGCTGCGTCGATAGGCCAGTGGGCGAGATTCTCGCGATACTGAGAAGTACGCTGTTGCAACGGTTCGATCCCGCCCGGAAGAACGCAAGGTTGGAGATGAGAGGAGCGACAATGCAGGACGGCTAGCTGGGTACACATCAGAAAACCCTCTTTTGTTCACTATGCCGGAATGAGGTTAATACGGACCGATTTTAATACGCCTTACCCTCTCCTTACACCCCATTGACTGGTTGGGTTGAGGTTTACTCGATTGCTTAAGCCATCACCAAGTAAATTTTGCACCACAACAACCACCACCACTCATTACTCATAAAATACGTCGAAGCACTCTGCGCTTCTCCACGTTTTCGTGCCGAAAACCTAGGACCTCCCCGAAGGCTAGGGGAAAAGGGGTAAGCAGAAATCGACGCTTGATCTGCGAAAAGGGATTAGCAATCGACTCTTAATTGAACGGCGAGAAACTGACCTCGATTGATCTATATATGAATAGGATTGAAATAGGTACCTAGGGAATAGACGCATCCCGTCGCGTATGCTGCGGTTTTATTGGATGCATCTCTTTAAGCACCTATATCGTACGAACTTTTAACCAATTAAAACGGGATATCCTGAACTTTTAACCAATCAGAATCGATTTACCGGAATCGCAGGGGGTATTTACAGGGGGGGGGGGGTTGTTTTTTACAGCGCGACAGGGGTTTGACGTATTTTAACTATCTTCCGGATAGGATAATACCTTATGATGCACTTCTAAGGCAACAGAGGACCAATTGGACTGGTCTACAACCTCCTTGAAGTCAAACTGAAAAGAAACCACCACAACTCCAATAGAAAAACTCATCGCATGCGAGCGAATACGGCAGCAGTTCTCCTTACCGATGAGTCACTTCTTAAGCGCAGTCCTTTTCGTCCCGGCCGGAGAGTCGTGGTGGCCGAGCCTGATGAAGCTATCGCGGGGCTTATCGGGTAGGCTGAGAGATGCGGGGAATCGGCGGCTGAAGCTCCCGGAGCTGTTACGCGTCAGGTGGGTATGGACATATTACTAGGGACCTCGTAGCAGCGTCGCCGAGATGCTGGCCCAAGAGTTGGACGAAGTAGTGGCTCTGGATTCGCTTTCGTGCCTGATCGAAGACGCCGACGACGTCACGTCGTTGGAAGTCGCACTTCTCGGCGACGAAGACTCCGAGAGCCACATGATATATTTATGCTTCGTGCCCAACATTTCCAAGCCCCCTTCCGGGTTGTCGCACAACAAATTAGTAGCAACTCGACCAACACGAAGGCCATCTCTGCTCTGGATCTGCCTCATCAACCCACCCCAATATTATCGCTCGGGCCCCCACGCATCGAAATCGCCAAATAGCATACGAGAGGCAAGTAAGTAGACGGGGTTTTCCTCGTAACGATAGGCGACCCCAGAAATTCGGCCAAAGCAGGAACTATCACCTAAGTGCTATGCACGCAGTAAACAAGTAGTCGCCCTTCCGATGTTCGATTGAGACAATGGTAGGATGAAGTGATGCTGTCTTTCCTCGTCTGTCGAGACGCGGCGACGTCGGTTGTTGGATTCCACGGGCTGGCACATGCGGAAGTGCCAGTGCCCACCGCCCGAGAGAGGGATGAGCTATGAGTAGATGCCTACCATACGGATTGAGCGCGGCACACACAACGCAACTCATCCGCGCCACAGACAACTAGGTATTACGAGCCCACCTAAGCTGTTTCCAGCACTGGTTGACTTTCTTTGCCGGCCGCTACGCACACAAGACTTGTGAGTGAGGTGTTTCGCCATCTCGTGCTCGCGTCTGCCCTTCTCCGACAACACACTCTGTCTGCTCTCTGCATCTCTCCACGCGCATCGCGTTTTATTCGATTCCGCTGTCTTGCATCGGGCCGACTGCGCCCGTGGCTACCCCGCTTCTCGCGATGCCATCGTTGCCATCGTTGCCATCGCCGTTTGTGGTTTGTCCCCGCCATACTACCTACCCACCACCCCGGCGCGCCTTTACAGACGTGTATTAGACACCATAGTCCTCTGCGAAACGAGCATGCGCCTAGGTATCTATGTGCATCGATATTCCTGTTGACGTACCTGCATGTGCAGAGCCACATGACCGGCCAGAAATCCATACGGCGACGCTGTCGATAGTTTCGCTTTCCTCTGCTTGTCTTCCTCTCCCAAACTCCCGCCTCGAAGAGAGAGAACAACCTCGATCAGGAAAGTGGGCTCGATCTCGTTTGCCTGATTAGGCAAGTCTGGCACACTCTTTAACAGCAACCCCTGACAACATCAAGATATCGCCATAATAGAGAGACTCGCTTCCGAGAAGACAGCTGGGACAGCTCGCTTGGTGGTCACCGGCCGACTTGTCGTGCTACACAACCAGTTTGTCCATTTAGGTGGCAGCGTTTGCAACCCGAAAAAAAAAACGAGAAAAAAAACAGCCACAACAGACGCCGCGTTTGACACCCTCTGGCAGGATGCGGGGTAGTCTCTGTCGATTCGTATTAATACCCAAGCATCCCAGCTGTCTCCTAGCCTGGCCCCCGAGACCGCGCTCCTTAGCATCGGTGCTGTCCAGCAACGTAAAGAGACACCGTCCGCTTCGATATCTCGGCATCGTATCTAACCACTATTGCTATAGGCAACAAGGCACCTAATGGATGTCAAAGATGTCTCAGACGTCGGCCAATACAGCGCCCTCCTGGCCCAGATCACCAATGCCACCGAACAGGCAAAGCTGAGGAAAGGGCAGAAGCCGCGAGATCTCCGTTCCCGAACCTCGCTCGTGTCCGATTTCATGTCCAAGAGGGACCAAAGAGTGCAGGTCATGTCAGAGAATCCGGCCCGGCATATGATTTCTACGTCGCAAGTTCCTTATCCTTACCCTCCTAGCGTTCGTCTCGTCGACGACCTCCAGCCCATCATGATATCGCAGATGAGGCTCGAGGAGCATCACCGAGGCAAGAAAGTTCTTCTTCGCGTCATAACGCCTTCCGATAGAATAACAGCCGTCATGGCCATCGCCGAAGACGAGGAGGGCACTGTGATGATGATCCAGCTTTACAATCAGCCAGAAGAGGAGGACGTGAAGCATGAGGAGATTGTCAAGCCCCAGAGCGTCTGCGTCATTAAGGAGCCATTTCTGAAGTGCACCACCGACGGCTTCTACGGTTTGAGGGTTGACCACGTCAGCGACATCGTCTGGCTGCCGGACGACGATGATCGCGTCCCGCCCAGATGGAGGAAACCAATACACGAAAGCAACGGCGATTCCACGCAGATTCGGACGCTGGGGAATTCGGCCGTCAAGGCTGCGAACTGGGCGGGCGCGGAACACTGGCAAGCCACGACGAATCCGAGGCGGCGGGGGGGGGGAAGAAGACGCGAGAAAGCTAATCCGCTTGCAGGTACTCGCTGGCCATCCGCGCTGCCACGACACCTGAGCAGAGGCAACTGGCCCACCTCAACCGCTCGTTCGCAAACCTCAAACTCGGGCGGCCAGAAAAGGCTTTGCAAGATGCGTTAAAGGGTAGACAAGACGGGAGCCCTTCCGAAAAAGCCCTCTTTCGGGAAGCGAAAGCATTATACGCCCTCGGACAGTTCAAGTCTTGCCTGGACAGGCTGCAGACCCTCATCACTTCCTATCCCGGGAACCACGAAGCACGGCAGGAGATCGAGAGGGTCCAAGAGAGGATCCAGGAGCAAGAAACGGGAGTGTATCGGTTCCGGAGAATGCACAATCAAGCCAAGGCTACGCCCCCCATCATCGACTGCGCGACATACGTCGGGCCCGTCGCCGTACGTGCCTCGCCCGGGTGCGGCAGGGGGCTCTTCACGACCAAGCCCGTTAAAGTGGGCGACTTATTGTTCTGCGAAAAGGCATTCGCCTACACCTACGCTGGGGACGATGACCCCGCCGGCCTCCGCGCCCAGAGGGTCCTGATGAACCTCTCGACCAAAAGGGTCACCATGGGGGGACAGGCGCATCTAATCACCCAGACCGTCCAGAAACTTTACCACAACCCTCAAATGGCGGAAACCTTCAAAAGTTTGCACCACGGAGACTACGATGCCGTTTCTGTCTCGGCCGCCGACGGAGCGCCCATAGTTGACTCGTAAGCTGGGCGTAACATTCTCTATGCTGAAGGGGGCTCTATGCTAAATATGCCCGTAGGTTTCTTGTCGAGAGAATCATCAACCTGAACTGCTTTGGTTGTCCACGGAGCAGCCTCGGAAATATTGCTGAGAAAGACGGCGCGGAGTCCAAAGCCCACACGACCTGCGGAATATGGCCCCTGGCCTCTCACATCAACCATTCTTGCGTCCACAACTGCAGTCGCTCCTTCATCGGGGACGTGCAAATCGTCCGAGCCTCTCGAGACCTAGAGGCGGACACCGAACTGCGTTTCGAATACCGGAGCCCTCCTGCCCACGAGAGCTACGCGGAAACGCAGAAGAGATTCAAGCACTGGGGGTTTACTTGCGATTGTGTCTCGTGCCGGGACAGAAAGTCTACTTCGACGCACACGAGGAACAACCGCAGGAGCCTCACGATCGATTTCAAAGCGATCATGAACGGCCCTATGTCGGCCTCGAAGATCCAGAGAGCCCAAGCAGTGCTCAAGCGACTCGAGAGTACTTTCTCGGTCAAAGAGGGCAGCGAATATTTAGAGGCTTGCGACAAATACTTCTTGATGGGACAAGTCTTGCTGCAGCAACACGACGCGCTCGAAGGGCTCGAGATGATTATCAGCGGGCTCGAGGCCTACGGGTTTGAACTCACAGCCTGCCCGCCGAGAAAAGATTCCAGCCGCCCGAAGCTCGAGGTCCGACGCTGGGGGTTTCTGAGCAACCAGACAACCTTTGCCTTCTTGCGAATGTCCGAGATCTATGGCATACACGCGCCGGAGCTCTCCGCGACCGCCAGACGATATGCAGAAATTTCTCACAGCGTCTTCGTTGGCGAGAGCGACTCGCTCAGCGATATTGCCGAGCTGAGCAATCAGGACGCGGCGAAGTTCTCGCGTGGTAGATGACCATAGGATGCTTTAGTACTATTTCTCTGTCTAACGGCAAATCAAGCTTGTATTAACTAGGTATCATTCGTCCCTGAGCTTTGTACGGTATTATACGCTAGGAAATCAGTTAGTCTTAGTTCGTAGCTAGATTTTCATGACTGGGCAAGAAAACTCCGATCAGTTTATCTTCATAGAAAAATCGAAAGTCTTCACTGAGTTCCTGTCTAAGACTTATAAGGTGTTATATTTAACCATAAGTTGAAGTAGACTAACACCGACACGCTAACAAATACCAACTAGAAAACGTCTCACATGATAGATTGATAATAGAACTCAACCAATCCTTTCCACAGTAGACCCTCTTAAGAGATCACAACAAAGGCTAGGCTCAGCGGAGTATTTTTCATAACTATACGATACTAGTAGCGAGGGAGGTGACTTGATGGGGAGGTTTAAAAAAGGTTAAAAGGGAGAAAATGGCATAGTTCATGCGTTAGACATGTTTCGCAATTCAACACCCTAGGCATACGAAGGGGAACCCGTGTGACGGGGTATAATATATTCAGAGCATGATGGCCGCACAATCGAAAGCCATATAGAAATCTAAATTGTTCAAACACATGATACCAGTAGCTTCTTAAGAGACCTCTATCAACTCATAATGGTTCAACAGATGCCCGTAATTGCACAGTAGCCAACCCCATCAGGACCTTCTTGAGGAGGCCGTTCTGAAATACTATCAACCCTAGGACCCAGCTAGAAATGCCTTCTACCCCCACCTTCGGACCCAACGTCAACACGCCGGGGCCAGCAAGACGACCCAGAAAGCCCCCGTACTGCGATAGACCTCGCTGATCGTGCACAATAGTTGCCAGATTGCGTTATGATCCCCCAGCATGACAAACAACACGCCCGCCAACGCAGCCCGGAAATCCGGAAACGCAAAGCCGCCGCCCGAATACGAACCGATCGGCGATCCGTGCCCGACCCAGCCCCACTCCACCCCGTCCGCCCGTTCCCTCCAGCAGACCCAGTCCAGCGATCCCTCACGCCATCACCGCGTCTTCTCCCCAGACCTTCCCCCCCCAACCACCACCACCACCTTTTGCGCCGGCAACCCTCTGCGCGAGCAGCGCCCACGGCACCAGCGCCTGGCGCGCCGCGTGCAGCAGCGCGTGGGGCCAGTAGGGCAGGACGACGTCGCGGCCGCAGCCGACGCGGGCGAGGACGGCGCGGGCGGCGTCGCGCGGCGCCGGGCGCAGCCAGGACGCCGCGTCCTCGCCCGGCGCGACGTCGCCGAGCCGGTGCGCCGCGGCCTCGACGCCGTGGTCGCGGGCCAGCGCGAGCGCGAGGTCGGCGGCGCGCGCGGCGGGGCCGGGGCGCGGCGCCGCGGGCCCGACGGCCACCACCAGCGACGGGCGGCTGCGGCGCAGCAGCGGCAGGACGGCGGCGGCGACGCGCACGGCCTGGGCGGCGACGCTGGCGCGCAGCGCGTCCAGCATCTCGGGGGCGCTGCGGCCGCCCTTGGCGCCGTCGGCGCGCAGGTCGACGAGCACGAGCAGCGTGAGGTTGAGCGAGTGGAGGGAGGCGGCGACGCGGAGGGCGAAGCCCGGGTCCGGGGCGGGGGCGGGGGCGCGGCGCTCGACGACGGCGCGGAAGCGGGCGTCGGGGTGGGCGCGGGCGAGGCGCGCGCGGGCGGCGCGCAGGGCGCGGCCGTCGGCGCCGTACAGCACCACGTTGAAGCCGCGGGCGGCGAGCTCGCGGCACAGCGCGGGGCCGACGCCGGCGCCGGCGTCCGCGCCGACCACCAGCGCCCACGCGGCGCGCCCGCCCCCGCCCGCGTGCAGGAACCGCGCCAGCGCCGGCGCCAGCACCCGCGTCAGCGCCGCGTCCCCCGTCTGCAGCCCCACCGCCCCGCCCCGCGCCCACGGCACCGGCACCGACGCCTCCGCCAGCGGCCCCGCGTACACCCGCGCGAACGCCGCCGCCCTGTACGCCGCGTACGCGAGCACGGCCGCGCCGAGGCCCGCTAGGCTGAGCACGGCCGCCGGCGCCGCCGGCCCGAGGAGCGATGCGAGGAGCGACGCGAGGTACCCCATTGGTGCGTCTTGTCGATGGGTTGAGGGCTGGTCGCGACGGCTTTGAAGCAGGCGGGAAGAGGAGAGGAGAGGCTTGAGGGGTTTGTAGGGGGAGAAATAAGAGAGCGGTGCGCGAGACGCTGGATGAGGGAGGTTCGGTCCTGTCGAGATTCCTCTGGGGTCTTTTGCGTTTTATATGCCACGACTCGTCGGCAGCACCAGCGGGGAGGAGCAAGGCAGAGAAAGGAAGAGAGGAGTGAGGTTTTTGTCCTCGTGTTGGCGTCGAACAGGGCCTTTTCTAGTACGCCGAATTCTAGCTCGGGACTTTTCAATCCCATCGTGCCACACCTCGTGTTCCCTTGGCCTGATGTACGCATTTTCCCCCGGTTCAGACCGGACTCCGTCGTATATGACGAGTAGCAAAAAGGGGGGGTGGTGCATCACCACCAAACAGCGAGACCGCATTGGCTGGCTGGCGGCATCGAGGCTTGCAACCCCCAAACTCCGGCAATCCCCAACGCTTATGCGGACACCAGCATTTAGGTCCCTAGTCTTAGTGTCATCTCTCGGGAATGAAGAGAGGATGGCGGCACAGATAGGGCATCGCAAGAAGTAGTGTCAAGAAGTACAGACTCGCATGGGCAAATTCGTCGGCGCGACGCTTACAGTAGTACTGAGTGTCACCGCAGAGACGGAGAGGCGAGTCAGGATGCAGTGAGAAGAGAAGGAATGTATATTCGTTCAATAGTACAAACAAAAGAGGATTCGTTCACGATCGTGGCTTGTGATATCGTTACCTGTCATAAGTACATCATCGTCGTTATCATGATCATTATTATTAATCGTCACATCGCTCCACCCCCCTTTAGCCTCCCTCCTCATCCCATCCGTCCCCAACCCCACAGCGCCGAAACAACCCCTTTTAAGCTCGGCTGAACAGTATCGGCACATCCATACTGTGCACTGTGCTCGTTGCGGCAGACCTCCCGAAGAGGCCCTCGCGGAACCTCACGCCGGCGCGGAAGCCTCCCGCGCCGCCGAAGCTCTCCTTCCTCGAGAGACCACCGGTACTCCCCTTCCTGCCCCAGCCGCCGCCGAAGCTGCCGAAGCTGCCGTGGCTGCTGCCGTAATGGCTACCGCTGGTTGCGGTGCTGGCGGCGGAGAACTCGCGGCCGAGGCGGCTGAGCACGAGCTCCTTGGCGCGGCGCAGGGCGCTGCTCTGGAGCTCGGGGTCCTCGGCGACGAGGCGCAGGGCGGCGTCGGCCTCGATGTCGCGTTGCACGGCGGAGATCTCCGAGCACAGGGCCGCCGTCGGGTCGTAGACGGTCGGCTCGAGCAGGAACATCGACGAATTGGACTCGGCGGCTGGGAGCGGCGCCGAGATGTGCATGCCCTCGGGCTCGGTGGGAGTGCCGAAGCTACGCACGCTGACGTCTGTGTACAGCGACTTGGCAGTGGCCAGCGAGAGCGGCGGCGACGCGCCCCCCTGCGGTGTCCGCGGCCGGAAGTATTCATCCGCCATCGAGTCCGACTCGTCCACCGGCGAGTGCGTGAGCTCCGGCTCCGACCCGAAGGGGGAGCCCAGGCCCGAGCCGGCGCCCGACCCCGGGCGCGAGTTGTGCGCCGAGCCGAGTCGTGGCACCTCGCCGAAGAGGCGCCGCGACGGCGGCGTTGAGGGTACGGGCGAGGAGTAGGCGCTATCAATTTCACCGAATAGGCGCTGGCGCGGGGGCGACGGGGGCGGGGTGGAGAACTGCGGCGGTGGCGGCGGTGGGGAAAACTGTGGGGGGTAGCGCGGGCGGTTGAGGGAATCGTTCGAGGGCTGGCGGCTGTGATCGTGTTGGAGAGGGTGAAGGTGCTGGAGATGAAGGAGGTGCTGGAGGTGTTGGAGGTGCTGGGGTTGCTGGCGCTGGTGTTGCTGGTGCTGGTGTTCGTATGAGTAGATATCCGGCCGCCTCTCCGACGGTTCCTTGACCTTCTCGAGCTTATGGTGACGTTGGTGGTTGTGGCGACAGGGCTCCTCGCTCGGGTGGTCGATGGAGTCCTCCGAGTGTTGCCGGCGAGCCTGTCGCTCCCTGCGCTCCCGTTCGTCTTGGTGGTGGTGCTCGTGCCTGGGCTTCTTCTTCCGACGCCGCTTCGTAACGCGACGCTTCTTGATCTGGCTCGAAATGCTGGCTTTCCGGGCGGCCTCGAGATCCGAAGGCAGGTCATAGTCGTCACTCTCCTCGTCATCCTCGCCTTCGCCTTCGCCTTCGCCCCCGTTCAGGTCGATCTCGAGGAGCTCCTGCGATACTGCCGCGACAGCGGGCGACTGTGCCGACAGATCGTCTGCGAGGCGCGGGGAGTGGATGCTCGCGGGACCGTTGAGTGTCGCAGTCGAGTGCCGAGTCCAGTGGTGCCCGCGGGGTGTCCGGTTCAGCAAGGGGGCCAGCGCGTCGTCCCAGCTACCTTCATTTATCAGGATCACGTTCTCGAAGTCGAATTCGCGCACGCTATGCTGGTGGGTGGTGACCAGGCTCGCTACTTGAGGCGCATTCATCGTCGTATTCCGGATAGCCATGTAGCGCAACTTCCGGAATACGATGGGCTTCCTGAACGGCGGTGGCGGCAAGGGCGACATGGGCGAAGTGACCTCGTTGAAGAGCTTCTGTGAGCTCCGCGACGGCGCAAACAGCGGGTCGGCCGCCAGCGACAACGGACAAGGTCCCCGCTGACCGATCCACTTAAAGGTCAACTTTTCCAAGTTTTCCGAGAAGTTCCGAATGTAGTCGTCGATCATCTTCAGGTGGTCCAGTCCGGGCGAAGGGCCGTAGAAATCCCACGACTCGACGGAGACGCACAGCTTCCGGATCTGCCGCCACCGCCGGGCCGCCGACGGGAGACAGCCGAAGCCGGTGACGTGGCGCAAGTAGATGAAGGCGGAAGGATGGACGGACGAGAGAGAGAGCTTGTTGAGCTTCGCCATCGGCGCCCGTTCGAGCGAGATGCGCAGGCTGATGAGCGCGTAGTCGACGATGTCGCGCCGGTATCTCTCCCTCGGGTCCTGGCCGGGGGTCTTGATGGTGAGGTGTCTGATGTTGGGCAAGTGCTTCATCGCGTTAATAAAAGAGGGCACGTTGGAGGCCGCGTGGAACAGGGGTGGGTACTGTTCTGTGAGGACGACGCCAAGCCCCGAGTTGGCGAACTTGGGCCTCTCCAGAACCGACGCCATCGACGTATGGGGTTTGTAGAGGAAGCTGATCTCGCGCCCGCTCTCGGGATGGATGAGCGGCGGTAGGAAAGTGGCGTCGGAATGCGGGAAGTAGAAGGTGAGGTGTTCGATGTGCTGGCCTATCCGCGACAACGCCTGAATCCGGCTCTGTCGGGTGAAGGTGTGGGCCGAGAAGGTCAGGTGGGTTCGTAGGAAAAGCCTCTTGGTAACGAGGTTGCAGCATGCCGACGAGGCAAGGCGAACATTACATATGTCCTCCTTGGATAGTAGATCGAAGAGCCTCTCCCGGATTGGCTCCTTTTGCCACAGGCTGTAGAACGCTTGAGATCCTGTTGCCATAGCTGTCGCATGTCGCTGGGGTTGGTATTATCGGGGTTGGTGTCTTGCTTTTTTTTTTCTCTCGGGGAGCGTCCAGGCAGTGGACTATATGAGAACACGGAGATTGGGATTCTTGATGAGTCTCTTTACCAATGATCACGTAGAATTCTAGTCGAGACTATCTGTTCGGGAAATCGGGGGATGGATGGATGGATGGATGGGCGAGGGAAAGCGGCAAGTACAGAAGGGGGGATATGGCTGGACTCGGTTAGTTGCGTTGATTGACGGGCGGGATGCTACGATGAAGCTATTCGCAGATCCAGCAATGCGTTGGTGAGCTGCAATATGGCTTGCAGCAAGGACAACAATAGCAGGACTATCCGTCAATCAGCCAACGTCAATACCTGATAATGTGGGAAGAGAAGAAGATCAGTCGCAAGGCCGTCGGGCCTCCCCCAAGGCCACCGGCGCATGTTATACCCTTCGCTCCCCCCCGTCCCACCCAGACTGGCTGCCCCCGCGGCCGCATCCCACCAGCGACGGAATCCGACTGCGCTCAACGGCTGCGCGACATCAAAAATGGCAGACGGGAGGGAAATGGTTGGTGAGTGAGTCACCCTCGCGAGTTTCTAGCGCATCTGCACCGCTGCAGGTCGCGGAGGATGAGAAAGGACGGTGAGTGGACAGGTGGCAGACGCGACGCCCAAAAGGGACCGCGATGCGGACGATGAGTGGCCGGGTCGAGGGGGGGCCGACATGGGTGGTGATGCACGCCAATCACAGCCGTCTCACTTGTCCGGTCTCGTTAGCCAGTGACAGCGGCGACGACATTGCGGGGAAGAGGCAGAAGAAGCGCCCGGGTGGCATCGCCGCGAGGATGGAGGCGGACGATAGGGTGGGCGAGGGCGGGCAGAAGCCCTGGGCGAGTCGGTGCCAGCCAATAGTACGCACAGGCGGTCTCGAAAGGGCAAGAAAAAAAAGAGTGGCTGGAAATCCCGGTTGATCGCGCCTCGTGCACGCGCCACACGCGAAGGACCCGCACACGCACACACACGAAATAGACGCGAAACTACCGCCACGTGTTCCTTTTCTCCCCATCTCTCATTGTATAAGGCCTCCCTACCTAAGCGCTGTTGACAACGAAGCACTGCGACTCAGCTAGTTTTTTGGTTCGAAGAAATATTCTGTATGATTTCCCAGTGTTCGCTACGACGACCGAGCCTGCGATCCTGCTCGCCCGGCCGACGATGCGCGGGGCGAAACCGTCGAATCGTCCGCACGCATAAGGGAAGAAGCGCCAGGCTAGGGTTGGGCAGACGAAGAGGAGACGGGATCGGGATGCGTCCAACGCGATTCGGCGGCCGACAGCACGGGCACGAAACTCGCGCGCCCATCTATCGGCTACCCTAACCCTTGCAACAGTGGCGCCCCTTCTACCCACACCCACGAGCACTCGATTTGTCGCGGTGAGAAACCCGCACCCCAGACGATTCGTTTCGAAACATCCCGGCCAGAAAAAAATTTTCTTCTCGAGTGCCGAGCGACGATGCAGAAGACAACCAGATTCCATTGGCGAATCGGCTCCGCTGCCCGCGAGCTTCCCTTCCTTCTTTGCCTATCGATCGGGAAGGATGGCTTGCCAGACGAGGCATACGGGAGAGAAGGGATATCATTTGGACTGACGATGCACACAACGTCGCACCCAGGCATACGTACACACACTTAACGACGGCGATCCACCGTTGCAACCGTTACATTCTCCAACTCGCTACTCTCTCTTTCTCCTTCTCTCCTCTGTCTCTCCCCAGGCCGCGTCACCGCAGGGCTTGCACGACAGCAGCTCCACACGCCAGCGGCCTGACGTCGTAGTGGGTTGCTTGCTACCCGAAGGAACTGCGTGTGGAGTGGAGGATCCCGTCTACATGAAGGTAGGTGGGCGCCTTAGCGTTATGGATGCGAAGGGCTCGCCACCTTTCGTTCGCAACCGCGCGACCTGATAATCCACGATCGACCGCCGCCGATTTTAAGTATATATCTCGGCTACGCAATGGCCCCCTTCTGTCCTGTCGGGATTCCATTTCCTTTGCGCTTCCCGACTCGTACCCGCGAGAGCGTTCTGCCATCAGACTGCCGCGGTTTCGCACCGGGTCCTATCGAGCCCATGCCTGGTAGCCTTTGCCAGCAAGCCCATACCGCCGAGATTTGCGGTTGCTGTATCCGGGCCCGATATTCCCCGGGATTGTACGCGAACCCGGCCCTACGTCCAATCCAGGCCGGGCTCGGGTGAGTCATTGGATACTTCCCTGACCTTGTCGAAATGGGCCTAGGAGTGACAGCGTGGTTGTGATTCCAATCCATGATGTTGAATTTTTTTTTTCCCCTTTTCTTCCATGTCATCGAGGACCAACGCATCGATGCGCTAGGCCCCCGGATGTAGAGCCGCTGCTAGATCGAGACCTGCCTACCCTAGCGTGGCTTATGATAGTTCATCATGGGGAACGTCGCTACAAGGTGGCAGGCTAACATATAGTGAGCGCGTAATAGGCGAACAGTAGGTGTATGCGTAAGGAACTTCCAGTGTCGGTTTGTCCATATGCCTCTCAGGCTTGCGTGTCCTCTCACCTTACATTCCTTTGAATCCCAACTCGGAGTCCCCTTGCTTGACAGCATCTCTACGCGGTCAGTATGAGTAACAGGGGCATATACTAGGTATTGCTCACTTCACCAAGGATAGGTGCCCGGCCTCCTACCGAAGTAACTAGTGATGGGTCTCATAGACTACAAAACATGTCTTTTCCCTCTCTCTCTCTCTGGACACTCGGCGCTCGCCTAGTATAACTCCCTCTCAACATCGACGCAAGGGAGAACTTCTTTCCAGTCGAGTTCCACTCTGTCATGGTAGGAACAGCCATCCAAGGGGTTGGAGCGGCGTACCATACCCGGTCTCCTTAGGTACCTATGTTTAGGTGCGAGTAAGAATGATTTCTAGAGTGGAAGCAAATTTCTAACTATAGTGACACGTCTCTTATCATGAGTCCGGCCGCCGTAGTCGAATTTAATCGCTTCTGACAACTCCTAGTGGGTGGAGCGTAGTAATCCCAGACGCACATCGATTACTCTTGGTCGGTACCATGACCATCTGATCCATCGCTGTCTTAAATTTCGTCCGGCCTTCATTGCGTGCGTTAAGTTTCCCTGTCTCCAGTACACATATCTTGTGGAAGACGGCATTGAGAAGCGGCTAGTATTACAAAGCGAAGGGTCATCATAGAACCCCAAATTTATGCGTTTCTCAACTATGAGTTACTGTAATAAGGTGATATGCTTGGAATAGGTTTAAATTCAACTAATAATTCTATAGGGGGTCTCTTAGGTCCTTATTCTTTTTTAAGTCCGTCGTCTTCCTTTCGTCCTAATATATCTTAAAGGTACCTTTATACCTTAGTACCCGTATACCTTACTACCGAAGCTATCCGAAGCTTATCTAGGACTTTCCTTAGTAGGTCGCCGAGGTAATAGCCTTAATGCCTGATATTATCCTCCTAACCCTTATGGCCTAATTATTAACGTAAGGTTTCATTCCCGTATGATATCATTTCTCCTTATCGAAGAAATTCGTTTTTAAGCGTTAGTTAAGTACCTAGGCTCGTTAATTAACGGGCTTATTAAGGTTTTATTAGTAGAATAACTTAATAACTTCTTTTATTTCTTCGGTAGTAAAGTATTCTTACGGTTCCTAGGTTTAGTAGCGTTTAGCCGGCTATCCTTATTACTTTATTAGATATTTAATAACTTTTCCGGTCCTAGCGGAATTTAATACCTTGTTTACTTCGTAATTTTCTACCTTAATCGGGGCTACCTTCCGTAAAACCTAGTTAAGGTTAGGTAATTCTTAATTACTAGCGCGGTAAGGTTCGATAAGGAATACGTAAAAGGTACTATAAATACGCTAGCCTTTCGGGAGTATTAAAGTTACGGCGGTAGGGGAAACGATCTTTTAGATCTTAAAGGAACCGAGTATCTTCTTATTTATCTTCTTTATAAGGCGTTTGGTTTTAATGTTACGAGCGTTTAGCATAATAAATTATCCGACTTTTAAAGGGGGTTCTTCCTTTTGGTATTTATTTATTTATCCTTTTATTCGTTACCGTACTTTTTCTAAATGTTATTTAGCCTCGTTATATACCTTAATTATTTAGTAAGTATAAAGGTTACTTCCTAGATTCTTAGGGGTACTTAGTAAGGGATTATATGCTATTAGGTATTACCCGTAGTTAACGTAGAAGGGTAATATATTAATAGTTATCGAAGTAGTATTATTATAGGTAAATTCGGTAGTAAGGAATAAGCTTTTTTAATCGCTTATTTCGTAGTTTACGAAGGCGCGTAAGTATGCTTTTAAGATTTAATTAAGTCTTTCCGTTTATCTATCCGTTTAAGGATAAAAGGCGGTACTTATTCTAAGCTTTACTCCGAGGAGCTTTAGGACGCTCTTTTATATATAGGAAGTAAATCGTAAGTCTCGGTCGGAGATAATATTTAAAGGAATCCTATATAGCCGCTAGTAATTACGGATAAAGATAGGTATTAAGTCTTCGGCTTTTTTACCGTCCTTTTTTAGCGGAATAAAGTACGTTATTTTAGTAAAGGGGTTTATAATAACCTATATAGAATCGTAGCTATTAAATATTAATAAGTCCGTAATAAAGTTTATCGCGATTATTTATTATAGTCGGTAATATAATTCTATAGGCTATAGTAATCCGAACGGGATATATCGGGATACTTTATTTTATTAATACTCGCGATATTCCTTAACGAATTCCCTAACTATAGTTTCTAGGTTAAGCTACTAAAAGTTTCGAATAATAAGTTCTATGGTTTTATTTATGCCTATATATCTCGTTATTTTAATATCGTATTCCGATTTAATTACTCCTTATTATAGGTCCCTAGGTACCTAGAGACGGTTTCGTCGGTAAAGGAGGCCCTCTTAGAGCTTTATCTCCTTACCGAATGATTTAACTAGCTAGGCTTAGTATTCTAGGTCTTATACGGCTAATATTTTAACCTATTTAACGAACTCTGGGGTTTAAGCGGGTATTAGGATGTTACTTAGTCGTACGCTAGAGAGTATTACCGTAGGTAAGCTTAAATTTTTTAAAAAATACTTTTCCTATAAAACCGTCGCTATCGGCTAGTCCTTAGCTCCTCCTTTTTTAAGGCGATATTATAATAATCTAAATAAAATATCGGCCTTTTTATTTTACTTTCCTAGGCGGTAGTATATTATAAAGTAATACGAGGAGAGCTATTAAGCCTAGCGGGCTTATCGTCGATTTAGTACTTTTACCGTAGTAAAGTACGTTAGATTTTAATAATCTAAATATATTTCTATTTAATGTTAAATACCTTCGAAATAATATCGCTACTTCTCGAATACGTCGACGATTATTAGTAGTTTCTTATTATATATTTTA